TAACTCTGAAATTCAGAACTGTTTGTTACAAAAAAAACCCCAATGACATTGTTCAAACAGGCTAGGTGTGTTGGCACACACCTAAAATCCCAGCTACTTGGGAAGCCAGCACAGGCAAAATGTTTTAGTGAGGCTATCTCTGTCAATGAGCTGGGCATGGTGGGATATGCCTATAATCCCAGCTATAGGGAGGCAAAGGTAGAAGGATAAAAGTCCAAGGCCAGCACCAGGCAAAAACTCAGGATCCTATCTGAAAAATAACTAAAACAAAAAGCAAAAAAAAAAAAAAACTACGTGGGAGGGTGTGTGGCTCAAGTACTAAAGCAGTAGAGCACCTGCCTAGCAAGCTTGAGGCCCTAAATTCATGTCCCATACCACAAAAACCCACCAAACTTAAAATACAGGCCAGGCAATGGGATGAGGCAGAAGGGTCTTGACTTGGTGGACAGCATGAGCTATATAGTGAGACCTGGTCTCAAACAAACAAAAAGAACTAGTGAGGAGAGTACTATGGGATCCCATAATAGGGGAACCTAACTGGGTTTTGAGGAAATGCCTTTAAACAAAGACCTAAAGAGTGAGGAGTGAGTTAAGCAGAGGAGCTGATTTCTCCCAGAGGTGGTGGAAATAGTAGTAGTGTTGGGCAACAGGCACAAGGCATGCACTACGGCAGGAACAGAGAAGAAAGGTCTGACTGAGGAGAGGAGAATCATCCATGAGTGAGATGTGAAGGCACAGGGATCTTTGTAGGGTAAGTTAAGGATTTTGCACTGAATCCTGAAAGTGCTACGAAGATAATACAGAGTTTTAAACACAGCATTGATTTAATTTACTTGCTAATTTAAAAAGTACTGGACTAGAGGTATGGCTAAGCAGTAGAGTATCTGCTTTGCAATCACAAAGCCTTTAGCTCAAGCCCCAGTCCCACCAAAAAAAAAAAAAAAAAAAAGAAAAGAAATTATGCTGGCAGAGTGACTAAAGTGGTAGAGGTCCTGAGTTCAAACCCCAGTTCTAAAACAAAACAAAACAAAAAAACCCCAAAAATCTCCCCCTCCAAACAACAACAAAACTTATTTAATGAGAGCCTAGCATGTGCCAGATATGTAAAAGACAATGTCCCTACCCCCAGGATAACTGTATCCTGGTCCATGAGACCAACCACAAACAACATAAACCTTGTTGTGTGAGGAAATATATGCCCTCACCACTGAGAAGGTGAATTTAGTTATGCCAAGATGTCAGGAAAGGGTAGGATACAACATGAAGAACCAGGAAGAAAGGATACATCAGAAAAAGTGGGCAATCACTTGGCATATAGTAGGTGATGTCCTAAGGCCAATATGACCAGGGCATGGTGAAAGTGGCAGAATATGAGGAAGAAAGGTCCTGCACAAGCACAGCATGAAGGCCATTAAAAGCCACTGGAATTTTAAATAGGGAAATGACAAGATCTGACATGACAGGATCCTGCTACCTGGAAAATATACTGGAGGAGGGGTTTGAGTGGAAACAGGAAAAACTGAGGATCTTCTTGTGGTAGCCCAGGCAAAAGATGATGGTGGCTTGGCAAAGGTTGGTAGCAATGAAGATGGGAGAATAAAAGATGGTTTTGACATATATTCTGGGGAACAGAGGTAGCAGGAAGAATAAAGATGATTCTCAGAGGTTTGGTTTGGTAACCATGTGAATGCTACGTACTACTTAGTGAGATGGAGAACACTAGGTTGGAATGATGGGAAACTTTTAATTGTCTTTTGGCTATTCAAATGGAGATAATTAAACAGGCATTCTGACATTGTGATCCTAGAACACAGAGAGAGGGCTGGTAAATGGACTGGAGGGGGATTTGAGAAGTTTAAAATTGGGAATTGCCAGCTTTCAGACTGTAACTAAAGTCTACGACTGAATCAAACCTGGGAAGTGCATGGAGGACTCAGGAATAAACCCCAAGAGAAACCCAACATTTAGACCTTACATGAGGAGGAAAAATGGATAGTAAAGGAGACTGAAGTACTCAGAACGTTAAGGTAGAGGACAGGGAGTACAAGGCCAGCCTGGGCTACAGAGAAAGACCGTCTCAAAAAACAAACAAAAGGGGATATACCCAAAAGACTGTAACACAGGTTACTCCAGAGGCACCTGCACACCCATGTTTATTGCGGCACTATTCACAATAGCCAAGTTATGAAAACAGCCAAGATGCCCCACCACTGACGAATGGATTAAGAAAATGTGGTATCTATACACAATGGAATTTTATGCAGCCATGAAGAAGAACGAAATGTTATCATTCGCTGGTAAATGGATGGAATTGGAGAACATCATTCTGAGTGAGGTTAGCCTGGCCCAAAAGACCAAAAATCGTATGTCCTCCCTCATATGTGGACATTAGATCAAGGGCAAACACAACAAGGGGATTGGACTATGAGCACATGATAAAAGCAAGAGCACACAAGGGAGGGGTGAGGATAGGTAAGACACCTAAAAAATTAGCTAGCATTTGTTGCCCTTAATGCAGAGAAACTAAAGCAGATACCTTAAAAGCAACTGAGGCCAATAGGAGAAGGGGACCAGGAACTAGAGAAAAGGTTAGATCAAAAAGAATTAACCTAGAAGGTAACACACAAGCACAGGAAATCAATGTGAGTCAATGCCCTATATAGCTATCCTTATCTTAACCAGCAAAAACCCTTGTTCCTTCTTATTATTGCTTATAATCTCTCTACAACAAAATTAGAAATAAGGGCAAAATAGTTTCTGCTGGGTATTGAGGGGGTGGGGGGGGAGAAGGAGGGGGCGGAGTGGGTAGTAAGAGAGGGGGTGGGGGCAGGGGGGAGAAATGAACCAAGCCTTGTATGCACATATGAATAATAAAAGAAAAAAAATTATAAAAAAACAAACAAACAAACAAAAGAGAGACTGTGAAAAGAAACAGTCAGCTAAATGAAGAAAATACAAGAGTGAAATGTTAGTGAAGCCAAGAGGGGAGCTTCAAGAAAGGAGTAACTGTGTTGCATAATCCAAAAATTGAGGAAGGTAAGAACATAGTATCCACTGGACTTGGCAACAAAGAAGTCACTGATGACCTGGATAAAAGTAATTTCCATGGAGTGATGAAAAAGAAGCCATGCAGGAATAAAAGGTGAGAAAGTTGAATTGGTTACAAGGGGAAAGTTTAAAAATTAGGGTGATGAAGCCAGTGCTCACCTGTAATCCCTGTACTAGCAAGGCTGAGGCTGGAGGATCACGAGTTCAGGTCAGCCTTGGCTACATAATGAGACTTTGTCTCAAAAAAACAAAAAGGTTGGATACCAGAACATAATTAACATGTTGATAGTGAAAAAGGACCTGGTGATTTTTCTGTACTGGGAAATATGGATAGGAAGGAAATCAAGCATTATGTGCACAACTAATGGTGGAGACCAAGAACAGAGAATAAGGACAAATTTACTTGCCTCCAAAGATTATAGTTCTTGTGAAAGAAGCCTTTGGGAAGGAAAAAATGTGAAGTGTGATTGAGTCTCTCCATGGTAGCACTTTCTGATGTGATAAATCTCTTGGTGAGATTAACACCTTCTAAGAAAGTCACAATGCTATGCTAATCTAACCCAGCAGCTACAAAAGTCAACTCAATAAAATGAGCTTGAAGTTGTGGAATGGATAGTTTCCACAGAAAAGGATCCTAAATTTGCAGCTGATGGGCAAGCAATCATGTTCCTTTTCCCCTCCTTGAGACAGGGTCTGGCTATGTAGCCTAGGCTGACTTCAAACGGACAATTCTCCTGGCTCAGCCTCCCCAGTGCTGCAATCACGCTTTTATAGATAAAACACTGAAGATGTACAAACTGGTAATTTCAGATGAAGAGTGGGAACTAAACTTTTTTCCATAGAAATCAATCAAATTCATTATTGTTCATATTCTGGGGTATCTTAATACTCCCTTGCTACTTCTGACATTACAATGAATTCCACAGAAGTATTTTCAAAGACTTAAGCTTCCTCCTAAAGGAATATAAGCATCAGTTCTTGGGACAACACAGGGAAACAACTGCAGCTAGTTCAAGAGTGTCTGGAGAAAAAGGCACTGCAAAAAGGTAAGTTTTGACTTAACCCATTCTGATGTTTATGATTAGGTCTTTGGCAAATGTTTGAGGAAATCAATCTACGGAGAATTAACGGGTTTCAGGTACTCCTACAAGACCTCTCTTTAGAGAGGTATGAGATGCAGCCATCTACAAAAAGTTCTCATTCAACAATGTGAGAAGAGATAAAATTTAGCACAGTCCTCTACCCTGATGACTGAGCTGCTGAAAGCCCGGTAGGATTCACATCCCTAGAACAATTAATTCTATCACCTGATCCCAGGTCAGAACCCCTGTCCCTTCGATTCCCAATCCTTTCGCGTGGCCCAGTTTTCAGAAGCTGCGGAGGGAAGGACGGGATTCCGGGAAGCCTGTTGATTTAACAGGTAACCCAATTCACAGGTTCCAGGTGCTACAGCGTTGGGAAGAACCTTAAGACTCTGAGAAACTACCCTGCTTCCCCCCGCCCCATCCCTCCTCCCGCATAGAGCACAGAAGGCCAGGGGCCCCCTTCTTCCCGCAGACGGCTTCCCAATGCCTCTTCCCTGATGGGATCAGGCCCTAGGAGAACAGTTCGCCACTTGACCCGTGCGAGAAACACTCTCCAAGCTGAACTTTACCTGCTTGAGGTCCGCCGCTTCTTCCGTGCGCTATACCCCCACTAAGGAAAATGGAGTCGTCGAACCGAGACTAGGAAAGGATAGTACGGACCCACCGCACGGCCCCTCCGCCGCCACCGCCGCCGATGCTACGTAAACGTGCTACGTCACTTCCGGCTCTCTGTCACTGAGAGTGGGCGGGTCACTTCTTTCCTCTCCCACCAGTCTCTTGGGGGTTTTCCTCTGGACTGTGAGAAAGCTGGCAGAAACTACTCCAAGAAGGCAGATGCACAGAGCCCCGGTACAAAATGGAGTGATCGAAAGCAACCTGACCCAGAGCGTTCCTCAAGCCGCTCTAGCCAAAGGAACCATAAAGATCAGATTAGGCTTCCTCACTTCCTCCTCTCTGTGATGCCGTCCTCGGCTTCCGGTTCCGGGGAGGGGCCAAATCTTCATCGACGCTTCAGAGCTCCGCCATCTACTAGGATGGCTGTTGTGCGGCTGCTGTTGCTTGGGGGTTTGTGGGGCGCTGTTGGAGCGTCCAACCTGGCTGTCGTTACTTGTGGCTCTGTGGTCAAGCTACTCAATACGCGCCATAACGTTCGACTGCACTCACACGACGTGCGCTATGGGTCAGGTACTACGGGAGACCGACCGGGTTTGGGTGGGCTTGGGGAGGCCTGGTAAGCTCTGTTAGGGGGCGGGGCTTCGGAAGGTTAGGGGTGCTCTGGGGAGGTTCCTGAGGTTCCGAGTTGGTGAAAGGGAGGACCAAGTTCTAAAACGACTTAATTGTAATACTACCTTTCGTGCCAGCCGTGTTATACATGAAATTTTTTCAATTTGTAACATTCCAGTGAGATAGTTGCTATTGTTACCCTCATTTTACAGTTAAGGAAACATATTAAATCGCTTGGTGAGAGCCTTGTAGCTAGTGAATGAGAGACGACGGACGAGTCCATTCAGATCTGACCATGTTCAAAACTTGCTTTTCTGAGCTGCCACTACTCAGTGCAGGAGAAACAGACATGTAGAAAATTACAGTAAATAAAAAAAATTGAGTGAGTGCTGAATGCGTGTGTGTGTGTGTGTGTGTGTGTGTTGGTGTCGGTGGGGATCAAAACCGGGGCCTTACACATGCTAACCAAGCGCTTTATCGCTGAGCCACATCCCCAGCCCTGAATCTCTGAAGTCTTTAACTCTGATTACAACTCTATGTCCTCTAGCTCTTTTGCATCTTACAATTACTCTTTAGCTCATATCTTTTGGCTCCCCTACCCTTTTCTTGGGGGGGGGGCGGCACTGGGTTTGAACTCAGGGCCTCACTGTTGCTAGGCAGGTGCTCTTACTGCCTGAGCCACTCTGCCAGACTTTTTTTTTTTTGTGATGGGGTTTTTCAAAATAGGGTCTCAAGAACTGTTTGCCCAGGGCTGGTTTCCAACCTCTATCCTCCTGATCTCTGCCTCTTGAGTAACTAGGATTACAGGCGTGAGCCACTGGCCCACCCAGCATTTTGGTCTTTTTAATCAACTTTAACGTCCTTGTAAAGAACTTAAGGTGGGCACTGGTGGCTCACACCTGTAATCTTAACTACTCAGGAGGCAGAGATCAGGAGGATCACAGTTCGAAGACAGCCCGAGCAAATAGTTAGCGGGACCCTATCTTGAAAAACCCTTCACAAAAAAAATAAAGAAGTTAAAGTAGTGACAGGCTTTGCACAGGAAAAGTTTCTTTTTACTATATGAAATTAAAGTGCTTCATTCAGTGTAGATTTATAAGCTACTGTATGCCTATTACTAGTCTGCATATAGGAGATACAGTAGTGAGTTAACCACGTTACAAGAAAGATGATAAAAACAGATAAAAGCCAGGTGTGGTGGTGCATGTCTGTAATCCCAGCACTTGGGAGGCCGAGGCAGGAGGATTGTGCGTTTGAGGTTATCTTCTGCTACAAAGTGAGACTCAAAAAAGAAAGAAGTTCAAGGGCTGGAGAATTAGCTCAGGGGTAGAGCACTTGCCAAATATGAGCAAGACCTTGAGATCCATTCTTAGCTCTGGGGAAAAAAAGAAAGAAAAAAGTTCAGCTAATAAGGTATGAGAAATGTCTAAGCTAACTTAATGCTATTTGCTGATAGAAGGAGTTTTCTCAGATGGTCTAATCTGGTTCATGATTCCCAAAACCTGTCTGACCAGGTAAGACTAAGAAAGATGTCATCTTCATTGGGATATCTTAGTGATCATGGCAACCATTCATTGAACACCTGCTATATGTAGGCTTTTTAAAATTTGATCTGAATTAGAATGGAGGTTGAGAGAGGCCTACCAGTAAGAATCTGTCAGTTTCAAATATTTTTCAGGTGTTCTGATGGGCAGCCAGATTTGGGAACTAGGTTCAGTGTGGAGCTCAGAAGAGGGATCTGCAATACAGTGTTAGATACATCATTGTGCAGATGATGGTTGAAGATGTGATGGAAGTGCTGTGTCAATTTTAATTACTTGACAAACTTGTTAAAAATAGAAACACTTTTGTCAGAATCCCCAAGTGTTTAAGAACTATTGATGGAAACAGTTGAGGGCCAGGTGTAGAATTCTGTGTAATCCCAAGGTATAAGGATTGGTGGGAGGAAGCAGAGGGTTAAATAGAAAGTGAAAAGGTAGGAAATGAAATACAGACCATAAGCAGGTCTGGGAGGACTGAGTTCTGTAAAGCAGTAACCAGAAGTGAGGAGAATTGGTATGCCTTCCCTCTTTCTTTTTTTTTTTTTTAAATAGTACTGGGGTTTGAACTCAGGTTTTCATGCTTACTAGGCAGGTGCTCTACCATTTGTGCCACTCCACCAGTTCTTTTTGCATTGGTTATTTTTGAGGTAGGGTCTCACTTTATGCCTGGACCATGATCCTCCTCCTATTTGTGCTTCCCCAAGTAGCTGGGATGTTAGGTGAGTGCTACTCATTCAATCATTGGTTGAGTTGGGAGGTCTTGTGAACTTTTGCTTCGGCTGACCTTGAACTGCCATCCTCCCAATCAGCCTCGTGGGTACCTAGAAATAAGGCATGAGCTACCATGTCAGGCTCCCTCTTACTTTTTAAAAAATAAATGTAGCAAGTCATGAGCTCATTGGAAGAAGCCAGTAGAGAGAAGCTGATAATTTGTTACTTCATCCAAATAACTAGTAGCTAGTAGGAGATATAGAGTGTATCATTCAAAGCTTGTAGTCAGGCAGGGCAATGGAACCCAAAGCAAAGCTGGGAGGAACAGGTGAGACATGACAGACATATTTGAGAAATATGGGATGCCTTTAAAGAATTGGGTAATGAATAAGGCCTAGGGAAAAGAATATCCCTGGAATTTGAGAGAGTAGCCTGTTTGGAGGAACTTGACAGAAAATAAAGCTGGAGGTAGAAAGATGCCCTTTGTGGGAGGTAATATGGTGAAGGGATTTAGAGTGTTGGTTCTAGAATCAAGTTTCCTGAGAGAATATATGCATATATTAAGTAAGAATGTTCAAGACAAGCTGAGCACTGGTGGCTCATGTGAGGCCTTTACTTCAAACTCAGGTACTGCCAAAAAATATATATATATATATTATAATATATGTAAGTTCAAACCCCAGTATCACTTATATCTGGGCTGTGGCCCATACATATTATTTGCTATGAGTTTTGGTTTTCTTTTTTTTCTTTTTCTTTTTTTTTTTTTTAAAAGCTCATATCTATATATTTAACCCAGTACCTTTTAGCCTTCTACCCACCCACAGGAGTTTAGAAGCTGTAATGGGTGTTTGAATTAAAGTTGACAGCAAACAGTAGTATTATTTAATTGTAAAATAAAAAATATTTGTAACATATAGTAAACATTGAATAATATTGCAAACATGTAAAGATTATATGCTTAGATGCCTGACTTGTACTAGTATATATGGGTAATTATTGTCTGTGCTTCAGAAAACCCATAGATATTTAGTATCTGGTGCCCTTTGATGCAAATTCTTGGCATTATCTAAAATGGCACACACTTAAGTATAGGGTATTATATAATAATGAAAACTACATTATGTGAACACATTTAGTATTCTTCATAAATATTTTAATGTTGTAAAAGAAAAATATTAATAAATTCAGTGTTTCTTCCTCACCCATATGTGCAAGTTTTTTTTTGACACAAGGCACATATGAAAGAGGAAAGTGTCAGGTTGAGCTCCCTTTCCTTTCTTTTTTGACTATAGGTAGTGGGCAGCAGTCAGTGACAGGTGTTACCTCTGTGGATGACAGCAACAGTTACTGGAGGATACGGGGGAAGACTGCCACAGTGTGTGAAAGGGGAACCCCCATCAAATGTGGCCAGCCCATCCGACTGACCCACGTCAACACTGGCCGAAACCTCCATAGTCACCATTTCACGTCACCTCTTTCTGGAAATCAGGTGAGGTGGCATCCCATGGTTCACTGCTATTCTACAATGCCCAGTTGACTTATTGTTTGATCTCTTGGTTCTTAACCTTTCATTTTTACGTGTAGATGTTCTCTTTTCTGCAGACCTGGAGAAATGACTCTCTCTCATAAGTATGAAGAAAATTGTTTCTGGTCAAAATGGAGACTTTACATCTAAACCAAATCAAGAAATGGGGAGGAAAGACAGAATAGGTATACATTAATGTATCATAAGTTGTGATAAATCCTGCAATAAGGTCAATGTTTTGAAACTTGCAATAAGAAGGTTTATGATTATTATTTTTAGTTATGCTAAGTAACCAAATTGGGAAAATGAATTTAGGTATTGTGCTGCTTTTTTTTTTAAATGCTAAGGTTCAACTCATGGCGTTGTGCATGCTAAGCACATGTTCTACTAATGAGAACATCCAATCCTGAACCACTTTTTTAAATCTTGAGGTTTCAGATGCTATAGATCCCTCAATGACTTCTTTCCTTCCCCCTACTTGAAACAGTTTTCCTTATTAACACCTTATATTAACAAGGTAAATTTGCTGCAGTTAATGTAGCAGTGTTGATACATTATTATTAAAGTCCATAGTTTATTCCAATTTCCTAGTTTTATCTAATGTTCTTTTTTTGTCTAGGTTACATCGCATTTAGTTGTCCTGTCTTAGTAGGCTCCTTAGCTGTGACAGTTTTTCAGATTCTCCTTGATTTTGATGACTTTGACAGTTTTTGTTTTTGTTTTTGTTTTGTGGGACTGGGTATTGAACCTAGGGCCTTGTGTATGCTAGGCAAAAGTCTCAACCATTGAGCTACAATCCCAGACCTACCTTGACAGTTTTGAGGAGTGCTAGTTAGGTGTATTGCTGATGCCCCTTTTGCAGTCTGTCTAGTGTTTTTCTCATAAGACTACAAAGGGTTCTGGGGAAAAAGATCACAAAGGTTAAACACATCCTATCAAGGGTGCCTGCTGTCAACCTACATGATTTATGATTTTTAATGTTGACTTTGATCACTTGGCTGAGGAAGTGTTCATTGAGTTTCTCCTGTAAGGTTACTTTTTTTTGGTGGTATTGGGATTTCAACTCAGGCCTTCACCCTTGCTAGGCAGTCACACTGTCACTTGAGTCATGCCACCAGCCTTTTTTTGGTCTGGTTATTTTGGAGATAGAGTCTTACTTTTTGCCCTGGGCCAGCCTGGACTGCCTTCTATTTTATACTAGCTTTTTTCTGTTGAGATGATATCTTGAGAACTTATTTGCCTGACCTGGCCTGGAGCCACAATCCTACCAATGTCAGCCTCCCAAATAGCTAGGCATGAACCATCAGCACCTGGCTAAGGTTACTCTTTTCATTTTACCCCTTTTCACTTTATATTTTTGGGAGGAAGTCATTATGTCCAGTCTACACTTAAGCAGTGGGAAGTTACGCTTTCCTACTTTAGGTTGGAATAGCTACATAAATTAATGGGGACTTTAAGGGGGATTTGTTCTATTTCTCAACTTATTCAGTCATTCATTTCTGTTAGTATGAATTTAGGGATATATATTTTATACTTTGAATTATAATCCAGTATTAACTGTCTTCATGTTGCTCAATTTTTTTTCTTTCATTTGGCTCTTATGTCCATTTGACCAAATCCCATTGTGAGTAGGTATGTATACACCTGCTTACTTTTAGTCTTGCTCCCCCTCCCCTACCCCCTAGCACTGGAGTTTGAACTTAGGGCCTCATGTTACTAGACAGGGGCTCTTACTGCTGAGCCACTCCACCAGCTATATGTTTTTGGGTTTTTTTTTCTGGCAGTATTAGGATTTGAACTTAGGGCCTCATGCTTGAAGACAGGTGTTCTACCACTTGAACCACTCCACCAGCAGCTTGCTTTTTTTTTTTTTTTTTTAATTTAGAAAGAGAGTCTTTCTATGTACCCTAGGCTAGTTCAGAACTCTGTGCTCCTTCCTCAGCCTCTCAAATTCTGGGATTACAGGCAAGCCCAGCACACCCAAAAATTTGCTCTTTTTTTTTTTTCCCCTTGGTATTATTGGGGTTTGAATTTAGGACCTTGTACTTGCTAGGCAGGTGCTTTACCACTTCATCCACAGCCCTTTTGTCGTTTAGTTTATTTTTAAGATAGAGTATTGCAGCTGGGCACTAGTGGCTCACGCCTGAAATTCTAGCTATTCAGGAGGCACAGATCAGGAGAATTGAAGTTGGAAGTCAGCCCGGGCAAATAGTTCCATGACACCCTATCTTGAAAAACCATTCACAAAAATATGACTGGTGGAGTGGCTCAAGGTGAAGGCCCTGAGTTCAAGCCCCAGTACTGCAAAAAAAAAAAAAAAAAAAAAAAAGGTATTGTTTTTAACTTGGGGCTTCAGTCTTCCTGCATACCTGGAATTACAGGTGTACTCTACCACAGCCAACCTTGCTTTTTTAATCATCTAAAATTAATGTATTATTAGTGTGTATTTGGTTGTAGTTCTATAGAAACTAAATATTTAGCCTTAAAGGGGAATAAGATTTAGATGAGTGGAATACAGAGAACCCATTTTGTTTTACTATCATTTAATTTACACACTTGCACTGTATGGTGATATTGTCACCATCTTATAGAGAAAACAAAGGTTCAGAGGAATTACAGAGGAAAGGATCTAGCTGAGATTCAAAATCTTCCTGAATCCAAATCCCATCCTCCTTCCAACTTTCTGAAAGTCACTTAAAATCTAGTTTATAGGGATCTGGGGGTGTAACTCAGTGGTAAAGTGCATGCTTAGCATGCTCAATGGCTTGGATTCAGTCCCCAGTGCCTCATAAAAGAAGAACAAAGAATATAGTTGTGGGAATGAAGCAGGAATATTTAAAGTCAGATAACAAAATTTATAAAGTATTTTAATAGGCCAGGCTCAGTGGCATGCTCCCATCATTCCAACTACTTGGGAAGCTTAGACAGGATGATTGCTTGAACTCCAGGTTTTGTGGCCATCTTGAGCAACTGAGCAAGACCCAATCTCTAAAGGAAAAAAAGCATCAAGACCATAACAGAAAATATATGACAAATATAGTATTAATTGCAAAGTAAGTGTTTGGGTCATAATCTATGGCAATTAATTTATTTTTCTTTTGTGTGCCCTTTGTGTCTTTTTTTTTTTTCCACAGCTTTTTTTTTTTTTTTCCATTTCCTTCTTCCATTCTTCAAGCCTGAGAGCCAGTCATGCTAATGTTGCCACCTTCTGTGTCTTGCAGGAAGTGAGTGCTTTTGGTGAAGAAGGTGAAGGTGATTATCTGGATGACTGGACAGTGCTCTGTAATGGGCCCTACTGGGTGAGAGATGGTGAGGTACGGTTCAAACATTCTTCCACCGAGGTGCTGCTGTCTGTCACAGGAGAACAATATGGTCGACCCATCAGTGGACAAAAAGAGGTGCATGGCATGGCCCAGCCAAGCCAGAACAACTACTGGAAGGCCATGGAAGGCATCTTCATGAAGCCCAGTGAGTTGTTGAAGGCAGAAGCCCACCACGCAGAGCTGTGAGTCTGTATGCTCTGAACTGCTGTCACCACACAGTGTTCATAGACATCTGTTGCTGCTTCACCTTGGATCTTTGACCCAAGTTTCCTGGACAGTGGTGGGCCTGTCCCCACTGAGAGGAAGATGAGCAATAGAAAACAATGGCTGTGTTTAGAAGCTGCTCTCCCAGATTTGGTTCAGTTCTGGGTAGAGGATTTGCTAGTGAAAGCACAGATAATTTTCATTCATATTGTTAAAAGAAACTAGGGATACTTCCTTTTTAGTTGGGAATTTTTACCTTCCAGAGTTTGGCATCATGAATTGTTAATAATGTGTGACTTTTCCCCTATTTTTCTTTCTTCAAAATAATAAAGAAAAAATAAACAATTTTTTTGTTAGTCACTGTGTTGTCATTTATTAGGTGAGCTCTATTTCATGATCTGCTTAATCTTTAAGGCCTAAGACTTTTGAGATGCCAGGAACCTTCAGTGTTGGCCTTTGAAGAGGTTTACCTTTTATCTCTGTTCCCTTATTTCTTCCCAGGCACCTCATCTTCATTAGATTCATGACTAATTATGGATAAAGACTCTTAAGGAATATGGCATAATAGTTAATGAAATGTTTACTCAGGATCTGTTACTGTAGATAAGAAATGTGTAGGGGCAGAAAGGAACTAACATTAATTCACTGCTAAATACTAGGTACCATGTTGTAGCTCTTGACTCATTTAATCTTCACAGCAATGTTATAGGGTAGATATTACAGTTTTACCAATTCAGAACAGGACAGTAGAATTAGCTTTCTGAATTCTTTAATCTAGTAAACAGTTTTGGGATAGGAACCCAGCTGCTGTGTCTGACACACTTTATTACACTACAATTGTATTTAGCTCTTGGAAGTCAACTTTCGGTTTTTTGACCAATGTACAGATACCTTTTTTTTTTTTAAGCTGGATTGAAAAGTTTTTGGGCTGGGGGGGCTGGAGATGTGATTCAGTGGATTGAGCTCCAGAACTGAAAAAAAAAGTTTTGTCCTATATTCATCTCATTTCCTCCTTTCCTGTGCCAGTTAATTCTAGAAAGTTTGCTTCTGTATCCTTCAAGCATCACAGTGGCAAGTAGAGGTGTCTGCCATCTGTTGGAATTTCAGTGACTAAGAAGCTTTTTTATTTTTAGAAACTACTTGGGCTGTAAATTTGGCTCCTGCTTTGTAGGCTGGTAATCCCTGAGTTCAACGCCCCCCCCGCCCCAGTAACTGTACCACCAAAAAAACCCAAACAATAAAAGAGAAACTTGAACATTTAGAGATACCAGTTCTGTGCTAGATACGATTTACGACATTAAGACTTGGTTTCTGCCAGGGGAGGTGGTGCACAGCTGTAATCCCAGCTACTCTGGAGAGGAAGGCTGGAGGATCTTGAGTTTGAGGCAGGTCAGGCAAACTTAGGGAGACCCTATCTCACAAACAAAACAGCTGAAGGTGTGACTCAAGGTAGAGCGGTTGACTGTGCATGGACCCTGGGTTCAATCCCCAGTACCAAAAAAAAAATTTGAATTCTTTTACAAGGATTTGTGTTCTAGTGTACAAATAATAGAGTGCCAGGGCTGGGGATATAGTTCAGTTGTAGAGTACTTGCCTAGCATACATAAGATCCTGGGTTCAGTCCCCAGCATGACAAAAAAAAAAAAACCCAGTGTGGTTGCAGAGATCTGTAATCTCAGACTCAGGAGACTGAGGCAGAAGGATCTCAAGTTCTAGGCCCGTCTGGGGTATATAGACCCTGTCTCAAATAAAAACAAAGACGATAAGTTATGTAGCCTGGCACTGGTAGTGCACATCTGTAATCCTACCTACTCAGGGGTGAGAGATCAGGACAATCATGGTTTGAAGCCTGCCTGGGCAAATAGACCATGTCTCAAAAAAACCTATCACAAAAAAGAGTGGGTGGAGTGGCTCAAGGTGTAGACCCTGAATTCAAACCCCAGTACCAGGGGGGAAAAACAAAAACAAAAAAACAGGACTGGCAGAATGGCTCAAGTAGTAGAGTGCCTGTCTAGCAAGTGTGAGGTCCTGAGTTCAAACCACAGTATCACATAAAAACCGAAACAAAACAAGCTATGAGTAGAAGTAGAGGCTTCAATAGTGTAGGGACAAGGAAGAAACTGATAGGAACCTTAGCTGAATAAAGGAAATATTGGACAAGATGAATGAGTAGAGAGATGTGTTGACTTGGACAGAGTGGTTGGGCCTTCCCTGAGCATTCAGAGGACATACCCTGATGGAAGGCTGCAGATTGAGGATGACAGAAATACAGTGCCTAAAAGAAAAATACAGCCAGGAGCCGGTGGCTCACCTATAGCTACTCAGGAGGCAGAGATCCAGGATTATGGCAGTTTGAAGCCAGCCTGGGCAAACAGTTTGAAAGACCTTATCTTGAAAACACCCTTCACATCAAAGGACTGGTGGAATGGCTCAAGGTGTAGGCCCTGAGTTCAAGCCCCAGTATCACAAAAAAAAAAGAAAAATACAGCTTTGAAACAGTCGTGGAGCACCTGGTGAGATATGAAATAACTGAGAAGACTAGATAAGGAAATCAGTTGGCGGATTGAAAGCAATTTTGGGCAAAACACAGGTGAAAGTTTAAATGGTGCTTTATTCCAGTGAGCAAAAAAGAGAAGCTCTGAGTAAAATCCTGAAGGATAAACATTCTTTTTATGGTGATTAGGACATAAGAGCAAAGATACACAAAATACTCTATAGATCTTGAAATCCTCAAGATTTCTTTAGCTTGTGTTTTATTAGTAATTCATCATTCAGACATTTACTCTTAACATCAGTAATTCCAAGAGACCTTTGTCCAATTCCCTTATTTTACAGTAAGCAGGAAAAATTGACCATAACTCGAATTGACCTTGAATCTCCGTTTCATGTAATTGTTTGGTTCCCAGATAAATTATTTGTGTTGGCTGACAAGAACAGTATTTGCTATTTCTTCAGTATCTCTCCTTCCCCCCACCCCCTTTCCCATCCCTATACCTCCTCTACTTAGTGTTATGTGCTATGACACTTCTTCAGTGAAGTATCCAGAATAGTGCTGGCCACGCAATAGGTTATTCCTATTAATTGACCAGAACATTACTCAGACAGTAAACTAATTTAAAATTCATTGATTCTCTTGTGGTTAGAATGAGGTGGGATTTCTAAGGTTATGTATTTTTTTTTAATGTAATTATTTATTTTGGTGGGTCTGAGGCTGAGCTCAGGGCTTCACAATTGAGCCACACCTCCAGTTCATTTTGCTGTGGTTATTTTGGAAGGGGGGGGCGGTCTTCCGAACTATTTGCCTGGGCTGATCTTGAACCTCGACCCTCCCGATCTCAGCTTCCCCAGTAGCCAGGATTACAGGCGTGAGCCACTGGCGCCCGGCTAGGAAATGTGTCTTGAAAGAGGGAATGTGTCCTGAAAGCGGAAAGCGGAAATGATCCAGTCAGGTCACCGTCAGCCTGCGGAACAAGCTCAGAATCCGAAACCCCGCGAGCCCTTGCATTGTAGGGTGCGCCCGGGGCGGGGCGCATATGTCAGCTTGTTCGTAAATCCACTCCCCCTTCCACCCACTCCGGAACAACGCCCTCACTTCGCGCACGCTGTGTGTCGGCCCTCCGGGCTCGCGGGCGCGGGGCGGGGCGGAGAAGAAAAATAGCTGGTTGGCTGGCGGACAGCGAGGGGGCGGGGCGTACGCACGCATCAACGCTTCCTCGCGCTGCGTGGCCTCTGCGCGCGCGGATGGTCGGCCCGCGGCTGTTCTGCGCCGTTCCGGCGTCGGGGCCCGGCATGGCGGGGGCCGGGGCCATGCCGGGCCGGACCCGGACCTAAATGCCTCTGCTTCTTTCCGCGCTGTTGGTCTTGCTGCTGGCTGCGCTTAGCGCCCTCTTCTTAGGCCGGTGAGTGGCTCCCAGCCACAGCAGTGGGAGAGAAAGAGGAAGAGAGTCTGAGGAGGGGGCGCTGGTCAGGCGCGGAAGGGGAGGGCGTGGGACCAAGGAGGGGGCGCGCGGCCCCGGCCGCGGGGAGGGACGCGGGTGAGGGGAGACCTAGGGAGCGGGCGGGGCCTCAGGGAATGCTGAAACTGGGAACTTAACAGCTATGCATGAAGAAGGGGCCTCGCTCGGTAGTCTCCCGGTCCTGGGCCACACTCCCCAAATGTCTCCTCTAGTGATCGCGAAGGGCACCTGCAGTCTTGTCCTAGAGAGTGAGGTCAGGAGGACTGGGTGTTCAGTGCAGAGCGGCATTTGAGCAAGCAAGGCGTGACCTCTTAGTACCTTCTCGCGAACACCTGTCTGGAAGGTGGGGGAGGACACAGGGACCCTCTGGGAAGTGCGATGTACATTTGACACTGCTGCCTCCACTTTGACTCCTGTGGGGGGACTCTTCCTTTCTACTTCGGGTTCCTAAGGACTTGAGGGATTGCTTTTTTGGTCGCTGTATTAGAGGGTGGGGTTCAGTTTATCCAGTTTCATATGCGTGGAGGGGTCACTCGGGGCCTAGGGTCCTGATTAATGTGACTGAATGTGTGTGTTAGATGCTTTGGGAGGCAGGAGAGTTTCTCAAAAGTACACTTCAAAGACACGACTCTTTGCAAAGCCTTCTAGGTCTAACAAGATTTATGAGAAGCCACAATTGGGAGAGGGTCTTAACAACTCACAGGGATTTTTCTACAGATGGCTTGTGGTCAGGTTGGCCACCAGGTGGTGTCAGCGGAAGCTACAAGCAGAGTTAAAAATCGGCTCCTTCCGCTTTTTTTGGATCCAGAATGTCAGTCTTAAGTTTCAGCAGCACCAGCAAACAGTGGTGAGTTCTGGGAATCTTCTGGGTCTGTGTGTGGGGTGGGGTGGGGTTGATCCAGTTGAAGTTCAAGTTTGAGTCAGGGTGTTTCGCACCAGGTTTCCCTCCAACTAGCAGTCTTCCTGCTGTAGTCTCAAAGTCTGGTATCCTGAGTGCTGGGATTGCTATACCCAGCTGAATTCCAAGCTTTAATTTACTTTTTTGTGTTTTTCCCTATGTTGGGGATTGAACCCAGGGCATGCTAGGCAAGCTCTCCACCACAAACCTACATCACCAGCCTCTTAATTTCCTTAAAAAAATTCTGGTGACTTTTCTAGGTAATTTCCCCCTTGCTATTTCTTTGCTGAGATGATCTTAGGGCTAGTTGGGGAACACTAGAAAAATGCACGTTGTTCAGTTAAAAATGTTTATAGGGCACAGAGTGTCCAGGGCACATAAAAAAAAAGATACAGAAGAAAGATAACAGGAAACAGAAAAGCTTACTGTTTAAGCTTACTAATTTATGAGAGGAAACAGGGCAACATAGCCACAAAGGAGAAATACCAAGCAAATTCAACTAATGTCATTGTGAGGAGCAGAGAAACCAGTGGAAACGGAATGGTGCATATTTAGTGGGAGGGCCAATAGAACTTCCTCTTCTGACTTGTCAAGCTGCTCATTGCGTACCTAGCGAATACTATACATAGTTTTTTCCACATTGTTTTTAGGAAATTGATAACTTGTGGATTTCGAGCAAACTCATTAGTCATGATCTGCCGTGAGTACCCTGTATCTCACTTTTCCCCTTGAGGAATATTTTGGGATTGAGTTTTGAAGAATGTGCTTTTTTCTTTATTCTTTCCCCTGCCCTAGTACTGAGGTTTGCACTCAGGACCTCCTGCTTGTTAGATAGGGGCTCTTATCTAACAAGCATGAGCCACTCTATCAGCTATATATTTTGGGTTTTTTTTTCTGGCAGTACTTGGGTTTGAACTCAGGGCTTCACTTGGCAAGGCATGTGCTCTACCACTTGAGCCACTCCACCAGCCCTTTTTTTTGTGTATTGGGTATTTTTTGAGATAGGGTCTTGCTTTTTGCCCCGGGCCAGTCTCAGACTTTGATTTCCTTCATCACTGCTTCCTGAGCTGCTAGGATTACAGGTGTGAGCCACTAGTGCTCAGCAAATGTACTTTTTCCTGTAGAGGCTTTTCAGCCCAAGGAAGGAAATAGGTTCTTGCTGGAGTCTGCCTGTTAGCCTCAGTGCTGTTTTGTGAGACAGATACTGATAACTGATATGAGATTGTCTTCTATGATTTGACTATATTTATAGAGAGATTGGGAGAATGAATGTGAGGGCAGGGAGGAGACTTTTATGGGAGGAATGGACCCAGTGGAATTGAGGTTTCTCTTTTGGACAGACACTATGTGGCCTTGTGCTTTGGAGAAGTACGAGTTAGAACAGACTTCCAGAAGATTTCTGGTCTATCTGCCCCATTCTCCCAGAATACTGGGGTGGATCCAAAGGAACTGTCATTCAGCCCATCCTTGTTGAAGATCTTCTGCCAAGTGAGACTATTTCTTCTATCCTTGACTGTATTCCAGTTAGCTTTGGCGTTATGGGTGGAATTTTCTACTATTTTGGAGTCATAATGCTGAGATCTGCCTCTGTTTCTCAGCTGGGAAGGAATGGTGATGCCTTGATATTAATTATTGTTTATTCTTGCTCATTCCTTTCAGCTATTCTCCATTCATGTAGATTCTATAAACATCATGGTTCTCAAGGTGGCTACCTCTGAGTCCCTATGGCACATTCAGATCAGTAGAAGCAGATTTCTTTTGGATAGTGATGGGAAAAGGTAAGCACTGGTTAGAAGAGGGTTTGGTAGTAGTATTCTTGCTTTGGAGTTGCTTAAGGGAAAGTGGATATCAGGGCCTCCTCAAGGTGTCAATTTCTCATTCTGTGCAATTTGAGGAGAGTCTTAAGATTAGGCATTTCTGCTTGCTTTGTCCCTTCTAACCAACAGAGCTTGCGGAGGTAAATGGTGAGGGAAAGAACCAAGTGCTCTTATTTATTTATTTATTTATTTTTCCTTTCCCAGGCTAATCTGCAAGGTGAGCTTATCCAAGATCAACAGCAAAGTTCTGAAGAGTGGTCAGCTGGTGAGCGCCATGGTCATTCTCATGCTTCATTTCTTCCTGTGCATAAATTATGAAGGAGCTTAGCACTTACATTCGAGATTCTATGTCTTTATGGGGTCCTCTCAGTGGTCCAGACCATTGCAATTGGATCTAAAATTCCCCAGACTCTCTATATACACTTTAGAGGCTTATCCTCCCTACAGGAGGACACCTGCCTAGTGGAACTCTCATTGACCCTGGACCTATGTCTAAAGGTTGGCATTAGCAGTTGGCATCTGAAGGCTATAACTGTGGATGTGTGGACACTCCATGCTGAGCTTCATGAGGGTCTCTTCCATCGTCAACTGTTGTGTCATGGCACAAGCCAGGTATCCAAGCCTGCTTTCTGCTCAGGTAAAGCACCAGTCATTGAGCTTCTTGGCTGCTTTGTTCTCAGGGGTTATTTTAGAAATAGGAAAAAACTGGTTTTATTGTTGGAGGTGTGGCTCAAGTGGTAGGGCACCTGTCTTGCAAGTGTGAAGTGTTGAGTTCAAACCCCAGTACCACTAAAAAAAAACTGGTTTCATTACTCATTTAGGTGTGAGTTATTAGTCACCATGGCCTTTGACCATGAGGTTAGAGGAAGTAGAGCATTTCTTAGTGTTGAGTGAAGGAACTAACATTGAGTGGGTGTCTATCATGAATTAGACCCATATTGTGTGTTTTATATATATTCTGTCACTAAATTCTCAACATTTCACAAGTAAGGAAATCTAGAACTGTTAGCTAGGTGATTTGGTTTAGGTTATACAGCTAGTCAACAGTAAAAATGAATTTTGAATTATTTGATCCTAACGTCCATTTTCTTTGCATTATACCAACCTATTCTCCATATATTTATGCTTTTAGAGTCTCAGGAACCAGGCATCTAGATCTGTAGTGTATTTGCCTCATGGTCTCTCTTGGCCATTTGCTTAGTCTACTTTATGTGGTAGAGTTTGGCCAAAGAGGATAGGGCTTGGAAGAATTAAGAGTATTAAGGATTGTTATTCATTCATGTTCTCAGAGGTGACAGAGAACTTGGTTGAGCCAACCCTGCCTGGCTTATACCTCCTCCAGCAGCTGCCAGACCAGGTCAAGATAAAGATGGAGAACACAAGTGTGGTGTTATCTATGAACAGTCAAAAGAGGTGAGGTCTCTCCTGACACAGTATGAAGGAGAGTGATAATGCAGACTATATACTGCAGTCTCTGTAACCAGACTGAGACTGAGACTGAGACTCAGCTGCACTGAGCTTATCCCTGGGGAGAAAAAAATGTAGGAATAGCATTCCACATCATTCTGAGCCATAATCTGTCCCTGGTTTAGGCACCTGACTTGGACACTGAAGCTACTTCATTTCCTGTACCATCGTGATGAGGATCAGCTCCCTCTTCGAAGCTTCACAGCAAACTCTGATATGGCACAGATGAGCACTGAACTCCTACTGGAAGGTTCATGGATGGGGGTATTGGTACTAAGGGAATGGTAGAACTAGGCACTCTCTGCTCATGTTCCACATGGTCTTCTTGATTGAATATCAGTGTAACTGGGGAGGAAGAGGAGGGAATGAAGTGAGAAAACAGCCCCAACTCAAAAGTGTTGGTGAAAATTTGTTCATCTCCTTGCTTACCTCTGTCCCTCTCCTTGGTTTACTTCTTGCCCTCCTTTTGCTCTCCTCTGATCTGTTCTCTATTCTCTTACAGATGGGTTATTGCTATCCCAGAGTCGCCAACGCATTGTCTGTCTCAACTCCCTCAAGGCTAGTGTGCAGGTGTGCTGACTGTGATACCAAAAATCTTTTCTCAGCATTGTTGCATTATGAGTTAAGGAAATAGATCTCAAACCTACATTTTGGGTCTTCTCATTTTCAGGTGACAACCATTGACCTCTCGGCCTCCTTAGTTTTGAATACTTGTATCATTCATTATCGGCAACAGGAATTCTTTCATTGGCTGCATATGCTAGAACTGGAGACCCAAGGGTCTAGATCACCTGTTCTTAAGCAAAGAAAAAAAAGGTCAGTTTAATTTTTTCAGTCACCATTTTATTGGGAAGATTCCCTTTTTTAATCCAGAGCTTGTGTTAAATATGTTTTATTTATTTATTTTGTGATACTAGGGATTGAACCCAGGGCATCACACCTGCTAGGCAAGAGCTCTTCCACTTGAGCCATGTATTTGTTCTCTCAATATCCTACTCTCAGAAGCAATGCTGTTTTATGTTTTCCCCATTGGAATGACTCCTTGATGATAGGAAGATGTTGTTTTTGTTAGTGTGTCCTCAGCACAGTGCTTTATACAAAATAAATATTTGTTGAACTGAACTTAAATTATAAACAGTATCTTGACTTGTCTGCCTTAGGTTATAAGGTAGCAGTGTCAGGTCTGCAGAGCCTTCTTTATCTCTGTAGTGCTTGCATTGTGCTGCACAGAAAACTTAAGGTTAATGGTTTAGAAGTGATACTTCTTGGTTATATTAGGTTGAATAATATAATACTGCTGATTTTCAACATACTTGGCTATGAAAAGGGAAGTTTCATGTTGTACAAGCTCACATTTTTCTGGGCTCTTGCAGATTACCATTGGGAGTATCAGCAAGCTGATAAACTTAGCCTTTTACTTTCTAGTCGTAGCCCATCCTAAGAATCACAACAAAACTTAAATTGTCACATTGATTTTGAGAGCTTCAGGAATCTGTTCCTTGATAGGAAGCTGCACTTACTTCCTTCAAATGGTGATGTTTTGTTCCCATATAGAATCTTCCCTCAAATCCTGGCTCCCATCATCTTCAGCACCTCCATCTCTAATGTCAACATTTCTATTCAGCTTGGAGATACACCACCTTTTGCCTTGGGATTCAATTCTATCTCTCTGGGTAAGGCTCTGGGATAGAAAAGGAATAAGAATTTGTCCGTTAGTGGAGCTAGACCCTATTGATGGCCATAATGGCCTAATACAATTCCTCTTTCCCACTTTTGTTCAGATTACCAGCACCTCAGGCCACAGAGTATTCATCAGCGGGGTGTCCTAACCGTGGATCACCTCTGCTGGCGTGTAGGCAGTGACTCCCACATTCAGCGGGCACCACATCCACCTAATATGCATGTTTGGGGTGAGGCGCTTGTCTTGGACTCCTTCACACTACAGGTAGGTGGAGGCTTTGGTGAGTAGGGACCCACACAGCTTCCTATCCTGATACGCTTCAGAGCACTGAGTATCTTCTCATTGGTAATCAGGGTATTAAACTGCATCTGCATGCTTTCAGTGGCATCCATTTGCTTCTCTTCTAGGGTAGCTATAACCAGCCTTTGGGCCTGTCCAGGACTCAGTCAGATACCCTCTTTCTCGATTGTACTATCCGAGGACTTCAGGTAGAAGCATCAGACACCTGTGCTCAATGTCTGTCTCGAATCTTATCCCTGATGAGTCCACAATATGGAAAGTCAGCTATCTCTAGGGACTCTTCATTTGGGGAATCTATGACATTACTGTGGAAGGTGGACTTGAAGGTGGAGGACATGAACTTGTTCACTCTTTCTGCCCTGGTTGGTAAGTGGGACAGGAGGTCTGTGCTGGAATGAATAGTATGTAAATTAAGCAGTTTATGCTGCTTCAGTCTCCTCATTTGAGGAAGCTGATTACCTGGAATTTTTTTGTATTGGAGTCTGATTGGGCTTCTTGCTGTTACTTAAGGACTTATTGAAAGGCAAATATTTAGCAAATAATATAAGAAAAAGCTTTAGTTTTTTTTTTTTTTTTTTTGTGGTACTGGGGTTTGAACTCAGGGCCTACACTTTTTTTTTTTTTAATAAATTTTTTATTAGGATATATTCATTATGGGGGGGATTCATAGTGACAATTCCAGTTAGACTTATTATATTATACATTATTTGCATTGCCTCATCATCTCTTCCCCTCAACCCCCTCCCCACCTTACTTAAAGCAATTATAAGAGGTTTCTTAGTTCTGTTTTCATATAGGTATATGAAGTCCATCTACTATATACTGTCACCTTAATCTCCTTCCTTTACTCTCCCCCTCCTATTAGCATCCTCCCCCGCCACACAATGGACCTATTTTACAGTCCTGGTCTTTGTTATTAACATTTAAGTTGATGTTCAAAGGAGTGTCTCAATGCATGCCTACTGTGGGTATACTTTACTTTGGTCCATTCAATCCTTTCCATTACTCTCCCTTACTTCTTTACCTCCTACCCCTCATTTTTTAACAGCTTTCAATACACATCCTTATACCCTCTACCTTCTCAGATCTTATGTGATATTACTGATGTTCTGTTAATCTCTTTTCCTTTCCCTCATGCCCGGCTAGCCAAGGTTTGTTTTTTTTTTTTGGTGGTACTGGGGCTTGAACTCACCTTGAGCCTCTCCATCAGTCCAGCTTTTTGTGATAGGGTTTTTCAAGATATGGTCTCGTGAAACTATTTGCCCAGGCTGGCTTTGAACCTCAATTCTCCTGATTCTCTGCCTAGTAGCTAGGATTACAAGTGTGAGTCACCGGCACCCGGCTAGCCAAGGTTTTTAAATTATAATCCACAGGGTCTACTGTAGCAAATGTAAGCAGAAAGAAGTTTTTTGTTTTTGTTTTTTTTTTGGTAGTACAGGGGTTTGAACTCAGGGTCTACACCTTGAGGCACTCCACCAGCCCTTTTTTTGTACTGGGTTTTTTCAAGATAGGGTCTCACAAACTATTTCCCCTGACTGGCTTTGAACCATGATCCTCCTGATCTTTGCCTCTTGAGTAGCTAGGATTACAGGTGTGATCCACTAATATCCGACTAGCTTTAACTTTGATGTGGCTAATGTGTTCTGAGAATGAGATCCCCATGTAGCTTTTTATTTTTCTTTTTTCCTCCTTGAGACAGGGTCTTGCTATATAGCCCAGTCTGGACTTGAACTCACCATATAGCTCAGGCTGGATTCAAACTTACCACGTAGCCCAGGCTAACCTCAGACTCAAGTTCCTCATGCCTTAGTCTTCCAGGTGCTGGAATTACAGGCATGCACCACCACACCCAGTTCCCACATAGCTTTTTATTTCCTTTTGTGTTTAGTTTTAGGGATTTAATGATATATCTCTGGATCTTCTTTGGCACTACCTTTATCTAGTTAAAGAGGGGAAAGGGAAAATTTCCCTAAAATATGAGAAATAAGGAAGGTGTGGAGAATAAAGATAACTGAAGTAAAGGGAATAAGAAAGGAGAGTGAGGGCAGAGGTACCCATTTGAGAACTGGAGACTAAGGTTGACATGATGTCTGGATGTTAGGTGCTTTGGAGGTACGACTGGACACACTGACAGTCCTGGGCAGTGCTGAGACCTCTACCATGGGGATTCAAGGGCTTGTGCTTGCACTAGTGAAGTCAGTCACGGAGAAGATGCAGCCCTGTTGCAAGGCTCCTGACATCCCCACTCCAGTGCTTGGCCTCTCCATGCTCTCCCTCACCTATCACAACAGCATTCGCTCTCTAGAGGTAATGCATCTGTGGGGAGGTAGGGCCAGGCTGGGTTTTTCTGTCTTTTTGACTCACATTGTGAAGCTTATGAGAAAAATGACACCTGATGTTTCCTCCCTCCCCTCTTTCCCGTTCCTCTCTTCCTTCCTCCCTTATTCTGTACATCTTTAATTTTTTACTATGGAATTACAAATGCTTGCAAAACTAGAGAAAATATTAAAGCATTCATATGCCCAGCTTAATTACCAGTTCATGACCAATTTGTTTCAGTTTATACCCCCTTCAGTATCCCTTGTCTAAGCTCTGGGATTATTTTGAAGAAATACTAGATATATAATTTCAATTATAAGTATTTCAGTATTTATTTCTGAAAAATAAGGGGCTTTTAAAAAATAATGATCTGGTGTCATTTTGTGTAAGCACTCAGCTCCTCAGAAGGCTGGAAGGGATGTGAAGATGCAAGCACTGGCAGTTTTTGAGATGCTTTTCAGTATCTTTCTCCTAGGGTTATCAGATGGACAGGAGGGCGGGGTGGATTTTCCTGTTTGTTGAACTTTACTTTCCTTTGGAAACTAAAGAGGTTCCTTTTCCAAGACTGGAACTTGAAAGAACTTTTCTGTCTTGGAATTTTAATTTTTCTCTATCTACTTAGCTATTTAGAACTGACTTTGTTTTTCAAGTTGACAAGGACTCTGCACCCTTCCTTGAGGCATACTTTCACATAAGTCAGTTGTTGTATTGTGTTGTGTGATCAGTATTTTTATACTACCTTTTAGGAATTAAGTTAAAATGCAGTCCCTGAAACATTTCAAATTGCAGTAATTATTAGAGTGTTGCTGTTAAAGAACAGTAACTCATGAGAGAAAACATAAATGATTTATTGAGTATAAATTGGGTATACTGTGGCAGATAGCAAAGAATTAAAACACACAGACCCTACTCTCAGACAATTTAGAATCCAGTTGCGGGTGGGACTTAAAAGGTAAGTACTATTAAGTGCAGGATGACTTCTGGGTGGAGATACTTGAGCCAGTATGCATGTATAATAATCCCTGCCATATCTACTGTTCTGAGATATAGTGACTGACAGCTTCTTTTGCACACTAAAGGTGCAGTGTGGTGCAGGGCTGACCTTACTCTGGAGCCCCCCAGATCACATGTACCTGTACCAGCATGTCCTGGATACCCTGCAGTGCCGAGACCTACTAAGAGCCACTGTGTTTCCCGAGATCATCTCATCTCTTGCACTAGAGACTCCAGAAACCACTTCTGAGCCAGAAGACCATCTCCCTGAGCCATCCCCACCAAGGCGGCTGCTAAACCTGACACTGGAGGTGAGCACAGCCAAACTGACAGCTTTTGTGGCTGAGGACAAGTTCATTACCCTGGCTGCAGAGAGTGTGTCACTGAACCGTCATGGAGGTTCACTGCAGGCTTACTGTCCAGAGCTGGCTGCTGGCTTTGATGGCAATAGCATCTTCAATTTTAAGGAGGTGGAGGTGCAGCTGCTACCTGAGCTGGAGGAGATGATCCTGCACCGGAACCCCTTCCCTGGGCTGCAGACCCTCCGGAATCGTGTTTGGCTCCTCTCCCTTGGCTCAGTCTCAGTGGAATTCCCTTATCAGTATGACTTCTCTAGAACTCTGGATGAGGCTGTGGGAGTTCAGAAATGGCTAAAAGGACTGCATCGAGGGACTCGTGCTTGGGCCTCTCCAAGCTCTGCCCCACTCCCACCTGATCTACTCTTGAAGGTTCAGCACTTCTCGTGGGTTTTTCTGGATGACATTTTTGAGGTGAAACTTCATGATAACTGTGAATTGATGAAAGATGAAAGTAAGGAGAGTGCCAAAAGGCTGCAGTTGCTGGATGCCAAAGTGGCTGCCCTTCGGAAGCAGCATGGGGAATTATTGCCAGCTCGAAAAATTGAGGAGCTCTATGCCTCTTTAGAACGCAAAAACATTGAAATCTATATCCAGCGCTCCCGTCGTCTCTATGGCAACACACCCATGCGCAGGGCACTGCTCACTTGGAGCCTGGCAGGGCTAGAGCTGGTGGCTCTGGCAGATGCTTCCTTTCATGGGCCTGAGCGTGTGGTAGAACAGGTTCAAGAGCTGGATTCAAGCAGCCCTTTTCCTGCTGAAGGAATAGATCTTATCATTCAGTGGTGTCGCATGCTTAGATGTAGTGTCAAGACCTTTCTGGGTAAGTAGTGCTTTGCTTATTTGTGCCCCCTTAGCTCTAGGGATCACAAGGAGCTAGATTATATTGGGAAGTGTGGCTGTTTATGGGTGGAGTAGGATGGATATATTCCCCTTCCTTTTCTTTGTTCCTGAATTTCACTCTGAAATTGCTTGGCTGACATGAAGGGGGATAGTCATCTTTAAAATTATTGTGGCTCTTGGATCTCTATGCCCTTCATCTTCTCCAGGGTCTCTGACCTTTTTTAGCTTTGTTGCTTACCCACTGCCAACCTTGGTCGATCAATCAACTGTAAATATAGATGAGTAAAAGTAGTGGCAAGGAAAAAAAAGTACCTGAGAGTGTTAAGACAAGCTCCCTGAATTGCTGTGTATCTCTTCTATAATATCAGTTCGGATCAGAGATTATCCACGGTACCTGTTTGAGATCCGTGACTGGCGGCTTATGGGTCGACTTGTGGGCACTGAGCAAAGTGGTCAGCCTTGCTCCCGTCGACGTCAAATCCTGCACTTGGGGCTTCCATGGGGTAATGTGACAGTAGAGAGGAACATGCCACCACTCAAGTTCTACCATGACTTCCACTGTGAGTAGAGAGGGCGGTTGGTTTAGTTAAAGGATATTTGTGGTGGCTGGGGTGGGAGATAAGCTGAGGCCTTTTGGAATGAAGGAGGAACAGAGAGGTGAAGTTGTGTAATAAGCTGTAGCCTTTGTTCCTCTACCCCAGCGGAAATCTTCCAGTACACAGTGGTATGGGGCCCATGTTGGGATCCAGCCTGGACACTGATTGGCCAATGTGTGGACCTCTTGACTAAGCCCTCAGCTGACCCCAGTCCACCCTTGCCCTGGTGGGACAAAAGCCGTCTTCTGTTCCATGGGGACTGGCACATGGACATTGAACAGGCGAACCTGCATCAGCTAGCCACTGAGGTAGGGGAAAGAAAAATACTGATTTGGGAGGGGGGGATGGTTCTCTTATCCATACATCACCATGTTCTTGGGGGTGGTTATAGGATCCATACAATACAACTGAAAATATGCACTGGGAATGGAACCACCTTTCTTTTCATTGGACACCTGGTCAGTTTGTGTTCAAAGGTGACTTGGATATCAACGTAAGAACAGCCTCTAAGTGAGTAAAGTAAAGGGTGGGACCCCAACAGGGTGGGAAACTGAGGGTGGAGGGAAAGGGGAAGAGGCAAGGGGAGGCAAGTGACCAGGTCACTGAGGGCTGGGGCTCCATTGTGAGGCAGGTATGACGACTGCTGCTTCCTTCACCTGCCTGACCTCTGCATGACGCTGGACCTGCAGTGGCTGTGCCATGGGAACCCCCATGATCACCATGGTGTCACTCTGAGGGCCCCAGAGTTCCTGCCTGAGGTGCCCTTGGGCCAGCTCCATGACTCCTACCGGGCCTTCCGCTCTGAGAACCTCAATCTCTCCATCAAGATGGATCTGACTCGGCACAGTGGGAGTGAGGCTTGGGCCTGGGGCAACAGGGAGGAAGGGCTTGGTGGATGGACTTGGATACTAAGGACTTAAGCTAGAAGGAGAGGGTATGGAAGGGCACAGGACAATTGTCAGGACCTTCTTTTTCCAAAGGGTTTGGTTTTGAATTGCTATAATGATAATACCATAAATTGTGTGGCATATGGACACAGACATCTTGATTCTCACAGTTCTGGAGTCTGGGAAGTTCTAAGATCAAGGTGCTAGCAGATTCAGTATCTGGTGAGGGTCCATTCTTTATAGATGGAACTTTCTTAGTGTGTCCTCCCATGGTGGAAAGAGCCAATGAATTCTGGGCCTTATTTACAAGGGCATTCATCCCATTCATGAGGTCTCTGCCCTTGTGATCTAATCACCTTCCAAAAGCCCACTTCCTAATACCATTCATTACCTTGGGGTTTAGGATTTCAGTGTAAGAATTTGGAGGTGGGAGGATGGTCAGAGACACAAACATTCAGACCGTAGCAGTAGTTGAAGGCAAAGAGCTTAGATCCTTTAAAGAAGAGGGTGCTATGGGTAGTGGGTATGAGGTTAGGTGCTATTTGGGTTTTTAAACTTCTAAAAACTGAAGCTAAGGAAGGACTTAGCCCACCTCTGTTTCAGCTACCAATAGGATGTGTCTATCCTTTCCTTTACAGCAATATCTCAGCCCCGAATTCTGCTATATAGTAGTACCCTACGCTGGATGCAAAACTTCTGGGCAACCTGGAGTAGTGTCACAAGACCTATTTGTAGGGGAAAGCTCTTCAATAACCTGAAACCCAGCAAGAAGAAGCTTGGCCAACACTATAAGCAACTTTCCTATACTGCACTCTTTCCCCAGCTGCAGGTCAGGTTCTGACATCTTAACTTCTGTCCCCTTCCCTAAATTTTTTATTTTCTCATATCTGATCACTTAATCTTCCCTCTTATGCCACCCTGTCTTTACTCTTACACTATTGCCAGGTACATTATTGGGCTTCCTTTGCTCAGCAACGGGGCATCCAGATTGAGTGCCGTCAGGGCCATGTCTTCACTCGGGGAAATCAGCGGCTTATACCTCAAGGTAAGATCATAGTCTCCTTTGGTTTTTCCTAACCTGTTCTTGTCCTTTTTCTCTGTTTCTGGTTCATTCTCCTCCCAAAGGACTCTTCCCATACTACTCCTCATGGATCCTGTGCACCTTGTTTTCTCAGCGGGCACAGTGATGCGGCGCCTCATCTCTGATTGGAGTGTGACCCAGATGGTGAGTGACCTAAGTCAGGTGACTGTTCACCTGATGGCCTCACCCACTGAAGAGAATGCTGATCACTGCCTTGATCCCTTGGTAACAAAGACCCACCTGCTGAGCCTGTCTTCTCTCACCTACCAACGGTATAGCAGTCGTACAGTTGAGGAGGTACTGTCTACACACAATCTCTTTATTACCTCAGTTATGTTAGTTGGTATCTCACTCTGTTGGGCAAAACATTATAGACTGATGATGATCTAAACAACAGAAATCTTTTCCTTTTAGTTTTGGAGCTGGGGAAGTTTAAGAATAGGGTGCCAGCATGGTTTGGTTCCTGTGAGGCCTCTTTTCTTGGCTTGCAGATGGCTGCTTTCTCACTGTGTGCTTACATGGCACAAAGACGGGAGAAGGATAAAAATGAATGGGAGTGTGTGCTTATGTGCTGGTGTCTTTTCTTATGAGAACACTAATCCTGTCATGAGGGCCCACCCTATGACCTTATCTAAACCTAATTATCTCCTATCTCTAAATACTATCACATGGGGGTTAAGGGCTACAACATACAAATTTGGGGGGCACACAATTCAGTCCATAAGAGGAGATTTTAGGCTAAGTTTCTGGTAAGATTCCTAACTATTATGCAAGCATAATTTAATGCATTCACTTGGTTTAGCTATATTAACATTTTTTTTTTGAGACAGGTTTTTGCTATATAACTCTTGCTGACCTTGAACTCAAGATTTTCTGCCTCAGCCTTCTGAGTGCTGGGATTACCGGGGCACCACCAAGCCTAGCTAGCATGGCTCAGTGTTAGAGTGCTTTACCTAACGTTCAGTACCCAGCACTCTTACCCCTCCCAAAAAATTCTTTTTCTCCCACTCCTTTTTTTTTTTTTCCATTTTGCAGTACCAGGGCTTGAACTCAAGGACTTCACCTTGAGGCACTCCACCAGTCCTTTTTTGTGATAGGTATTTTCAAGATAGGGTCTCGAGAACTATTTGCACAGGCTGGCTTTGAACCATGATCCTCCAGATCGCTGCCTCTTTGAGTAGCTAGGATTATAAATGTGAGCCACCTGTGCCCAGCTACCCCTCTCCTTCTGAAAATAGTCTCTTACCCTTTAGAAAATAGCATAAAAGTTTTTTTTTTTGTTTTTTTTGATCCATCCCTGTTACTACCTGGAGAGTATAAAACGTTTTTTTTTTCTGCAGTACTAGGATTTGAACTCAGGGCCTATACCTTGAGCCACTCCACCAGCCCTTTTTTGTGAAGAGCTTTTTTGAGATAGAGGTTTGCAAACTATTTGCCCAGGCTGAGTTCAAACTGATCTTCCTGATCTCTGCCTCCTGAGTAGCTAGGATTACAGGCATGAGCTACCAGCGCCTGGCGAGAGTAGAAAAGTGTTTTAGTTTTCTTTTTTTTGTGTGTGTGTGTGTGAGACTGGGGTTTGAACTCAAGATTTCATATCTGCAAAGCAGGCTCTCTACAGCTTGAGGCACACCTCCAGGCTATTTTGCTCTGGTTATTTTGGAGATGAGGTCTCATGAACTAGTTACTCTGGCTGGCCTCATACAGCAATCCTTGTGATCTCAGCCTACCAAATACGTAGAGTTACAGTTATGTGCCAACATGCCCAGCTAAAATTTTTTAACTAGCATTTTATTTAATATTGAGTTTCTCCCCCCAGTTAGGGAAGAATTTTAAGTTGAAAAGATTTTTTTTTTCCTCCTCCAGCACTGGGGCTTGAACTCAGGGCCTCATACTTCCTAAACAGGTGCTCTTACTGCTTGAGCCACTCTGTCAGCCCTTTTTTGTGATGGGATTTTTCAAAATAGGGTCTCACGAACTGTTTGCTAGGGCTGGCTTTGAACCTCGATCCTCCTGATCTCTGCCTGCTGAGTAGCTAGGATTATAGATGTGAGCTACTGGCACCTGGCCTTAAGTTGAAAAGTTACTTATTTGTGTATGTATGTATGTATGTATGTATGTATTTATTTGTGACAGGGTCTCACTATTTGAACATTTTATCCTTCTGCCTCAGCCTCCCCAGTACTGGGATAACAGGTATGTGCTACCATGCCCAGCTTAAATTCTCTAAGTCACTTAAAATGCATTAGGTATAGTTAGGATGTAAAGTAATGTACAAGCTAAGACCCCCTTTTTTTTCCCTCCAGGGTCTTCCTGTCTCCTCTAGAATAGGTTTCTTGTTTCACAAGCTTGGCTCTTTGCACTTGTGGTCCAGAAGCAGTGGTGGGGAGATCCATGTTACCCAGAGGTCCTTTTCCTGTTTTTTTAGGAGCTGTCTACTCGAGATGGGGAACCTGCCTCTCACACACATCAGCTATACTTGGTGGATTTACGGATTTCCTGGACAACCACCAACCGGGATATTGCTTTTGGTTTATATGATGGCTACAAAAAGGCAGCTGTACTCAAACGAAATCTCTCTACTGAGGCTTTGAAGGGTTTAAAGATTGATCCCCAGATGTCAGCCAAAAAGCCAAAGCGGGGCATCTCAAGTAGTGCCCCAGTCCAACCTCATATCAACACCCCTAGCTTCAGTGGACAGCCTGATCAGGGGTCGTCAGGAGGTAGGCTGGGGGAGATGACACTATGGGTTTAGGTTTATTTATTTATTTATTTATTTATTTAAAGACTTTTCAAATCTGTTTTTATTTATTTGCTTATTTATTTATTTGGTGGTACTGGAGTTTGAACTCAGGCCCTCATGCTTTTAGGCTTGCTAGGCAGGTGCTCTACTACTTTGAGCCACTTCCCCAGCCCTTGGGTTTAGGTTTAGAACATGGGCATGGGCTTGGACAAGAGTTTGAAAAGATCGTGCTGGTTCCATCTAGATGAAGAGATGAAAATACTATATTTTCATATTAGCTCACCTTAGTCTTATATACCAATGATGTAGGGCCATTAAAAGACCTGATCCTGTGCCAGGAGAAGAGGATCTGAGGAGGGCTGTGTCCAAAACAGGATGAGTAAAGAAAGAAGCAAAGGATTAGAAAATTGTTCCACGTTTTTGTTGTAATTGTTTTTGACTTGGGAATTGAGCCCAGGGCCTTGTGCGTGCTATAGCAGTGAATGCCCTACCACTGTGCTACATCTCCAGCCCTATTTCATATTTTGTTAATTTGTTTAGTCAACAAATAATTTATTTCATACTTAATAGGCACAAAGCACTGGAATCATTTAGGGATAAGACATTTGTTTGCCTCAAAAAATTTATCATCTGTGGATGATCTATGATGAATAGTTTATTGAGTCATACAATTATTCATTCATTTGCGCTTTACTCACAGGTGCAATGTATCACACATGACTATAGACATTGAAGATATAAAGATAAGTGGAAGGTCAGAAACTTGTAGGGAATAAGACATGTAAATTATAATGTCATTGTGAAAATGTTTTGTAAGAGTGTTGAAGGGGTACTAAAAGCCCAGAAAAGAAAATGTTTAAATCAATGTAGAGAAGTCTAGAAAGACTTCACAGAAATGATGATTGAGATAAATTTTAAAAGATAACTCACACTTCAACAGGCAAGAAAAAGGGAGAGGGCATTTTAGGAAGAGGGAATAGTAAGTGTAGAGTAATACAAGTTTACTGTGAGTTTGAGAACAAGGCAAAAGGTGATAAAATGCCACAAGAGAAAAGTGAAAGAATACCAGATGCCATTAGATCATGTCTGTAATCCTAGCTACTCAGAAGGGTAGAGGTCAGGAGGATCGAGGTTTGAAGCCAGCCCGGGCTTTGTTGTCTTCCCCACCTCCAGTTTCTTCCCCTCTAGTCCTCCTACACACTGCTGCTAAATTTGTTTTCCTAAAAGTAAAACTCTAATGATTACACACCTCTATTCAAAAACCTTCAGCAGTTTACCATTCCTTACTGAGTAAGAATCAAAAGCTTCTTATCCCTGTATGAAAGGTCTTTGGTGATCTACCTTCATGTTTCCTTTCCAGTCCATTCTCTTACTTCTTTCCTTTAGTTAATCTATTTACCAAAACAGACTGATCACTCTACTTCGAACATACTGAGCTTTCCCAAACTCCACTTCTACTCAGGTGATTCCCTCTGCATTGATTACCCTTCTTCTCCATTTCCATGTGTTCAAACCATACTAAACTTTCAGGGTCCACCTCAAATGTTACTTCCTCATAAATCCTTCCCTGGTTGCATTCCTCCTCCTGTCAGGAACAACTCCTATGTTCTTCCACTTCCTTTTTTTTTTTTTTTGGTGGCGTGGGGGTTTGAAATCAGGGCCTCATGCTTGATAGGAAGGCACTCTTGCACTGTTACTGCTTGAGCCACTCCACCAGCCCTTTTCTGTGTTGGTTATTTTTGAGATAGGGTCTCGAGAATTATTTGTCTGGTGCTGGCTTTGAGCTGTGATCCTCTTAATCTCTGCCTCCTGAGTAGCTAGAGTTACAGGTGTACATAGTTACAGTATGACAAAGGTTATGAGTCAGGTGACTGGGAATATCAGAAATAGGAGAGCCATAGACTAGATTTGGGGAAGTGTACTGTTGAGTTCAGATTTGGATATGCTAAATTTGTGACAGTAGTAGGACATCTAGATAAGGTTAACAAGCAGCTGGAAAGGAGGGTCTAGCCATTGTGGTGGAACATGCCTATAATCCCAGTACTCAAGAAATAGAGGCAGGAGGATCAGGAGTTTGAGGGTAGGTTGGGCTATATAGTGATACCCTATCTCAAAAAACCAAGGCCTGGGAATGTAGCTCAGTTAACATGCACAAGGCCCTGGGTTTGATAACCAGAACTCCAAAGAAAAAAAGAGAGAGAAATATATAATAGTCTAAAATCTTAGGGGGTAGAGAAATAGAGGTTTGGAAATTTCACCATAGTGCTAAGAGTTAATGCCAAGGATATAATTATAGTTATTTGCTGTGTAGCATATACTTCACAAAGTATTTTTATGTATTACTCTATTAAATTTTACAACATCCTTATAAGGTACAGTTACTGTTATTTTATAGACAAGGAAACTTGAGACACAAAGAGGTTAAAACAAACTGCCCGAAGTCATAGTTAAGTGGTAGAGATAAAATCTTGAACACAAACCAGGTGCTGGTGGCTCACACCTCTAATCCCAGCTACTCAGGAGGATCATGGTTCAGAGCCAGCCTGAGCAAATAGTTCAAGAGACCCTATCTCGAAAAACACCTACCACAAAAGGGCTGGTGGAGTGGCTCAAGGAGTAGGTCCTTAGTTCAAACTCTAGTACCACCAAAAAAAAAAAAAATCTTGAATATAAGCAGACTATCTAATTCTGGAGACTGTCCCCTTAACCATAAAACTCTTAGACAAACATACTAAGAGAAAGAGAAGGGAATATGCTAAGGATGAATCTTAGGAAATACTTATTTTTAAGATATAGGTGAAAGAAGAGGGTCTAGAGAAATAATCATCAGCCACACTGATGACAAGGAAGTAGTTGCAATAAGAACTAGTCATAAACAAGTAGCATGAAATAAGAGAAATAGAAGGAACAAAATGGGGGAGGGGGTAATCTTCCAGTCATCCAGAGGTTTTGCCTAAAAGAAAAAAATACTGCTACTTACCTAGCATTTCTGTTTCTGTTGGGAATCTTATTATCATTGAGGGGGAAATGAAATGACAATTCTAATTTTACCCTCAGGAATCAAGGATGGGAAAGAGTAGGCTAGACTAGACTTCCAGGTTAGGAAGGATGTACCTTAGCTCTTACCTAGCCAGAGAAATTGAGGAAAGGTCAGCTTGCCCCTGGATGTGTTCTTTCATTTTGAGACTGTGACCTTTTCCCTACTTTCTGTTTCTTTGCCAGGTGCTTACATGTTGCAAAAGCTGATTGAAGAGACAGATAGGTTTGTAGTATTCACAGAAGAGGAGTCAGGTATGAGTGACCAGTTATGTGGCATTGCTGCCTGCCAGACAGATGACATATACAACAGAAACTGCCTTATTGAGCTGGTCAACTGCCAGGTAACCTTTTCTCTACAAGAGGCTTCATCATAATGATATTGTTCACCTTCCCCCACCTATTTTTGAGATAAGGTCCCAACCCAGGCTGGTCTTGAAATTGTGATACTACTGCCTTGGCTTCCTCAGTGCTGGGATTATAGACATGGACCACTATTCTCAGTGCTTCTCCACTGCTAATGAGAATGGGTGGATAGAGCTCCAAAAAATTTTCCTGTCCCTTAGGGAATAATCACTTCCATGTCTAAAAGCCAATGAATTTCACTCAGTAACTGACTCAGTTGCAGTGGTTGGTATAGTGGTCTCAATAGCCTCATCTTTCTGGGTGGCTAACCTCTTTCTCTGACATAGATGGTTCTTCATGGAGCAGAAACAGAAGGCTGTGTCATTGTGTCAGCTGCCAAAGCCCAACTGCTGCAGTGCCAACACCATCCAGCTTGGTATGGTGATACATTGAAGCAAAAGACATCCTGGACTTGCCTATTAGATGGCATGCAGTACTTTGCCACCACTGAAAGCAGCCCTACTGAGCAGGATGGCCGACAGCTCTGGTTAGAGGTGAGTCAGCAGGGCTGGGAAGGCCTTTTATATAGTTTTCCATAGTTAGCCCCTTCCACCAGAATAGTAGGAAGATTCTTAGCAGTTGCTTAGCAGAATAATCAGAATAATGAGGCTTTTTTTTTTCCGGCTGCACTGGGGCAGGTGTTCTTACTGTTTGAACCACTTCATCAGCCCATAATGAGGCTACTGATACCTCAAATGTTGGCAGTCTTTGTGCTATGTATGAGTGCATAATACTTTGTTTTTGTTTGTTTTACTCTCTTGGCACTCGTTTAACAGAACTTGAATAAAATGGATTGGAACTTTTTTGCTTTTGGAGTTGATAACCCCTATTAATAATAAAAGTCACACTAACTACCAGGCAGCCAACAAAGCAGGCAGTAAATCAAAGAATTTTTTTTTGTGGCAGTACTAGGGTTTGAACTCAGGACCTCATGCTTGCTAGGCAGGCAGTCTAGCACTTGAGCCATTTCACCAGCCCAAATCTGAGATTTTTATTTTATTTATTTATTTATTTATTTTCAGTACTGGGCTTGAACTCAGGGCCTTTAACTTTAGCCACTCCACCAGCCCTAATTTTGTGAATGGTTTTTTGAGATAGGGTCTCATGGAACTATTTGCCTGGGCTGGTTTTGAACCTTGATCCTCCTGATCTCTGCCTCCTGAGTAGCTAGGATTACAGACATGAACCACTGGCATCTGGCGCCAAATCTGAGAATTTTTGGTAAACTGTTTATTTCTCTGACCTCTTATAAAGATGTTTGACTGGTTGTTTCAGCAAGGCAATGAGGTTAAATGAAAGACTACCTGGAAGTCAGGTTATATGGCTTCTAATGACAACTTTGCCATTATAGTAGCTATGAGCCCTTTGGGCAAATCACCTTTATTTGTAAAATAGAATTAATAGTTCATCCTTACAAGATTGTTGAAAGGGTCAAATGAGGAGATATTTTGAAAATAAAAAGATTTATTTGGATGGAAAGTAGTCTTTTTTTTTTTTTTTTTTTTTTTTTTTTTGCAATACTGGTGTTTGAACTTGGGGCCTACATTTCAAGCCACTCCACCAGCCCTATTTTGTGAAGGGTTTTTCCAAGATAGGGTCTTGTGAACTATTTGCCCAGGCTGGTTTTAAATCGAAATCCTCCTGATCTCTGCCTCCAGAGTAGCTAGGATTATAGGTGTGAACATTGGTGCCTGGCTAGTCTTAACCTTTCGTGTATGTGTGTGTAACTGGAGTTTGAACTCAGGGCTTCTCAGTTGCAAAGCAGTGCTCTATCACTTAAGCCACACTTCCAGTCCATTTTGCTGTTGTTATTTTTGCAGATGGGGTCTCGTGAATTATTTGCCTGGGCTGGCCTCGAACTATACTCCTCCTGATCTCAGCCTCCCAAGTAGCTAGGATTACAAGTATGAGCAGCGGCACCTGGCTTATCTTTTTTTTTTTTTAAGTTAGGACATCTGGGGAAGTCTTAAGTATATGGCAATATAATGTTTTTGTTAGGTAGCAAGATTATGAACAGTTGATCAGGACTAGGGAAGGAACTTGTCACACTGTAATTTTTTAGGATGGATCATCAGACTTATTGGGGGGTCTAATGGTTATGAGATAAATATGTCATTTTTAAATAAGTACTTAAGTATTTATTAAGTATTAAGTTCCCACATTGTGGTACATCCCAAATGAGTTGCAGGATTTAGCTGCATCTGATAAGAACCAAAGTGAGGTCTGGAGGTGTGTCTTAAGTAACAGAGTGCCTGTCTACAAGCGTTAAGCCCTGAGTTCAATCCCCAGTACTGACAAAAAGAATAACCAAAGTGATAACTTCATTTGCTATTCTACTCATGAGAATAAAGCTGATCCCTCTTCTCCTTCTGGCTAGTGCTTCTTACATCATGGACCTTAGGGCTCAATCTAGGCAACCTCAAGTATAATGATATAAGAGATAGTGAACATTTAGATCAGGTGTCAAGCCAAGTAAGGGCCACATTTTTGGTAGTATTTGAGGTCATGCTTGATATATAACAACTTTTAGTCAAACAGTGCTTGATCCCCACCACTACAAAAAAAAGTTATCCATGTAGAGGTGGGTAGAATGAGTTATCTGGCATTTTCTGGGCCTCTGCTCCTTTTGTAGCTGAACTCTTTTTTTTTTTTTTTTTTTTTTTTTCAGGCTGTTAGCATTAGAGTGGAAAGGACTGTGATATTTGCCTTTCCCATGTGACTCTTTGTGACTTGGCATATCTGCCATCCTGAGGCCTTGATCTTAATTCTGTGGTCTTTCCCTGACACTCGTTTCTGTTATTCACTGACTTCAGCTTGGCAGAGAGAATGGAAAGAATTCATTCTCTATCGTGTCAGAGTGGTGGTTTTCTATCTGAAGATAGAAAACAGCAGGAACACAAAACAAACTCATATCAAAATGGGTAGGAAAGTCAAATTTTTTTTTTGCCCATGACATTATTATTATTATTGTTATTTTTAATGAACTTAGGGCTGGGCTAGTTAGGCCTCACTAGCCACATAGAAATTATATGCAACTTTTTTTTTTTTTCTGCTGAACATTAAACCCTGTGCTAGTTAAGTGCTCTACCACTAAGCTATACACAACATGATTTGATTTTAACCTAGGTTTTTCTTGTTTTGGTTTTTTTTTTTTGTGGCCTCACACCTGCTAGTCTGGCAAATATACAATTCAGTTGGGTGACGAGTTTTGGTGGTTTGGGGCAAAAGAGAGCACATATATCCTTTATCCTGGGAGATTCATTAAGCTATCAGGACAATGGAATTCTAGATAGTAAGTATAACTATAGTCATGTATGTCTTAACAGTGGGGCTACATTGTGAGAAATACAAGTGTATTATGCAAACCAAGATGACTGCAACATCACTAGGTGATACAATCTTGTGGGACTATCGTCATATATGCAATCCATCATTAACTGAAGCATGATTGTGGCACATTTGTCTGCTTGAACCATGGACACCTCGTGACCCAGTTGGCTGGGATAAGCCACTGTTTTCCAAGGAGCTAAAGGTGTTTGCATCTCTGTCTTCAGGTGAAGAATATTGAGGAGCACCGACAGCGTAGTCTGGATTCTGTGCAGGAGTTGATGGAGAGTGGGCAAGCAGTGGGAGGCATGGTTACCACAACCACAGGTCAGCTCTCCCCTCCTCTTCATGATACGATTAGAAATAGTGCATCTCACAGGGGCCTCATTTAGTTACATATTCTTTTTTTTTTTTTTTTCTCCCTCTTGAGGTGCTGGGGATAGAACCCAGGGCCTCAAGCTTACTAGGCAAGTGCTCTGCCTCTTGAGCTATCCCCTCAGTGTGACTTAACATCAGCATATGCTGAAATAGGACCATTTTTTGCTAGGTTAGAGTGAAAGCAATGTTTCTAGAGTTCCCCATACTCTCACCATACCTTTATTGAGACTATCTCTTTTATTCTTTTTTCCACTTCTTCCCAGATTGGAACCAGCCATCTGAAGCTCAGCAAGCCCAGCAGGTCCAGCGGATCATTTCGCGTTGTAATTGCCGAATGTACTATGTTAGTTACAGCCATGACATTGATCCTGAACTAGTAACTCAGATTAAGCCACCTGAGGTTCATGAGAACCAGGAAAAGGAAGATCTTCTAAAGAAGCAGGAAGGTATTCAGGGCTTGAAAAGCTTTCAGGAAAGAATTAGAGAATTTGTGAAAGTAATTATTTCCTTAGTGGTTTAAGACAGTAGAGTTACTAAAAGTCCTACTTGTGCTCTCAGTCTTTTTTTAAGTTTGGTTATGAGAGAACCACCTACACTCTTGAAGGGACCTGGGATTAACAGATACTGTTTGTGATTCTGAAGTAAGCAAACATGTTTCTACCCCTGATCATCTCTTACTTCCTTTCTCTGGGTTCCACATGAGGAATAGGAGATGGAAACAATATTTAGGGAGAAACTTCAGCCTCTCATTTAGCTGCTAACAATTACCTAGGCGCTGTGGATACCTTCACTCTCATCCATCATGAATTGGAAATTTCTACCAATCCGGCTCAGTATGCCATGATCCTGGACATTGTCAACAATCTACTGCTCCATGTAGAACCCAAGCGGAAGGTGAGCCTCAGCCCTTGTATAATGCTAGCTAGCCTCATGGGAACCTCCAAGTCTTGTGCTTTCTTTGGGCTCTAATAAGAAAACACATCCTTCAAACTAAAAAAGGGCCTGGTGGTTGGCACATCCTCTCTTAACACTAGTAGTTGAAATTCCACTTATCCAGGAAAGGACTGAGTGTTTCTTGAGTCTGTAGAGCTTGTTTGCTTAACTTTTTTTGGCTAGTTTTCCAAACATCTCCAAAAACAGAACTTACATTGCACTTTTACCTCCATCCCTACCCTCCATCCCTGTGAGCCTAGCTTATGAAACCCACATTGCTAACTCTTCTGCATTGACCTGTTCCTCACTCTTGCTATTAATGGTGAGAGATAAAGGTTAACTTTCCAGAAGTGATCCCTATTTGCTCCTTGCTTATTTTACTTTACTCATGGATCTGGGCACTGGGGGCTCATGCCTATAATCCTAGCTGTTTGAGAGGCTGAGATCAGAAGGATTACAGTTTGGGGCCAGCCTAGGCAAATGGTTCAAGAGACCTCCATCTCCAAAATAACCAGAGCAAAGTGGACTGGAGGCATGGCCCAAGTGATAGAATGCCTGTTTTGCAAGCACAAAGCTCTGAGTTCAAACCCCTGTCCCACAAAAAAAAAAATAAATAAATACAAATCTTCTTGTGGGGCCGGGACATAGCTCAGTGCTAAAGCATAAGCTTAGCATGTGTGAGGCCTTGGGCTTTATCCTGTTCATTTCCCTTTGTTTCTTTAGGAGCATAGTGAAAAGAAGCAGCGGGTCAGGTTCCAGCTTGAGATCTCTAGCAATCCTGAGGAGCAGCGCAGTAGCATATTGCATCTACAGGAGGCTGTGCGACAGCATGTGGCCCAGATACGACACCTAGAGAAGCAGATGTATTCTATCATGAAGGTAGTCAACCCAGGTAGTCTGAGAACAGGGAGGTCTCCTAGAACAGGGGACCTTTTTAATTTCTCCTATCCTGGTTCCCTAGTCTTTGCAAGATGACAGCAAAAATGAGAACCTGCTTGATCTGAACCAAAAGCTTCAGTTGCAGCTAAACCAGGAGAAGGCCAACCTGCAGCTGGAAAGTGAAGAACTCAATATCCTCATCAGGTGCCCTTTCCTTGCCCTTTTCCACTGACCCAGCCCATGTTCTGACAGTTTTTTGGTCTAGTGCAAATTATAACAGGCTGGTTTAAGAATAGATTCAAGCACCTCTTCCTACATGAGCCTTGCTGGACTTGGCCAAAGAAGTCGGAAAAAGGACAGCCCTTCCTTTGGGTCTTCTGTAGAGTACTTCCTGAGAGAGGCTCTTGCTGTAGGACAGATGGGTAGTTGGAAAAGATCACTCATATGGCCTTAATACTGTGTATCTAAACTGAAAAATATCTTGCAGTTAGTCAATAGGAACATAATTACAGATGATACATTTGTAGGGGTTACTAGTGGGAAGAAACTATTTTATCAAAAAGCTATAGAGCTAAAAGATGAAATTTGTGTTCCTGTAGTCCAGGGTGTCAGAAATAACATATTCATGGGAAAAAAATTTCGGGACTAGCAAACTAAGAATAGGTTCATCTCTTGGTTTACTGCCTGCATCCTAGAGCATTCCATCCCACCTCTATTCTGTATGCTGTTTCCCTTATTTGCTTTGACTCTTCTGTCCACTTTTAGGTGTTTTAAGGATTTCCAACTACAGCGAGCTAACAAGATGGAGTTGCGGAAGCAGCAAGAAGATGTGAGTGTGGTCCGTCGCACTGAGTTTTACTTTGCGCAGGCACGGTGGCGCCTAACAGAGGAAGATGGACAACTGGGAATTGCTGAACTGGAGCTGCAGAGGTTCCTCTACAGTAAGGTATTTTAGATGTACAGTCACACAAAGGCAGCTGCATTAAGGCATTGACCTATCTCAGGAGTCCAATTCATTAAAGAGAAATAAAAAGGGACTAATTGCTGTATGATTATTAATGATGATTATTATTAGAAACATGACAGAGCTCCCTTAGATAAATCTGTTTATGATAATGATACAGATGTAGATGAATTGATCAAATGCTTCTTCTATTTAGATTATCCCTTAAAGTGTGGTCTAGAGGAAGTAATCTTCCAAGTTTACCTTGGAATAGAATCATTCTAATACTGACATTCAGCTTTTCTGCAATTACCACTGATATGGAAAAGAAAATATTCTTTATTATTTGTCTCAAAAGTGATGTTTGATTACGAATGAGAACTTTATGTCATAATGACTAGGAAGTACTAACATTTATGCCCTGGCCAGTAGTGTTCATAAGAAACACTGGATTAGAGGGTATGCTGATTGTATAAGATTGAAAGAGATATCAATAGCTTATATTAGGCACTTGGAAAACCCTTAAACAAACAGGATAAGTAGCAGTTCTCTAGCAAGCTCCTCAGGCTTATAATGGATGGGCAAAATCTGTCTTTATAGGTGAATAAGTCTGATGATACAGCAGAACATCTTCTGGAGTTGGGCTGGTTCACCATGAACAACCTCCTCCCCAATGCTGTCTATAAGGCAAGTCTTTTTTCTTTTTCTTTTGGGACCTTACACATGCTAAACAAGCACTCTTTAACACTGAACTACACTCCCAGCCCTATAAGGCAACTATATTTCCCCATTCCTGTGCTTCTTAGCATAAGGCATTTATAATGGACCTTTCATATGAACCTGCTACAGGAAACAATGTGATTTGAGATGGTGAAACCATGTTCAGCTTAGCAAAACCATTGCTTCTCCATTCTCTCTGTACAAAATCTGTGAGTCAATTCATAGTTTTTTTTTTTTGGCAGTACTGAGGTTTGAACTCAGAGCCTCACACTTGCTAGGCAGATGCTCTACCACTTGAGCCACTTTGTCAGCCCCTGTAGATTGGTTTTTAGGAAGGACATTCAGTCGAGCAGTTGTTCACTCCATCTTCCAGGTTGTCCTGCGGCCTCAGAGCTCTTGTCAGTCTGGGCGACAGTTAGCTCTCCGCCTCTTCAGCAAAGTCCGGCCCCCTGTTGGAGGTATCTCTGTTAAGGAACACTTTGAGGTTAGTAAACAGTCACTTGGGAACCTGGGATCAAAGGGAATTCCAAAGCTAGCTGTGTGTATGGTATGCTAATTAGGGGTAGGAAACTGAGCTTAATTGCTTCTTCAACCTTTTCCCTCTTTAGGTAAATGTGGTGCCTCTCACTATCCAGCTGACACACCAGTTCTTCCATAGAATGATGGGCTTTTTCTTTCCTGGCCGAAGTGTAGAAGATGATGAAGTTGGTGATGAAGAGGATAAGTCCAAACTAGTGACTACTGGTGAGAACTTTTATGGTGGAGTGCAGAAGAATGGGGTGGCAGTCCAAGGATGCTGGAGCTTTAGAAAGAGGATGACAGTTGGTGTGTTTGCTTTTTCAAAGGAATACCAGTGGTGAAGCCTCGGCAGTTGATAGCAACAGATGATGCAGTACCACTGGGCCCTGGGAAGGGTGTGACACAGGGCTTGACTCGGAGTTCTGGGGTCAGAAGGTCATTTCGCAAATCACCTGAGGTACCATATGTGCTCCCAATGACAGAAAAATAGGCGAAGCTGAGCATGGTGGTGCATGCCTGTGATCTCAGTATCTGGTAGATTGAGGCAGGAGGATTTTGTGAGTTTGATGCCTGCCTAGGCTATATAGTGAAACCATGTCTCAAAAAAATCCAAAAAACAAAAAACCCTAAAAAACTTACATTTCAGCCGGGTACTGTTGGCTCACACCTGTAATCTAGCCACTCAGGAGGTAGAGATCATGAGGATCATGGTTGGAAGCCAGCCCCTGCAAATAGTTTGCAAGACCCTATCTTGAAAAATAACCAACCCAGCTGGTAGAGTGGCTCAAGTGAAAGAGTGCCTGCCTAGCTTTTTGGAGAGTCTTGAGGATTTCTGTTGGGCCTGGGGAATTTTCCTGTTTCCCTTGAGTCTTCTCCAAGGGAGAAAGGAGATGAGGTTTAGGGTCCTTTGTTTCTTCTGATAATTTTAGGAACTCATGCTCCTTTTCTGGCTTTTCTAGCACCCTGTGGATGATATTGACAAGATGAAAGAGCGAGCTGCCATGAACAACTCCTTCATCTACATAAAGATTCCACAGGTTCCACTGTGTGTCAGCTATAAGGTGTGCACCTCCACAGCATGTTCTAAAACTGGGTGGGAAGGGAACCTGATTAGATCATCAGAGATTATATATAGGGAAACAGCCAGCTTCTTGTGAAGCAGGGCAGTGGGTGATAAATCTGTTATTCCTTCTACTTCGTGCAGGAGTAAGCACCATTACCCAACTGAGGTTAAGGGGAAATCAAAATCAGTATCTATAGGTTGCAGTTGTAGGACTTACACTTATACTGGCTAGACTGAAAATGGTAACTGATGTACTTTTTTTCCCCTCCTCTTCTCTTTCTTCTTTTTCCTCTTACAGGGTGAGAAGAACAGTGTAGATTGGGGTGACCTTAACCTGGTGCTGCCCTGTCTGGAGTACCACAACAACACATGGACATGGCTAGACTTTGCCATGGCTGTCAAAAGGGACAGCAGAAAAGCTCTAGTTGCCCAGGTATCCCACCAGGGCTTATGGCTATTTGGTTAGCAGGGGCTGGCAAGCAGATCCCTTTTCAGGAACCTTGTGTTCTAGGATATATTAGGAGGTAGCCATGGGAAGGGGCAGATGAATGAAGTGAGTGACTTCTGACCCTGCCATTTCCACAACTTTACCCAGATGGTTGATTTACTGAGAGTTTCATACATGTTAATTACCATTAGTTTTAGGGAACTAAGTGCTACTACAACCTCAGATTTAGAATGGGTTCTAATTAGACTGTAAGTTTCTTGAAAGCAGAGACCAATTTATAATTTGAATTGGCCCCTGGTGCCTTGCATGTAAGTTTAATAAATCTTTATTGACTTTGTTCACTTCAAATTATTTTCCCTTTGCCACTAATATTTACCTTTCCTTTTACTCCTTTTCAACTTGCCAGGTAATTAAAGAAAAGCTAAGACTGAAGCCTGCAGCAGGATCTGAGGTGCGTGGAAAGCTAGAAACTAAGTCGGACCTGAACATGCAACAGCAGGAAGAGGAAGAGAAAGCTCGTCTCCTCATCGGTTTAAGTGTGGGTGACAAGAACCCTGGCAAGAAGTCTATCTTTGGCAGGCGCAAGTGATCTAGCATCTGCGTGGCTGGAGTACAGGATATGACTCTGACTCAGGCTTCAGGGACTTGTGGGATGGGAGGGGCTTCCCTTCATCCACCAGGATTGTGGGAGGTTGGAGCCCATAGTGTACTGTGAAGAGAGGCACTGTTTAGCAGCTGGCCTGTTCCCTGCAGGGCACAGTTTACAATAATGTTGAGTTCCATCTGATGCAGCTCAGGTCCTGGGCCAGTGAAGCAACAAGAGAATAAGACCTAGGAAATAGGCCCAGGGCTAGGATCCTATTCCTTTGTGGTCAACTGAAAGGGTGGGTGGGGAGAATAGTCCTGATTAAGTGCGATAAATTTTTATAAATAGACATATATATATATAAATACATACATACATATATATATATATTTCTAAGTGTAACTGCTCTCCCTCTGTGCCAGGAAACTGAGGGGAGGAGGCTGATCTTCTGTGCCTCATGTTGCTGCCTTGTATGAAAAAGCTGTTAGTGCTCGGGGAATCAGCTTCTCCCTAATCTGTGTGCTCACTTGGGAGGATGGCAGTAGGAGCCAGGGCTGGCCATGGGTCCCCTACTCTTCCCCCTGGGGTATGCCCTGGAGAATGGCAAAAGAAAATGATTTAAAGAAAAAAAATATTTTAAATTTGATGTTGATTTTTTTTCTTGATTACATTGAATGCATGTGTTCACCCTATCTCTGTCCTTCCCTCCCTACCAACCCAACACATCTCGTAGCTGCCACTGTGATGAGGGAGGCTCTTCCCTCCTCTGCCTTGAAGCTATGTCACAGGTACTTCCCAGCTCTGGGATGACACTGGCCCAAAGCTGATGAGTCTGTGCACACTGGAAGAGGCGGGGCTCATGTGTAATACAGCATGGTGAGGGGGAGGAGGAGTTGCTTATGTAACTGGAATTGCTGATTTAGCAGAAGGAGAGGAGACAGAGGCTGGGGATGGGAGCAGTGAACTGTCGGCAGGGGCAACACACCCGAGTGGCTGCTCCTTGCAAGGTAGACTGTGGGATTATGGCAGCCTTGAGGGGAAGAGAGGGGAGACATGGGCTTGAGGCACAAGAAATACCTGATTAGGATCATATCACTGATACCAAATGTGGGGGTGGGGCAAGGAGGCTATAATGTGAAAGCATTATAGCCCTGTTCTGAGGCATAGGTTGCATTTCTGACTTACCATGGAGAAAACATCCAATGATTACTTTCCTAGAGGCTTTGAATTACGTCCAGTAAATTCAGGCCTTATCGAAAAACCTAGGGTAGTAGAAATTTTGGCTGGTGCTCAAAAAAAAAAAAGTACCTCTAGGGTTTGAGACTGGGGGAGAAGGGGAAGGGTGCCTACTAATGTAAGAAGACCTTTCATCGCTTCAGGGCAGGTTTAGAATAGCTCCCTTGCTTCTCAGCAGGGTGGCAACAATGGGGTCCCTGGATCCGAGGCTGGGAGAGCCTCTGGTCTGGGGTGGGGACTATCAGGTCAGGTTTGGAAGAAGTATGGGAACTACAAGGGCATCAATGCCTGCACCAGGAGTCCCTACAGCCAGCCCCAGTGCTAATAGAGAAGCCTCTGTCTGAGTGGCCAGTGCCTCGGTTCATCAACCTCTTTCTGCCAGAATTTCCCTTGAGGCCCATTAGGGGGCAGCAGCAGCTGAAGGTAGGTCATTGGAATCCCTGGGAAGGGTCTTTCAGTGGGAGAAGTGTAGGAAAAACTGATGTCATATGCTCTGCTCTCCATTTCTCTGTACAGATTTTAGGCCTTGTGGCTAAAGGCTCTTTTGGAACTGTCCTGAAAGTGACAGATTGTGCCCAGAAAGCTGTGTTTGCAGTAAAGGTAGGGGCCATTGGTACTTTTCCACATTCTTCTCATTCCTGCTTCCAATATTAGTTCCAGAGAGATTTAGAAGAAATAAATTCAACAGCACTATTCCCTCTTGAGTTACCACTCCTCTCTTTTTATAGGTGGTACCCAAGGTAAAAGTCCTACAGAGGGATACTCTGAGGCAGTGCAAAGAGGAGGTTAGCATCCAGGTATGCAGGGAGTACCAGAAAGTATGGTGGGAAGAATTAAACCACAGGAGGGGAAAGCATCTTTCTTGTCCAACTTTCCTGCTTTCCCTGGTTCTACCTTACCCAACTGCTTCAACCTTAGTTTAACACCAAAGTAAATCTGAGAAAAGTAGCTATTAGCTATCAACACATATTCCAGTTCCTGCCAGGGAAATCTCTCCAACACGCCCCACTGCGTTCCTTAGTATTATGCTGGTTCCAGGATTACCAGTCAGTCCCAATTATTGATTCCCTCTGAACCGAGAGGTGAAGCAGTATCCATTTCTGCATAACTAGGTAAAACCTGATTTCTTGGCTGTCTCTATCCTTGATAACCCTATGCTTTCTTAACTTCTGTTTTCTTTATCCCTAGCGACAGATCAGCCATCCTTTTGTCCACAGCTTGGGAGACAGCTGGCAGGGGAAACGGCACCTCTTCATTAGTGAGTGGCCTTTCTCCTCATTCTGAAGGGTCCATCTACCATTTTCCCCACTTGAGATTATCTATTGCTTTGAGCTATTTCTGCCTTTTCTCTGGTCCCCTTCTCATAGCACCTCTCTATCCCGAAGAGAGAGGGAATAGAAGGTGGCATCAGTTTGGGCAGCAGGTTCATGCCTTGAAGCCCAGGCATTGTAGCACCCAAACATTGCCTAGATTTCTGGTCTTTTGCAGTGTGTAGCTACTGCAGCACAGATCTGTACTCCCTGTGGTCTGCTGTCAGCTGCTTTCCAGAAGCCTCTGTCCGTCTCTTTGCAGCTGAGCTGGTCCTTGTGCTATGTAAGTGAAAGAATGGTAAAGAAAATGGGAGGGAGCTATTAAGTTGGTGGGAAGGAGAGAATTGATATCACTCTGGGAGTCAAAGAATAGGGATAGGAATGAGGTAGGGGATATGAGGGAAACTAGAATGGATAGGAGGGCTTCAGTGCACCCCATGCTTGCTGTTATCCACAGGCTATCTCCATGACTTGGGCATCATCCATCGAGATGTAAAGGTAGAGTTAAGTGTTGAATGCTAAGTAGAGTATCTTCTCTAGTGGGAGAGGAGGGGTGGTTAATACATGATGAGAGAGAATAAAAAGAGGAATAATAATAACTTCTCACCTGTGATCTTTCAGATGGAGAATATCCTTCTGGATGAACGAGGTAAGTCTTCCCTTCCTAGCCCTAGGATGAGAGGTTCCTCCATTTGGGAATAAATCATGGCTGGTAAGGGATGGAACAGAGTTGTGCTGTTACCTTATCTTCTTTCATAGGCCATCTGAAACTAACTGACTTTGGTATGTCCCGCCACCTGTCCCAGGGAGCCCGAGCCTATACTATCTGTGGTACTCTTCAATACATGGGTGAGAAAGGCTAAAGCTGGTGGGTAAATATTGGAGTGGAGGATTGCCAAAGAATGTCAATGACATTCAAAGTATCTTTCACATCTTTAGCCCCAGAGGTCTTGAGTGGTGGGCCATACAACCATGCTGCTGATTGGTGGTCCCTGGGTGTCTTGCTTTTCTCTTTGGCAACTGGGAAGGTGAGAGAATGATAGTGGTATTGGGCAGAGAAGGGAGCTTTGCCCTATGGTGGGAAGAAGGAAGACCATGAAAAGTCTTGCCTTGTTCCCACCTCCTACCTCTTTAACTCAGTTCCCAGTGGTGGCAGAGAGAGATCATATAGCCATGTTGGCAAATGTGACCCACTATGACTCTGCGATCCCAGCTTCCCTTAACCAGGAACTCTCACTCCTGCTCCAAGAGGTAAGGGTGAACACTGCTTTCCTTCCTGACTATCAACCATTTACTTTCTCTTTCTCATCATTGAAGTGATAATTCCCTCATTCTCACCTATTTGCCCTCTATTACCTACCTATTTGCCCTCTAACCAGTACTTCAGATTTCATTCCTGAGTTTCTGGTATCCCAAATCTCTTCCCCATCCAGAGGGACCAGTGCTGCACTTTTACCATCTGAAAATCAGCCTGTCTTCCTCTTTTAACAAATCTTTTTAGGGTTCTTTCCCCCCCCCGTCTACAGCTCCATGAACTTCCTTCATTCTTTTTATCTTCTTTGTTTAGCCTATTCTGTATTCCAGTCCCTCATCCTTCATACTTTATTTCCCTTCAGCTGTTATGCCAGAATCCCCTCCACCGTCTCCGTTATCTACATCACTTCCAGGTCCACCCTTTCTTTCGGGGTGTGACCTTTGATCCAGAGCTTCTACAGAAGCATCCAGTGAACTTCGTCATGGAAACACAAGACACCCAGCCTTGTTCATCAGAATCTATGGCCTTTAAGGACTTTGATGGTGATCTGGAATCCTGCCTGGTCCACTCCATCTCTGCTTCACCATCTCTACTATAGACTGGGACCCAGTTGGAAACCTGAGGATGTACTCCATTGCCAACTCAGTATGACCACCGTGATGATCCAGTTTTTACTTTGTAGCCTCTTACCATTCTATTTTTCTAGGCCTTGGACTAAAGTTTAAATATTTGACATTTTGCTACTGGCAGCCACAATTGACCCTAGCCCTTCCCCATCATACAACCCACCTCTTATTTCAAAATCTCAGATCAGGGTGGTGACTTTCCTTTGCTTCATTTTTCTCCAGTGCTCTTACCCTTAAACTGTCAAAGACTTCTTCCACTTTTCCCTCTCCTTGTTTCTCTGCCATGTTTCCTTTCTCAGGCAATAATGATACTTCCTGGGCTTCCAAGATGGTACTTATATGTTTTAATAGCCCAGTCAGAAGCAATATGTGTATTTTTCAAAGGTTTCAAAAGCTGGTATTTCAACACCTGAAAAAGTGTGCAAGAAAAAAATGCCATCTGGAGGCTTGAGGCCAGTCTTTAATAATCTAATTTTTAAAAATTAGAAAGTGAATCTAATAGCCTAATGTGAAAAAGTAGAAACTGAAACTTGGATGGGTTGTCTTCTCTAGAGATAACTGGAACAGCCAACCTAATCCTTTCCAGAACAAAACCTCCTTAAAAGATACAAGGATTATTAAACTGATAATTTCTACACAGCCCAGAATTCAGTTTTTGATGGGCAAATCAAGAAATTGAGTCATTACATCAACCTGAAGACTTAAGATCAGAGATGTATCTCATGAACCTTTTCCTTTGGTAAGGAAAATCATCTGGATTTGGAACTTACATACATTTCTGGCCTTTATGATTTCATTTTCTTAAACTACTCAGAAGTTCCATTTTGATTCTGATATTTGAGAGAAACATATCCTTTAATCTAGACCATACTATTCTTCAGTTATATCTGATCTCTTTCCAGGCCAAAAAGTATGGAAAGTGTCCTGTGTACTTCTATTTATTAGTCTGCTCTGGATTAAGACAGATTTTCACTGTATATAACTGGCATTTTATTGGGTTCTGCAGAATTGCTTTTTCTGGATTGTATTTTGACAATCTGTAAATCTCTATGAACTTGATATTGTAAATAGGTGTTTGACATTATAATTCATAATGTTCTGTGTAAGGATACACGAGAGAAATTTTCTTTTGATCCAATTGTGTTTTCCTGAATTGCTGTTTGATTTTTACCATAAGGACACTAAATATTCCACTGACTGCATTTTTCTCCACATACTATACACTTAGAGCCCAAATTGGGGCCCAACTCCAGCAAGTGTTTATTTTGTGTGCTATCACATTCTTGATTCCATCTTCCTTTTTCTACCTTTATTTTCCTTATTCTCCTTTTTTCTGTTTAATCTTTTTATATTACTATATTACCTGCATCTTTTTGGAATAAGATTAGGATAAAAATAAAAGATGTACCCTATATACTTTTATCTCATTTTTTTCTCTTTAGACATTTTTATGTTTTTTTTTTTTTTTTGTGGTTCTAAGGTTTGAACTCAGAGCCTACACCTTGAGCCACTCCACCAGCCCCTCCCCCCCCACACTTCTTTGTGATGAGTTTTTTTGAGATATGGTCTTGGAATCTGTTTGCCAGGGCTGACTTCGAACCACAATACTCTTGATCTCTGCTTCCTGAGTAGCTAGGATTATAGATATGGGCCACTGGCACCTGGCTTTTATTACTTTTTTTTAAAGTTGTAGTGACCATAGCTGCACATTGGATTAAAAACTTTAAATACTAAAAATAGGAACTAATGGTTTCCAAAATGTAGTTAAGAGCATTAGATTTGGATTTAGGATATCTGGTGTCTGGATCCACCAGTTAACTACTCTGCATCGTAGTTTCCTAATGTATAAAATGATGGGGTTATAGCCACCTTTTTTGTGTGTGTGGTAGTAGTGCTACCCAGGGCCTTGTGTATGCTAGGCAAGTGCATGTTCTTCCACTGAGCTACATCCTCAGCCCTAACAATTGGTGCTTTGTTTTTTTTTTTTCCTTTCTTAGCATATTATAATTATACAGGGGTACATTTGTGATATGTACATATGTGCTTACAAGATATCTCTATTAGATTTACCCCCTCCGTCTTTCTCCTTTATTTCCCCTCCCCCACCAATTACTGGTCCTTAATTGCAGGGGGGATGGGTTCCAGGTATCTTGATCCTTTTTCAAAGGGCAGATGCAGAAGATTTTAATGATGTGATGTGTCTGGCCCAGTGTTAATGTTCATTAACCCAACATTATATGATCTTTCTGATTATAGCACAATGAGTCCTCATGAAATGGTTATCTAATGTCCCTAGGGTCCCTTTCCTAGTCAGATAGCTTAGAGACAGACCATCATCATGTAAGTGTAGTTTGAATTATTTCTTCCAAATTAGGACATTTTCAGCACACACTCTTCAGTGGTACACTTCAGCAGTGACTCTCAGGGAAAATGGAAAGGGTGATAGAAAATCAGTTTCAGAAAGTACCAATTTGAAAAAGCACTGTCTCTTCCCAGTTGTGATATTTTCATCTCTGGAAGGTATTTTCTCCTCATTCTCCACCATCTATAGATTTATAGATCTATAAACATTAATACTTTTTACTTATTCATACAAAATTTACTAAAATTTTTTTAAGCTGGGTGTTGATGGGCCACATTTGTAATCTCAGCACTCAGGAGGCTGAGGCTGGAGGATCAAGAGTCCAGCCTATCCAAATGACCTTCATTTTAACCTAATTACCTCTTTTAAAGATCTTATTTCCAAATACAACCACACTTCAAGGTACTGGAGGTTAAGGCTTCAATCTGGAAGAGGACACAATTCAGCTTATAACATGGGTTACTAAGTCAATGAATATGAGTTTATTTTTTTTAATTTGAAAATATTTCTACAATGAAGATTCTATTTAAAGACGTAACCAGCACTGGTGCCAGTGGCTCACATCTATAATCCTAGCTACTTGGGAGGCTGATATCAGAAGGATTGAGGTTTGAGGGCAGCCCAGGCAAATAGTTCCTGAGACTTCCATCCCACCTCGCACCCCCATAACCAGAGCAAAAATGGACTGGAGGTGTAGCTCAACTGTTAAGAGCGCCTGCTTTGCAAGCGCAAGCCCCTAAATTCAAACCCCAGTCCCACCAAAAAAAAAAAAAAGTAACCAAAGAATTGAAATTACCAGTTTGTTAAATCAACTACCAAGTAAACAAGTGAAGAGACCAATACATAAAAGTAACAGGTTAGAGGTGAATAAAATATCCATGTTTCCATGTTAATCTGATTTCTTCTAAGTAATGAAAAATAAAGCATAGCAATAAGCTTAAAAGATCACTTTAAATTATATATAAAAAAATTCTCTTTTCTATTCTTTTTTTTTTCTTTTGGCAGCACTGGGGTTTGTTTGAACTCAAGGGTTTGTTGCTTCCTAGGCAAGCACTCTACCACTCAAACCACTCCATCAGCCCCTTCTTGTGTTGGGTTTTCAATATACGGTCTTGAGAACTATTTGTCCCCAGCTGGTCTTGAACTACAATCCTACTGGTCTCTGCCTCCCATGTCGCTAGGATTACAGACATAAGCACCAGTGCCTGGCTTGGTTTTGCTTATTTCTGAGAACATACTGTTTAAGATTTTATTAGCCTCTACATGAGTTTTACTGATGAATCCCATTGAATAGCAACTGTCACTTGCCCTCCATTATACACAGCAGCTGAGCTAATAATTCCACAAATTCATCCTTTGAGTTTGCTCAAAACTGGTGGATAGCTAAGCGTGGTGGTGCATACCTGTAATCATAGTACTTGGGAGGTAAAAGCAGGAGAATCAAAAGTTTGAGGCCAGCCTGAGCTACATAGCAAGTTCTAAGCTAGTGTGGCCTAAAAGCCTAGACCCTGTCACAAAGCAAAACAAAAACCTAAAGGATACTTCTCAGGGTTGCTGATTTGGGTTATGTAATTCTATTTTTATAAAGTAAGAAATCTCTAGCCAGGCATTGGTGGCTCCCACCTGTAATCCTTGCTACTTTGGAGGCTGAGATTGGGAAGATTGAGGTTCAAGGCCTGTCTGGACAAGAAAAGTTTGCCAGACCCAAACTCAATGGAAAAAAGGGTGTAGTGGTATAAGTTTGTCATACCAGCAACAGCAGGAAACATAAACAGGAGGATCTTGGTCCAGGCCTGTCTGGGTAAAAAGCAAGACCCTCTTATCAAAATAATCAGAGCAAAAAAGGCTGCAGGCCTTGCTCAAGCAGTAGAGTACCTACCTTGTAAACACAAAGCCCTGAGTTCAAACATTAGTACTGTCAAAAAAAAAAAAAATCCTAAAAATTAAGCCAGGCATGATGGCAAATATCTGTAATCCCATCACTCAGGACCTGAAGCAGGAGGATCATGAGTTTAAGACTGGCCTGGGCAAAACAGACCCTATCTCAAAAACAAATTATAACTTTAAAAATAGTTGGAGGGAGGGGGCAGGAGGAATAATGACCCAATCATTGTATGCACATATGAATAAAGGAAATTTTTAAAAAGATCTATACAGAAAAAAAAAATAGTTGGGCTAGGTGTGGTACAAACATCATAATCCCAGGAATCTGAGAGTCTGAGCTGAGAGATTATGAGGTAAAGGCCAGCATGGGCAACATAGTGAGATTCCTCATCTGGAAAAGAATAAACTAGTTGAATCCCAATTTCATATCATACCCAAAATTTAATTCTAAGTAGATTAAAGATTTAAATGTGATCATGAAAACAAAATCTTGGCAGAGTGGTTCAAGTGGTAGAGCACCTACATAGCAAGCAAGAGGCCAATTTCAACCTCCAGTACCACAAAAAAAAAAAAAATTAAAATCTTAGGACATCTAGGAGATCAGCTCTACAATCAAGGGATGAAGTTGATACCTAAGCCACAAAAGAAAATGAATGAAAATACTAAAGCTTGGAGTGGTTATGTGCATCTGTAATCCCAGTGCTCTGGAGGATGAGGCAGAAGGATCCCAAATTTTAGCTTCGCCAGCCTAAGCTACATAGCAAGACCCTGTCTCAAAAAAGTTTGGCACTAGTGGCTCATGCCTAGCTAACTGGGAGGCTGAGGTCAGGAGGATCAAGGTTCAAAGCCAGCCCAGGCAAATAGTTCAAAAGATGCCATCTCCAAAAACAACCAGAGCAAAATGGACTAGAGATGTGGCTCAAGTGGTAGAGCACCTGCTTTGCAAGCACAAAACCCTAAATTCAAACCCCAGTCCTAACAAAAAACAAGCAAGCCAGTGGCTCATGCCTGTAATGAAAACTTTTTCAAAATAAAGGTAAGGAATGTAAAATGACAAATCAATTTTTTCCCTCCTTTGGCAGCATTGGGGCCTCATGCTTGCTAGACAGGCACTTTTACAGCTTGAGCCACTCTGCTAGCCCTGTTTTGTGATGGCTTTTTTTTGAGATAGGGTCTGATGAACTATTTGCCTGGGCTGGCTTCAAACCTCAATCCTCCTGACATCTAGGATTACAGGCATGAGACACCGGTGCCTGGCTCAAATCAATTTTATGTCAGTTGGCTGGTTTGTTTGTTTGTTTTTACAGTATTGGGGTTTGAACTCAGGACTCTGAGCTTGCTTGGCTGGTGCTCCACCACTTCAACCATGCCTCCAGACCTGAGAAGGCTTTTACAAGACACTGTATGGGGAAAAATGTGCAGACGTGGGGGTGGGGCAGAAGAGGTGCCCAAGTGGTAGAGCACCTACCTAGCAAGTACAAGGGCCTGAGTTCAAACCCCAGTATCAAAGAAACAAAAACTCAGTATGCCAAAAAAATGCAGAAGTGCAAGAAATCCCAATTTTGTAATGGACATAATGACTTCTCCCTTTTGTGTGTGTGTGTATTGGAGGAGTGGGGAGAAAATGTGAAAGTAACAATCTGGAAGGAAGAAAGGAAGGGGAAAGAAGCCAGATGCTGGTGGTTCACACCTGTAAACCTAGCTACTTGGGAAGCTGAGATCAGGAGGATCATGGCTAGAAGTCAGCCCAGACAAACAGTTCACCTAATCCCTATCTCCAAACTAACCAGAGGAAAATGAACTGGAAGTGTGGCTCAAGCAGTAGAGTGCTTTGCAAGCTCAAAGCCCTGAGTTGGCATTTTCCTTCTCATCTACCCCTCCACCCCTCATCTAGATTTGCTTCTGGAAGGCCTGTATCCCTTTCAGTACCCACCTGGCATGACATACCAACTGCAACAAGGACTAAGAAAATATAGTCTTTCACACCTAAAGAGTTTTCTGTCTTGGTTCTCCTACTCTTTTCTTTTTTTTTTTTTCACCCAATCCTGGGGTTTGAACTCAGGTCCTTGCACTTGCTAGGCAGGTACTCTTAACACTTCAGCCACACCCCCAGCCCTTTTTTGCTTTATTTTTCAGGTAGGGTCTCCATTTTTTTTCAAGGCTGGCCTCAGACTGTGATCCTCCTACCTACAGGTTTCCATGTAGCTGGAATCACAGGTCAAAAGAACCATGCCTGCTTATCGACTAAGATGGGGTTTCATTACGTTTTTGGCCCAGATGGTTTCTGTCTCCCAAGTAGCTGGGATTATGCTGAGTCTTTTGTTGTTGGACTGGGACTTCCTGCTTTGCAAGCCATACCTCTAGTCAATTTTGCTCTGGTTATTTTGGAGATAGCATCTCTTGAACTATTTGCCTGGGCTGGCTTCAAACCTTGATCCTCCTGATCTTGGTCTTCCAGGTAGTTAGGATTACATTCATGAGCCATGGGTGCCTAATTTATGCTAGGTCTGTTTGACCACAAATACTCCTGGGATTCCCTCTGCTGAGTCTTGAGCAATTCCAGGCTCAAGATAATCTTCTTGGGGCTGGGGGTACTACTTATTTGGCACAGCACAAGTTTAGCATGCTCAAGGTCTTGAATTCAATCCTCAGCCACCCTTCCTCCTCTCCCCCACAAAAACCGAAAAAGATCATCTGATCTCTTTTATCATCTCCATGCCTTTTATTCAAGCAGCAATTATTTCTAGTGCCTGGTATCATTATCTAGTCTGGTATTATTATGTTTCTATGGCTCACTTTTTAAAATTTTTGTGGGCTGGGGTTTGAACTTAAGGCTTCACACTTGTAAGTCTTCACACTTGGCACTCTATCACTTGAGCCAAACCTTTAGCCCTCATATGTTTCTAGAGTAGCACGGTTCAATAGAAATATAATGCAAACCATATGTAATTTAAAATTTTCTAGCTAGCCACATTCAAAAAGTAAAAAAAAGGTGAAATTAATTTTAATGGTTTATTTAATACCATAAAATAAAACTTCAACATGCAATTAATATTTTAAAATAAGGGCTTTCTTACTTTTTTTCATACAAAGTCTTTGAAATTCAGTTTATTTTCCACCTGTAGCACATCCCAATTTAATCAAGAACATCTGAAGCCACATGGAATACTGAACAATACAGTTCCAGAAGAACCCATCCCCTGAGGGACCTGCAGTTTATAACAGATTATAGTTCCTCCTTTTTGTTTTTTTTGCGGTGCTGGGGCTGGAACTCAGGGCCTACACTTGGAGCCACTCTGCCAGCCCTTTTCTGTGAAGGGTTTTTTTTTGAGATAGGGTCATGGAACTATTTGCCCAGGTTGGCTTCCAATTGAATCCTGATCTTTGTCTCCTGAGTAGCTATGATTATAGGCATGAGCCACTGACGCTGGCATAGTTCCTCCTTTTTGAATTGCCTTCCTTTTCACAATTCATTAAGACTTCTAGCTGCACCTGTAATCCCAGCATTCAGGAGGCAGAGGCAGGAGGATCACAAGTTTGAGACCAACTTGGGTTACACAGCAAGACTCTGTCTCCAAAAACAAAAACAAAAAAAAAGTGAAAAAGGTTCTGAGTGTTCAAAGAAATACTATCATCAATGCTTAATATGAATACTTAGCTGAGAATGGTGGTGCATACCTGTAATACCAACTACTCAGGAGGATTGTGAGTTCAAGGCCAGTCCAGGCAAAGTCAGCAAGACTGTGTCTCAAAAACCAAAATAAAAACGAAGGGGTTGGGGGGGTGGTTCAAGTGATAGAGTACTTGCTTAGAAGCCTGCGGCCCTCAATCGCCAGAACAACAAAAAGGAACAACCAAGTTGATACAGGATGTAAGCTACTTGGGAAACCGAGGCAGGAGGATCACCTGAGCTCAGGAGCTTGAGGCTAGCCTGGGCAACATAGTAAGACCCTGTTTCAAAACAAAAAACCTTCAGCTGATACGAAAAAATCAATTTATGCCAGGCACCCATGGCTCAGGCCTGTAATCCTAGCTACTCAGGAGGCCGAGATCAGAAGGCTTGAAACTCAAATCCAGGCCAGGGAAATAGTTCATGACACCTTATCTCGAAAAAACCCATCACAAAAAAGAGCTGGTGGAGTAGCTGAAGGTGTAGGCCCTGAGCCAAAAAAAAAAAAAAAAAAAAATCCTTCCTTCACTGGGCAGATTTCCTTTACATAGGGGATTGAAGAGACATGCGGTCGTTGGTAGTGTGGGAAGTTTAACCTTGCCCTTGACTATCTATGGGATGTTGGGCAAATGACACTACTCGATTCCTTCATCTTTAAAATGGGGCCACTTATAGTACTTACTCCTTTTAAGTTCTCAGGAGGATTAATGAGTTAATAACCTAAGGAATTTGGAACAGCCCATAATAAGTGTTCAGTACAGTACATGTTAGCTATAATTCCAGGAAACTTGGTTGCGGATCCTAACGTTAGCCCCAAGAAACGTCCAGAAATTCTGAAGAGGCATTACCTGCAGGCCCAGGTTAAGAACTGCGTCTCAGGCCATCATGGACGGGGACTGAGGTGAGTAAAATGCTCCACTGAGGTAGCTAAAGGAAGCCTGAGAGACTTTGCTGACAGGACGTGAGAGGGGTCCACTGGCAGCAGGAGGGACGAACTCCTTGACTTTCGTCGTGGGGAGGACTCAAGCCCCCCCGTGCGCCGGGCCCACTTCCGGCCCTCTCGCGGCGTCGTAGTGAGGGACGGAACATCGCGAGCCAACCGCAGGGAGGGCCAAGGCTCCGGCTCCGCCCACCCCCGCCAGGCTCAAATCCTGAGGCGGAGTCTCTAGCCTGACGCGCTGCGACTCCGCAGCCAATCGCAAAGCGCGGAGCAGGTTCAAACAAAGACGGCGGGTGATCATGGCGAGCCTGACTTGACTTGGGAGGCGATTGGTCTCCCTTCCGTGTTGAAGATGTGGCGGGTGAAAACACTGAATGTCGGCCTGTCGCCTTCGCCGCAACCGGTGAGCGGGAGGAGCTCTCACGGAGACCGTTACCGAGGGTCTGGAAAGCTGGGAGGAACCTAGGGCTGGGGAGCTTGGGAGTCTTTGTTTGCCTTGCAACTTTAGAGCGACTGGGATGGGGGGGAACCTGCGCTTCTTTTCGCCTCATGTACTTCTTAGGGAGTGAGGGAGGGCGGGCTGGCGGAGCCTGGGCTTCCTCACACCCGCTTTCTTTCTCAGAGAAAGCCAGCTATGAGGACTCCTCTCCGAGAACTTATCCTGCAGCCGGGAGCCCTCACCAACTCAAGAGTAGGACCTCCTATGTGCTCCTCGCTGACCCCATCACTGTGCAATCTGGGACTGCAGGTGAGACTTGCCCGGACAGCTCGACTGGGCTGTTTGCCCAGGCCGAGAGCTCAGAGGAACGGAGGGCCAGGTCTGGAACGTAATTAATAACAGTAATGAAGTCTTCTGCCTCAGTGACATCCATTTACAGCTATTCAGGCCAACACAGAGGTGCCCTGGGGTGGTTAAAGGAAATCCACTGAGAACCCCAACCTGTATTTAGCTGTTTTTTATTATCTCTTCCTCCGACCTTTACCAAAGTTCTGCCCCTGTCATCGACTCACCTATGGAAAGTTCTGTTTGATACAAGAGTGAGGCCATAACCATCCACCCCACAAAGTAGTCAAAACTCTCCTGGGATCAGGCAGCTTGAATCAGTCATCTTGGTTAAAACTATTCCCTTGTCCTTGCGGAACTGCCCTTACTGAGTTGCATTTTTGTCAAAGGTATTGAGAGAAGCAGCCATGTATAATCTGCTTTTTAGTTGCTGTAAAAACGTGTCAAGAAGCCATGTGCCCTGTGGCTCATGCCTGTAATCCTAGATACTTGGGAGGCTGAGACCCGGAGGATGGTAGTTTGAGGGCAGCCCCAGCAGTTTGCGAGACCCATCTCCAAAATAACCAGAGCAAAACAGACTGAAGATGTGTTTCAAGTGATAGAGAGTCTGCTTTAAAGTGCAAAGCCCGGAGTTCAAACCCCAGCCCCTAAAAACAAAACAAAACAAAAAAAAAACCCAAACTAAAATGTATAACAAATTGTCAAGGAAAGAGATTGACCCCACTATAAGGTTCTTTTTTTCTTTTTTAATGGAATGCTTCACGAATTTGTGTGTCAGCGTTGTGCAGGGGCATGCTAATCTCTGTATCTTTCCAATTTTAGTATATGTACTGCCAAAGCAAGCACTCACTATAAGGTTCTTGAAGACATTTTTTACAACTAATTACCTGGGAAAATTGTTTCTAAAGAAATGGCTATCCTTTTTCTCTTTCTGATAATGAGAACTGGAGAACTGTGATGTTTACCATATTTTCCTTCTTTTTCTGGCCTCTAAAAATCTCATGGTCACTAGGTGCCAGTGGTTCATGACTGTAATCCTAGCTACTCAGGAGGCAGAGATCATGAGGATCAGGATTTGAAGCCAGCTCAGGGCAAACAGTTTGAGAGACCCTATCTCAAAAATACCCTACACTAAAAAGGGCTAGCAGAATGGCTCAAGTGCTCGAGTGCCTGTCTAGCAAGTGTGAATCCCCGAGTTCAAACTTCAGTACTACCAAAAAAATAAAAATAAATAAAAATCTCGTTGCCAAATTGGATGATCACTCACAGTAACTGGTACTTCTGAAATATGAAGATTTGCTTCCTCTTTCTTTTTGACCATGATTTTTCTTTGTTTGTTTGTGATGCTGAGGGCCAAACCCAGGGCCTCCTCCATTCTAGGCATTCTACTACTGAGCTACACCCCTATTTCATTAATTTTATTTATCTGTCTGTGCCAACTTTAGATTCTCAGAACTCTTTAGTCATTGCTCACATTCTGTGGACCCCTTCCTACCTGTTCTTCTAGAAGTGGGTTGGAATTAGGGATACAGAAGAGCAAGGTCACATTCAAGCTAACTTCCCCCCATGAAAAGAATAGATTTTTTTCAGCCTGTTTATACTGTAGGCTGGTTCACGTGGAAGGATCCAAAATGGTTTCCTAGTTCTGTATAGTATGCAACAAGGATTACCCAAGTTCTTACCTAACTAGGGATGATAACTCTTTCCTTTTTTTGGATAGTATCTTGCACCGGTAATTGTATTCTGGAAACTGAACTGACTTCCTTAATCAACAACTTTTGTTTCTTTTGGTAGGAAGACAGCAACAATTCATCTCCAATGGATTTTGTCAATGCCAGGAGTACAAACTTTCCTTCAGAGTGTCTAGAAGCTTGTCAGCATGAATCAGATGAGCAGCCCCTAGATCCAACTCCTCAAACCAACTCTCCTCCCAAGACATCTGAGGAAGCATTGGACCAAAAGGATGACTATGTGGTTAAGACCGTGGTCCTTGTACCCTCTCCAGTGGTGCAGCAGCAAGACATGACACTTAAGACCCATTTAGATGGCATACTGGAGAAAAACAACTCTGTAATTGAGCTTTTGAGTCCAGGGGATCTGGTAAGAAAGGAGATGGCACTCTGCATGGAAGAAAACTTTTTAGAAGTTGTTGCCAGTATGCCTGAAGAACCTACATTTCAGGATTTTCCATCCCATCCCTTGGAATATTCACCAAAACCCTGTTCTGAGCAGCAGTTGCACTACTCCAAGGAAAACTTGAGGGACAAGAGGACTGAAGTTGTGCCTGAGGACTTAGTACTTTCTGAAAGTAATGCCTTCTCGCCTTCCTCCATGCTCTGGCTTTCCCCTTCAACTGCCATGTCAGCAGATTTCCCCATCAATCATGTGGACCCAGGGAAGGAAATGGTAGAGCACAGAGTTATAGAGGAAAGAAAAATGAGCTTTCCCATACTCCATGAGAAGATAGAATTGGGAGATAAAGCACTTATCCCAAATGTAGAAGATGTTCCATCCACATGCCTGACATCAAATCCAGTAGAAATGGAATCCCAGGCAGCTCCAGGACCAGCAGTAGAAGATGCTGGTCGAATTCTCTGCTCTGATACAGAGACTTGGATGTCCCCATTGGCCTGGCTAGAAAAAGGTGTAAATACCTCAGTCATGCTAGAAAATCTCCGCCAAAGCTTATCCCTTCCCTCTGTGCTTCAGGACGCTCCCATTGGTAGTACCACCCTCTCTACTTGCTCTGTGGGGACTTGGTTTACTCCTCCAGCACCACAGGAAAAGACAACAGGCACTAAGGGCACCAAGGATGGTACTTCAGAGACAGAGCATCTCCTGTGGGGGTAAGCACCTGCATGTCCTGTGCCCCTGGAGCACCAGGATCCTGAGCCTACCATCCCATCCCTTTCCCTTCCTTTTTTTCCCCTTTATGTTTTTCTCTTCCTGCTGCAGCAGTTGTCCTCCAGATCTGACTGCCTTATCTCGACATGACTTGGAAGATAACCTGCTGAGCTCTCTTGGCCTCTTGGAAGTTTTTTCACGCCAGCTGCAGGCCTGGAAGAGTAGGCTGGCCATTCCTCACCCAGAAACCCGGGATAGTGCCACACAGACCGAAACCTCTCCTAGCAGGGTAAGAAGCTTCCTCCCAAGGCTTGGGAGGATCCCATTGGGCCCCCTTCCTCAGAATTTATATTGATAAGCTGCCAGAGGGCAAAGGGGACTCCTTAATCATAGGTTCATTCTTAGAATAATACATGTAAATGCTGAGGATCTGGAGAAACACGTTAAAGTCTTTCCAAGGGAATGCAAGCCAGGAAAGTATTGGGGGTTTGTTTTTGTTTTAGTTTTGATAGGGGGTTTGCACTTAGGGCCTCACTCTTGCTAGGCAGGAGCTCTACACTTGAGTCATGTCCTCAGTCCTTGGTGTTTAGTAGTTGTTTTTTGACAGTACTTGAATTTGAATTCAGGGCTTCCTGCTTGCTAGGGAGGTGCTCTACTGCTTGAGCCACATCCCCAACCCTTTTTTAAGCCTTGGTTATTTATTTATTTTTCTTTTTTTGGTGGTACTGGGGTTTGAACTCAGGACCTTGTGCTTGTCAGGTGTACACTCTACCACTTGAACCATGCCTGTAGCTGGCCTTGATTATTTTTGAGATAGGGTCTTGCATTTATGCCAGGGCTGGCCTGGGTGTGATTCCCCTATTTACATATCTGGTGTATTTGGGATGACATGGCTCAGTTTTTATTGGTTGAGATGGAGTCTTGTGAACTTTTTGCCCAGGTTGACTTTGAACCTAGATCCTCCCTATCTCTTCCTTCCAAATAGCTAGAATTACTGGCTTGAGTCACCAGCCCAGCACTAGGAAAGTTTTAAAGAAATCAGTTTTTAGGTCTTCATCGTCCAAATGTATTCTTTACTAATTTTTTTCTTTTCTACTTCCTCATTCTCAATTGTCCTTGTCCATTTTACTAAAGAACATGCTTCTTAGGGCATATCTTATATAACACTCAAAGGACAATAGAAAATATCTGTGTACATGCAGAGAAAATGAATGACCATGATAATTATATAACACATCATTTTCACATGTTTTTCAACAAAATTGGAGAAGGACTTTACTTCAGTGGGTCATTAAATATTTTTTGGTGAAGGTTCACTAGGTTTTTACATATATTTTCAAAGGAGTTCCTAGAATTGGTTGATGTGCCCTGGTTTCCTTCTTCCATTCCTATTGATACCCAATATTTATGTGAAGATTTCTTAGTGCTTATATCTATTAAAATGGAAAACAGTGATAAATTTTTCCTGACTCATGTTTTGTTGTAGGAATTACAGTAATCTACAAATACATGATTACATGATTACATGGATGGGGGGGAGGCTCCATCCATTTAATTAGTAGGTGTCTCCCAATAAAATTCAAATGGTTAAAATAAAGCTATTGAAAATTTTTCTGCTTCCAAAAGAAAGTTTTTTCATTTAAAGTCTTATCAAAGGAATTTAAAAGAAATTCTAGTTTTAATTTTGATGAACTCTTTTGTTTTTTTTGGTAGTACTGGAGTTTGAACTCAGGGCTTGCAAAGCAGGTGCTCTACTGCTTGAGCCATACCTCCAGTCCTAGACGAACTCTATTATTGCAGAAATGTTGGTTAATAACAGACTTTAAAATCTAAAAATTATTATACTGGGATGACTTTTTTTTTTAGTGGCACTGAGGTTTGAACTAAGGGCCTCACTCTTGGTAGATAGGAGCTCTACCCCTTGAGCCATGACCCCAGTCCTATCAAATATGTAGTGTTTATGTCATTGGCTATGTTTAAGAGCTCATATTTTATTTCAAACTGTCAGTATTTGTAATATGCTGGAAATTACAGCCTTTGCAACAATTTGAACTTAGGGGTAATTAGTTTTTCAAATTATTGTAGGAGGTATGTGAGGAAAATAGTTTAAAGACCACTGTTTTACAGGACTCTAGCCATGACAACAGGCAGGGAAGGAAGGGAATGGTGTCAGGGAAAAGAACCGAGAGTCTCAGTATTGTGCCTGTAAAAATAATAGGTAGCTGTTGGTAAGAGGAGATGGTCCCCAAATGCCCAAAGATTTTCCTTTGAGTTGAAAATATCCTCAAAGTAATGCCTTTTGCCCTGGTTCCTAGAAACCATGGACTCCTCATTCCTCTTGTTATTTAACTCTTGGGTTATCTTTGTATCTTTTTTTCTTATCCTTGACCTTGTTTCCCATTTCTGAATCTGCCTTGTATCCTCTTTCCGTGATGCTTGCCAGGTCCCTTTGGAGGTTACTGAAGCAGAACCAGACAGGGGAAATGACATCACCTTCAGCCATTCCCCATCACCATGCATGGCCTTGCCGCTTGGCTGCCTCCTTCACATTAATCTCATCATCTGCTTGACTGCCCAGCTCTGAGCAGTATTTGAGCCCTATCCAGGGCTCATGGGTACTCCGTGCCTTTCTGCATGATGCAGTAGATAATGATGATTGCTTTTCTGGGGAAGGGAGCCGTGAACTTCAAGAGATCTGAGGATGGAGGTGACTACCTCCTTAAATTCAGAATGCCACAGCCTGGTGACTCAGCATTGCTGTTTCAGCAACAGCCTTATTCCAGAGGATGACTGGCTTTCAGCAGTAATGCCTATTTTTCTCTTACTAAAAATTTTTTTTTTTTTTTTTTGGTTTTGTTTTGTTTTTTGTTTTTTTTTTTTTGAAACAAGGTCTTGCTAGATAGCCCAGACTAGCCTTCAACTAGTGATCATTCTGCCCCAGGCTTCTGAGTATTGCCACCAGGCCCACTTTCATACTAAGATTTTTATCTGCCCTTATAATAATGGATAGACAGTTAAAGAGTAAAGAAATAGAAATGACTTTAAATATTGAAGAAGATTAACATTGGGCTGGGAGTGTACCTCAGTAGTAGAACATTTGTCCAACATACACAAGGTCCTGTGTTAATTCTCCATAACACACACACACACACACACACACACACAAAGGCCAGGAGTGATAGCTCATACCTGTAATCCTAGCTACTTAGGAGGTAAAGATCATGAGGATTGAGGTTTGAGGCCAGCCTCAGCAAAAAGTTAAAAAGACCCTATCTCAACAATAAACTGAGTACTAGTGGTACAGGTCTGTAGTGCCATCTATGAAGGAAGCATAGGTAGAAGGGTTGTGGTCTGAGGCAGGCCCAGATAAAAATCAAAAGGGTCTATCTGAAAAACAGCTAAGAGCACAGAGGGCTGGGGGGGGTGTGACTTAAGTGGAAGAGCTTCTGCCTAGCAAGTACAAGGCCCTGAGTTCAAATCCTATACTGCAAAAAAAAAAAAAAAAGAAAGAAAAGGTAATCAAAGAAATGCAAATGAAAACAATGAGATGCCATTTCCTTCTGACAAAATAGCAGAGAATAAAATAGGTAATGCAGTTGGACATGGTGGCACATGCCTGTAATCCCACCAGTCCAGAGACAGATGCAGGAAGATTTAGAGTTCAAGGCCAGCCTGGGCTACACAAAAAGACCCTGTCTCAAAAAAAAAAAAATGCTGGTAAGCATTGTCCTTTTATCAGTAGGGTACAAACTGGTTCATCCTCTTTTGAAGACAATTTAAATAAGACCCTTGAAATAGTTCAAGCCTTTTGATGTAGTAACTCCACTTCTAGGGATATATCTTAGGAAAAAAAAAGTTCTGTATAAAGATGGCAACAGCCAGGTGTGGTGGTATATGCCTATAATCCCAGCAGAAGAATCCAAAGCAGGAGACAAGCGGATCATGAGTTCAAGGCCAGCCTGGGCTACTTAGCCAGACCCTGGCTCACAAAACAACAAAGATAGTGACAGAGTTTTTGTTTGTTTGGTTTTTGAGATAGGGTTTCACAGAGCCTAGGCTGGCCTTAGCCTCCTAAGTGCTGGAATTATAGACATGAGACACCATACCTGGCCTACATTTGTGTGTGTGTGTGCGCGCGCGCACTTGAGTGTTTGAGACAAGATCTCTCTATATAGTGGAGGTTGGCTTAGAACTCACTGTATAGCTAGGCTGGCCTTGAACTTGAGATACTTGTGCCTCAGCCTCCCAAGTGCTAGGTTTATAGGTGTGTACTACCATACCCAGCTCCTGATTTTATTTTCTCCTCTCTTCAGAGTTTTTCTTTTCTTTTTTTGGTGGCATTGGGGTTTGAACTAAGGCCTTGCGCTTGCTAGGCAGGTGCTCTTACTGCTTGAACTACTCTCCCAGCACTTTTCTGCAGTGGAGTTTTGTGAACTGTTTGCCTGGGCTGGCTTCAAACTTCCATATTCCTGATCTCTGCCTCCTGAGTAGCTAGGATTACAGGCATGAACTACTGGTGCCAGGTTGCTTTGGTTATTTTTGAGATAATGTCTCACTTTATGCCTGGGCTGAGCTGGATCAGGATCCTACTACATATGTTTCCCAATAGCTGGGATGACAGGTCCAAGCCACCACTCCTAGCTTTTATTGGTTGAGATGGGGGTCTCACAAACTTTTTGCCCAGTTAGGCCTCAACCCCCAATCCTGCTGATCTCCACCTCCTGCACAGCTAGGATTACTGGCTGGGGCCACTTTGCCTGACCCAAATTTATGTTTGTTTTTTTGTTTTCTTTTCTTTTTGAACTCGGGGCTTCACGTTTGCAAAGCACAACCATGAAGTTGGCCCTGTATATCTATGGATTCCTCATCCATGAACTCAACCAACTTTGGATGGAAAATATTCAGAAAAAATAATGTGTCTGTATTGAACCAGCTTTTTTTGCTTATCCTCATTCCCTAAACAATATGGTATAACAACTACTTACATAATATTTAAATATATTAGTATTTTAAGTAATATAGAAATGATTTATTGTATACAGGAGGATATATGTAGGTTTTATGCCAATATTTCACCATTTAATTTGAGGGACTTGAGTATTCTCATTTTTGGTATCCAAGGGGGTCCTAGAATCAACTCTACCAATACTAAAGGATGACTACATCTATTACAATCTTAGTTTTTCTTAAGCATGACTGTATTTCATCTAATCAAAGACACTATCAATATTAAGATGCATTCTCATTTCAGAGGTATTAAACTGTGAAAAGATATTTTTCTTAGAATTTATTGAATATGATAATTTATTTCTAAATTTGTGGCCTATAGCTTTTTCTCTAACACCTAAGGGAAATAATATATTCATCAGTTTCAGGAAATCCCTATAGCAAGTACACTGTCTGGCGTGGAGGTATACTGGAATCTTTGGGGTGGGTGCTATATTTTTGGTTAAGTATCACTGTTCTGTTGATTTTTCTTTCCTTTTCATTTTTGTAATTTCCAAAATTTCATGGTAAATATATTATCTGAAGAATAGAAAAAAAATTACTTTAAAAACGAATATTTTCTGACTTTCTGACTTGGCTTCACTGGGCTCTTCCTTCTGATAGAAAAGATTCCTATAACTCACTGGGAGCAGGGGCGGGGGGGAAATGAGGGGCTGCTGTTGCATGATAACTACACAAAAAGAGCAACTCGTTTCATTGGCTAGGTAAATAAGAAACTTCAACATCTTCAGGAAAGCCAGGACATTAGACAGGCCCTGAAGCAGGCCAGGAATGTCATGGTAAGTGTTGATTGACCTTGTACCACCACTGGGGTCTTCTGTGAAGGTCAATAGTAGAGAATACTGGGTGGTTAGTAGATGGTGATACTCAATCTTGGCAGTGAGGAGAGGTTCCCAAACCTTTGTGAAGAACTTCTCTTTGTTAGGAACTTGTAATTTGGGTTGGTGCCTTTCCTCCCCAGTGCCTCTGCTTTCTGCTTAGTGGCTATATTTGATCTAACCTAACCATCTTGCCTCTCTACAAGCAATCATGGGTGCTAGCCTCTAAAGAGTTGATATCCTTGCTTCACCTGTCCCTGTTGCACGTTGAAGAAGATAGAATGACTATGAGTCAGGAGGTAAGCTGAATGAAAGTGGAGGTGGAGGACTCTGGTGAGATTGAAAACCAAAAAAAGGAACTGGACAGGGTATCTGATTCTTATCTTGTAGTCTCAGCATGCAAAAACCTTGGTCTCCTGCTGCTTTGATGTGTTGAAGAAAATGAGGCCAAAGCTCCAGAGCCTCAGTACAGAAAGGGAGGAGGCAAGGCACAGAGAGGAAATGGCCCTCAAAGGCAAGGACGCGGTAAGGTGCCAGGCATTTGTTCCTGGGTGTGGGAGGTCTCTGCTTCAAAGTACCTGCAGGAATACACTGAGACATAGTTGAGTGGCTTAAGAACTGCCTGCCCTTGGGAATTAAGAATTAAACTACAAGCTGGGCACTGGTGGCTCACACCGGTAATACTGGCTATTTAGGCTAAGCTTGGGAGGATTGTGGTTCCAGTCTAACCTGGGCCGGGCAAAAGTTTTCGAGACACCATCTCAACAGAAAAAAGATGGTGTGGTGCATCCCTGTTATCCCAGCTATGGCAACAAGTTTAAAATAGGAGGATCATGGTATGGACCAGCCTGGGCAAAATGTGAGACCCCGTCTCTAAAACAACCAGAGCAAAAGGGGCTACATATGTGGCTCAAGTGGTAGAACACCTGCCTAGCAAGTACAAAGCCCTGAGTTGAAATCCCAGTACAGTTAAAAAAAAAAAAACTGAACTACTGGGAGCCAGGTGTGGTAGGGGCACACCTGTAATCTCAGCTACATGGGAGGCAGAGGCAGGAGAATCCGGAGTTCCAGTCCCCAGCTCATGTAAAGGTAGCAGCAAAACCCTGACTTAAAAATAAAATAAAAACAGCTGGGTGCCAATGGCTCATGCCTGTAATCCTAGTTACTTAGGAGGCAGAGATCAGGAGGATCACAATTTGAAGCCAACCCGGGCAAACCATTCACAAGACCCTATCTTGAAAAAACCCATCACCAAAAAAAGGGCTGGTGGCATGGCTTAAGGTGTAGGCCCTGAGTTCAAGCCCCAATACTGCAAAAATAAAATAAATAAATAAAATAAAAACAAAATGGCCAGGGAGACTGCTGGGGCAGTCTGCATATCATGGGGAGATAGATGTTGCTGTCTATAAGTCTTGGGCCCTGGCAATTAAAGAAGAAAGGTGGGAGGAAGGAGTCAGAACCCAGACCCTTGGCTTTGTTCCTCACTGCTCCAAAAAGAAACAGGATCCTGAGAAGATCTATGAGCTAAAGTCCAAAGCTCGATAGATTATGAACCAGTTTGGCCCCTCATCCTTAGTCATTCTCTCCAGTTTCTCATCCATAAAAACTGGAACCAGCCAGCACCCCTCTACAAGGCTCCCTGGCCAATACCACTACAGTGGTAAAGATACTAAGCACTCCTGGGATGGGGGGGTCGTCCTAGCACTGAAAACCATCAGGTATCCACCAAGAAGAAATTACAGGACTTAGTAAGAGAAGTGGATCCTAATGAGCAGTTGGATGATGATGAGGAAGAGATGCTGTTACAGATTGCTGGTAATTTTATTGAGAGTGTTGTGACAGCCACTTGCCAGCTTGATCAACATCACAAATCTAGCACCCTTAAAGTACATCCAGCTGCATCCAGAGCATCAGTGGATCCCAGGATTTGGCTCTGAAGAAATCTGACCCTACAAAAAAGCTTACACCACCGAAGATCATAAACACAGAATGGCATTGATCTGGAAAAACAACCAAGAAGTAACACACAGAAAAGTCAGAAAATGGACAATGTATTTGGATATACTGGAACTGAGATCTCAGCCATCTCATTGTTGGAATTTTTTTTTAAATGCTTTATAGAGAACCATACATTTTTTATTAACAGTGCAGCAACATCTATAATGACTTAGGTGATCTGCCAAAAGAATAAAACCTCCTACCCTACTTCTCCCTTTCCCTACTGTCTCAAAGGGGAACAGTGTATCTTCCAGAGAAGATTTTATCTGTGGTTTAAGTGATTGAATATAGGACAAAGCACTATGGTCTTGGGTGATACTATTCAGGATTTGTACAGGGTTTTGTTTCTTCCTCCTTTCTCCTATTCCCTGTACTTTGTAATGTCAATCTTTATGGGAATATGAGTTTGATTTGTTTTTCCAGAATAAAGAAGTTAGGAATTGAATGGAAAAGAAATAAAAGGCTGGGGGTACATCTCAAGTGGCAGAGTGATTGCCTAGTATATGTGCAAGAACTGGGGACATGGCTTAAGTAGTAGGGCATCTGACTAGGAAGCATGAGGCCCTGAGTTCAAGCCTCAGTACTACAAAAAAAAAAAAAGATAGATAGAACTGAACTATTGGGTCATTAGGCATTGGGTTATAGCTTTTTGTGCTATTTCCCTCTACTCTAAACAGGCAGAGACAGTGCTGGAAGCTTTCTGTGCACATGCCAGCCAGCGCATCAGCCAACTGAAACAGGATTCGACATCCATGCAGGAATTCAGAGGCCTTCTGCAGGAGGCTCAGACCCAACTGGTAATTTAAGGGCATTTTCTTTCTTGCAGTCCATGCTGACACGCTGGGAAGATGGTCACATACCCCACTTAGCTGCCTCCATAGGTAATCCTTCCTTTGTAGGTAGGACTTCAGACAGAGCAAGAGGAGCTAGCTCAGCAGGTAGTGAGTCTGACTTCTACTTTACAACAGGACTGGACATCTATGCAACTAGATGTGAGTATTTGGGGGCATCATAGCTACTCCATCACTTAAAACCAGATCTGGTAGGACCCTTGCCTCAAGTGTCCTCTACTGACCTACTTACTTCCTCTGGAAGTATGGAACATGGACAGCTTTGCTGAATCGTTCTCAACAACTCACAGAGAAACTCACAACCAAGAGCCGGCAGGCCCTGCAAGAACGTGATTCAGCAATTGAGGAAAAGCAACAGGTATAAATCAGCGGTGGGGACTGCTTAGGCCTAGTTATCTCTTCCTTTGTGGGGATCTTTCTAGTGTGTGTTACCATTATCTTCTTATGCTGGTCCTGTCTTTCCACCCGGGGTTTGGGGACCATCCAATTCCCTTGGCTGTATAATGGCTTCAGCCCAGTTGTTTCCTTTGTTCTTCAGCACATTCTTTACAGAATGTAAAGAATTCTTTACAGCTTTTCTTCTGTCTCAATTTTTCCTGAGGATCAGCTTTATTTTTTGCAGTGTTGCTGCCCAGAAGCAAGGTAGTTTGCTCTTTTGTCTAGAAAGAGAAGCTGCACTAAATCCTTGGATTCTTGATTCAGGAGGAAATATAGAAAGAAAACTTACCTCTTATCTTTTCTTTCTAGGTTTCCAGAGAGCTGGAACAAGTCTCTGCCCATTTAGAGGACTGTAAAGGCCAAATAGAACAACTGAAGTTGGAAAACAGTCGCCTAGTTACAGGTATGTGTGTGTGTGTGTGTGCAGGTATGCAAGGAGTTGAACCTGCTAAGGCTTGCAGTATGGCAGTAGAGCAAGGAAGTTCTCTGGAGCACTTGCTTTGGGGCAGAGTTGTGGGGGTTTTCTGGTCTGTGACTCCGTGGTGTCAGTATGATAATTTTGATCTAGATCTCAGGGCTCAGCTGCAGATGCTGGCTAGCACAGCCAGCCAGTTAAAAGAGCTACAGAGTCAGCATGCCAGTTTTGCCCAGGACCTGGCAATGAAAGATGAGTTGCTGCACCAACTTACCCAGAGTAATGAGAAGCAGGCTGCTCAGTGAGTACCTATCAGGTTTTAATGGTAGTAGGCACCAAGCAGGTAAGACCAAATGGGATCTAATACAAGTTCTCTAGCAGATGGCAAAAGGAAGAGATGGCACTAAAGCAAATTAAGGCAGAACTGCAGCAACAAAAGGCTGTGTTGGCCAAGGAGGTGCAGGAACTGAAGGAGACCCTGGAGGTAAGGAATTTGGCTTGGGGCAAGGGAACAAGTAAACCTCAAGAGTGGGACTCTTGCTGGAAAAAACCTCTGTCCTCCAGAGCTCTAAAATTCTCTACTTGGACTCATTTTCCCCCTTCCCTCTCTTTCTTTTCTCCCAGTTTGCAGACCAAGAGAGTCAGGTTGCTCACCTAGAACTGGGCCAGGTCGAGTATCAGTTAAAAACCACACTGGAAGTGCTCCGAGAACGCAGCCTGCAGTGTGAGAATCTTAAAGACACTGTAGAGAACCTAAAGTAAGATTTCTACCTGGCTGTGCCTCCCTCCCAAGTGCTTATTTTTCCCAGGAACACTTCTAGAAGTCAAAGTCTCCAAGAAGAGAATTGTAACAGTGTTAAGCCTCTCGTTTCTCTCCCAATGTGGAGAATTGGGAAAGGTGCTCACAGAAGGTAACCTCATTGTCCTGGTTCCTCATTTCAGGGCTCACTTGGCCAGTACCATAGCAGAGAACCAGGAACAAGCTTTGGAGAAGGCACACCAATATTCCCAAGGGCTCGGGCTGCTGACTGAGCAACTACAGAGTTTGACACTTTTCCTACAGACAAAACTAAAGGAGAAGGTAGGATCCTAGGGTCCCTTTCCCTTCCTTCCCCCTTTACTTCCTTTCCCATTATACCCTGATTGTATAGAATAGACTTCCTAAAACCCTACTCTTGTTCCATCTCAATTAATTCAGTGACTTTCAGTTACCTATAGTACCTCTTTAGCCTGTAGCTCAAACTTTCATCTGTTTTCTACCTCTCATTTACTCCAGCTAGGCTGCCTGTACACCATACACAGTTCCTATCTCCATTCATACCTGGCCTCAGGCCATTCTCACATCCATTCTCTTCTGTTTTCAAACTGGAAATTCCTTTTTCTTTCCTACTAAAATCCTCCCTAGTTTACCTTATTTGAAATGTTCCCAAATCACATGGAGTCAATGATCTTTTGGGCTGGAGGAATGGCTCAAGTGGTAGAAACAAGCAAGCGTGAGGCCGAGTTCAAACCCCAGTACTGCCAAAAAAAAGAAAGTCAATGAGTCACTGATCTTTTTTTGCTGTATTCCTCACAAGCGTACTCTTCTTTTGCACTTGTATTAATTTTCCTTGGATATCTGATCTCTTCAACTAAACAATGTTTAAAAGAAAGCAAAAATTTAGCTTTGCTTCTTTAGCATCCCCACAGTGTACAATAAACAATAAATAGTTAATATCTTTCAGAGGACAGAGTTAATTAGTAGTTAAAGGTACAACTAAGATTCTGACTGTCTTCTCCAACTGAGTGCTGAGCACAGCAAATGTCAAACAATGTACAGTTTAGTGGGGAAGATAGACAGATGTAAACTTGTCATCTTCACTTATGATCATGGTGAAGGTCTGCATGGACCACTGTGGGAACTCACAGAAAGGAGGATCACTGCTGCCTTGGAGAGTTAGGGAGTCTTCTCAAAGCAGGTGACCTTTGCTGGGTGCTGGTGGCTTATGCCTGTAATCCTAGCTACTCAGGAGACAGAGGCAGAGATCAGGAGGATCATGGTTCAAAGCCAGCCTAGGCAAATAGTCCGAGAGACCCTATCTCAAAAAACTCTTCACAGAAATAGGGCTGGTGGAGTGGCTCAAGGTGAGTTCAAGCCCCAGCACCACACACACACACACACAAAAAGCAGGTGACCTTGAGTAGTCTTGAGGTTTAGAAGTTTATAGGTTCAGGGTGTGTATATAGGAAGACCCACCAAGAGGGGGAACATATATGAAAATTTCATATGACTATATAAGAAAATTATATGTAGAAAGTCATGCACATAGCACATTATGTATACTTTTTTGTAGCCCTGTAATAAGACCTGGGTCAGGTGCTGGGACTATACAATGAATGAGGCAAGGCCCTGCTTATAGAGAATGTGGCAAGTTTTGGGAATGGGAAGTAGTTCTATGATTGGTATGTAGGAACTACATGGTGTAAGACAGGAGACAAGGCTGGAGAAGCAGACAGGAGGCTAGGTTTTTGAAGACTTCAACTAATGCCAGTTACAGAGAGGATAGAGATGAGGGGATATATTAAAGGGATTCAATGGATGTTTAAGACAGAAGTAATTGCACATGGTGATTAATTTGATGTAGAGGAAAAGAGTGAATGATGATCTTAAATTGTTAGAAAGATAGTGACTTGTTCCCCCCAAACAGGATCTCACAATCTGGCCTTGAATTTGTAATCTATCTGCCTCATGATGGGATTACAAGTATGCGCCATCATACTTTCCTCTTGAACTAAGGTTGGCAGACTTTTCCTATAAAGGGCTATATAAGTGTCTTCAGCTTTGAGGGCCTATGGTCTCTGTCTTACCTATTCAACTCTGCTTTTGTAGTTCAAAAGCAGCCACTGACAGTATATAAGTGAGTGTTGTGGCTATGTTCCAATAAAACATCTGTAAAAACAGTTGGCAGGTCAGATTTAATCCAGAGGCAGTAATTTGCTGCCTGCTTTGCTCAGAACAGTAAATACAGTAGTGGGAACAGATTTTTGATGGAGTAGAGCAGGGAAAATGGTGACTTCAGTATTACACATCCTAAGTTTCATGTGGACTGTGGAACATTCTGGTAGATTTTTTTTTACAGGCAGTTAGTCTTTAGGCCTGGAGACTGGGAAAAAATCCAGTTGAGAGAAAGAGATTAAAGAGTTATTCATGTGAAAGTTCAAATTGGATGTTTTTATGGACCTCCAGAGACAGGGCCATCTAGGGAATGGCTTAGAGTGAATAGAGGGCCAAGGACAGAATGGGGAGAGAGGGCAAGAGTTAAGGAAGGAACCATGGGTTGAGAGAAGAAATGTCCAGAAAGCGATGAGGCCCCTTCATGAAGGGTGGTCATGACCTAGAAGAAAAAGAAGTTTCTAAAAGTATAATATGGTCATCAGTATCAAATAGACTGGGTAAAACAAGAGTTGGAAAGTATCCATTGCATTTGAAAGTAAGGATGCCAGTGGTGAACCAAATGACAAGAATTTTTGTGGAATACTGGGGCAAAAGCCTGTATAGTGGACTGGGGTGTCAGTAGATGGTGAGAATTATAGGTAAGAATTGTGAGCTTTTTTTCAATTAAAGGGAAAGCCAAAGGACAATAGTAGCTAAAAGGATATTTAATGCGTTTTTGTTTTGTTTTTAAATTATTATTTTAGTGGGAGAGACTTAGAATATAAACTTGTGTTAGGAAAGGCACTAGTGGAGGAGTTGGAGATAGAGCAGTGAGGTAGAAGGTAGAAAAGCACTCCAGAAGAGATGACTGGAGTACCTTGAAGCTCAATAAACCACTTACTCTGAAGAGCAGCTGATTTTTTTTTTTCTCCTTTGTCCTTAGACTGAAGTAGAGACACTTCTACTGAGCACAGACTGTGCTCCCACCCAGGAAATCCCTCCACCAAATGAAAGTGCCTCCATGGGAAATATCTCAACAGCAGTGGCAGACGAAGGTTTTAACCCCTGAGATTTGGGGGTGGGAAAGTTGTGACCCTGCTCCTGATGTTGTCTGCTGGTGAAGATGCCCACATCAGACTTGCTTGTCTCTCCCAGCTTTGGTTATGGCAGACCCTTGACTAGGTCACCATGGGAGCCCCCTCTCATAGTTGATCTTTGTTTTAGAGTCAGAATCAGCTCCTGTGCCCTTGCTTGGAAGTGACAAGAGTGCTTTCACCCGAGTAACATCAGTGGTTTCTCTTCAGCCTACAGGTTAGGATGGGCTCCAGGGATCCTGCCTCATTTCTAAAAAATCTGGTGGTGATGAGTAAAGACAAAAGCAATGAGACATGCTTTGCTCTAAAAACCTCAATTCTACTTGGGCTTATTTTGTTTCTGCCTTTTGGGATCTGTAATGTTCTGAATATGCAAATCATATGAGTAAGGAACAATGATGACTATCACACTCCTTCCTTTTAGGCTGAAGGGGCTGTACCTCTATCTAGGGCTTTCTCTTTCAGAGACCCCAGGCCTGGAGAAAAGCCTGGCAGAAATGAGAACTACCCTTCTTGAGCTTCAGAGCCTGTGTACTCTGCTGCAAGAATCCAAAGAAGAAGCCATTGAGGTTCTACAGAGAAAAATGTGAGTGGGGCAATCTTAATGATAGGAGGAATAGGACAGCCCCTTATGCCAAGGGCCTGACTGGCTGCTGAAATGAATGGAATAATGTGGAATTCTTCCCTCCCCTAGTTGTGATCTGCAGGGTAGACTGCAGGCCCAGGAAGAACAGCACCAGGAATCACAGAAGGCCAAGGAAGCAGATATAGAGAAGCTGCACCAGGCCTTGTGCTTGCGCTACAAGGTAGAGGAGGGGCCTAGAAGTGGAGCGATGAAGAACTGGGGCAGCTCTGTTGCCCCCCGGGAGCCATTGTCTCTTCAGGAATCTGGGTGGTAGGGATTTTCCAACTACTGCCCTAGTTTTGCCCTTCCTGGGGTCAGACATTTCACATATTTGGGAATCAGCTATGGACTGGCCTGTTTTCCCAGGCAGAATCAGGAGAAAAGTCAGGAACTCTATCTAGCAGAACTCTTTCAACACTGAGATATGCGTTGCCTGACTTGGCACTGGAGGAGGAATTAGAGTGGTATCAAGTGGTTGTCCTATCAGAGCCAAACATGGGTCAGGCATTCTCTCCTACCTCCTGAAAAGGGCTACAAAGAAACCAGCTCTCTCTTAGTGCTGTCTTGTCTGCCTTTTCCTTACAGAATGAAAAGGAGCTACAGGAAGTGATACAGAAACAGAACGAGAAGATCCTAGAACAGATAGACAAAAATGGCGAGCTCATAGTATGTTCCTCATGATGCCAAGCCTTTGCCTTCTGTGTTACTTGTAGCCAGATCCCAAACACGAGGACTGGATATGCTGGTCTACCTTTGTCCTTCACATATAGGAAAGATAAAAAGGACCTTTGAGTGATATTGGATACTTCTGTTCTTATTCCCAGAGTCTCAGGGAGGAGGTGATCCAGCTCACCCACTCACTTCGGCATGCAGAGACAGAGACTAAAGTGCTCAAGGAGACCCTGGCAGGCCAGGTGGATCCCACTTGTCAGCCTGTAGTCACTAACTGGATCCAGGAGAAAGTGTGTCTCTCTCAGGAGGTGACTCAGAGTTAACAGAGGAACTGGGCAACTGGTGGGGACCTCCAGCTGTGCCCCTATTAATGAGAACATATCTGTAGGTGGACAAGCTGAGGTTGATGTTCCTGGAGATGAAAAATGAGAAAGCAAAACTTGTGCTCAAGTACCAGAGCCATGTAAGGATTTCCATGCTCTCCCAGGGCCATTTCCCACCATCATAAGCAAGCACCCTGCCATGTTGCCTCTGTCCTACCAAGACACACTGTTCTTTTAAACATAGGACTTATGAAACCTATTTGCTTTCTAGAGAAACATCCTAGAGGAGAACCTTCGGCGCTCTGATACAGAGTTAAAGAAACTAGACGATATTGTTCAGCATATTTACGAGGTAAAGGAGGGAGGGAGGTGACAGGACTAAGACACCTGGTACAAGACCTGGCCCTAGGCGGTACTGATGATAACGGCACTGGTTCCCAGCCTGTGCTGAGAGCCGGGTCTGACTCCTTACTGTAGGCTTCTCTGTAGCTTCCTGTTTATCCCTTCTCAGTAGGTACCTCCTGGGGCTGGGAGCCTTGGACCTCAGGCTTGTTCTGAGCTAGGTGCCTTTTCTGTCTCTCTTCTCAGACTTTACTGTCCATCCCAGAAGTAGTGAGGAATTGCAAGGAGCTACAAGGATTGCTAGAATTTCTAAGCTAAGAAACCAAAAGCTGGGTCCAGTGGCATGTGTCTGTAGTCCCAGCTACTCTGGAGGCTGAGGCAGGAGAACTGAGTTCGAGACCAGCACAGGCAACACAGCGAAGAAACAAAGCTGATTTTGCTTCCTCCCTATTTACCTGAAATACCCCTTACCCCAACATGAGGACCATTGGCACAGAACCACCTATGTTTAATGCTATTTAAATAAAGTATATTTAATGTATTCAAGCTCACTGAATCTTTTTTGGGGAAGAGGTGAGGGGTGGGTGAGGTCAGGGAAGAGGCAGCTTGGCACTTCGGCCTGGGCACCCTTCATATATCTCTTTCCATCTTCTGCTGCATCCAGAGCCAGGGCTGTCTGCCCTTCTTCTCTTTTGCTTCACCCAAATACTCTGGGCTCTGGACTGCTTGTTCCCTGGCTCCCGGCCTGGGGGAACAGAAAAGGCTCCATTCTTTTACTTTTCTCATCCCCCCTAAGGGGTGTGTACCGAGGACAGAAACGCTCAGTTCATTACTCCTTGCCTTGAATTTGGGCACCCTGTTGGCATCTTGTCCCATCCTCCCCACCTGCTGACTGTTTAGGTAACTCCTCTTCATAACACGCTGAATCCCCAACATTCTGTAAAGTACCTTGCTGTGGCAGAGACAAACACAAGGTCATTTCCTGCCTTCAGGGCTCTGGTGGCAGTGCTCCATAAGAAAAGAGGGGGACAGTTTTTAACAGCCTTGGTGGGGGAGGGTCCTGGCACTGGAGTCACTCCACCCCGTTTCCCTGCCCCTGAGGGCGTGGCTTTCCCCCCAGACCAGTCAAGGGCGAAGGCGGGGCCAGGGTGGGGCGGTCCTGGTTCCGCCCCCCGAAGGAGTCACGTAGCTCTGCGGCATCCACAGCCTCATTTATCTGAGCCAGAGCTGAGCTGGTGTTGACCAGAACCTGCGCTTGAGGCTGCTGCTGGTAACTGGCTGCGCACAGGTAAGGCTCCAGAGAGGCGGGAGCTGCTCAGTTCTCAGCTTCCTCTCCTGGACTTCCCCTGCTCTCCTTGCCCTTCTTCCTGGTGTGCCTTTTCTACTCTCTGCTGATATCCTCTCTTTTTTGTCCACTTGAAATTCTATGGCTGTCTCTTCCACTCCACCCCTTCCTCCTAACTGTCCCTACTGGAATTCAGCTTTTCCCATCCCAAATCTTCACTCTACCTCCTGGATTTTCCTTGGGATCAGCCTCTTTAACCCAGGCCATTTTTAATCTCAGTCTGCTCTTGTTCCTTCTAGTCTACCTTCCTTTCCAGCTCTCTTGCCGTCTCTGTCCCCAGGTCTAGGTCCTTTCCCCTGAACTTGCTAGCCTGCGTCACCATCACTATCATTTCCCCCAAATCGGCCTCCTTTTTCAGGCTCTCTACCCATTCCTTTCAGCCTTAATCCCCTGACCCTGTCTCCCCACTGGGTGTCTGAGTTGTGAGGAGTTGAAGTGGACCCTATTTTCCATGTCTCCTTGCATAGAGGGGAAGTGCTTCTGGGCTCTGAAGATGACGTGGTGGTGTCCCTATCCCCAGTCTTCACATCTAATCTAGCTGGCCTACTGGCACTCTTTCCTACCAGATACCTTGCAGCTCCATCCGGGTGAACTTCAACACAGGGATGGGCAATAGGAAGTAGGCTAGGCAGTCAGGTTTGCAGTATTTAAAAGGTTACTGTAACCTGAGACATTTGGGAGACCAGTACTACTCTTTAACCCACCCACTTCCTTCCAACTTTTCCCCTAGAAACTGGAGGAGGCTATGGGTGATAAGTACTTTTGCTTCATTCTAAAGCCTGTAAATAAGTGTACTTTCCATAGGTGCCCTGATGAAGAGGAGAAAAGGGAAGCTGGAAAAGCCAGGGTTTATGCCTATCTCAGGAAGGGGACAAATTCAGTGAAAGAGGTGTTGGCATCCTCAATTGGACAGCAGTTTTCATAAGAAGACCTGTAGCTTTAGCCACCTCCCTATCCCCCATTCTGCATCTTTCCTGGGTCCGGGAAGGGTGCCCACCAGGGACAAAAGGAGATGTGGGAACTGGGGCCCTAAGCTTGCTAGCTGTCAGAGAGATCAGTGCCACTTTGGTGCCCAGGACCCATGCCAAAGACTGCTGCTCTGCAGAGCCTCATTTTGGGATAGGGGGAGGCATTTGACCTGTGTAGCCAGTAGAGGAAGCAGAGGAGTTAGAGGGCGGGGTCCATCTTTTACATCTTGTCTCCATTCCAGAACACTGTCACCATGCCCCACTCATACCCAGCCCTTTCTGCTGAGCAGAAGAAGGAGTTGTCTGACATTGCCCTCCGGATTGTGGCCCCAGGCAAAGGCATTCTGGCTGCAGATGAGTCTGTAGGTAGGTGGGAACCTGTGGTGATGGTAGTTGGGTAGAGGTGGCCAGGGAGTTCTGGCTAAGAAATAAGGCTGTCCCCACTTTGCCTCCAGGCAGCATGGCCAAGAGGCTGAGCCAAATCGGGGTGGAGAACACAGAGGAGAACCGCCGACTATACCGCCAGGTCTTGTTCAGTGCTGATGACCGTGTGAAGAAGTGCATTGGAGGCATCATTTTCTTCCATGAGACCCTCTATCAGAAAGATGATAATGGTGTCCCCTTCGTCCGAACCATCCAGGATAAGGGCATTGTCGTGGGCATCAAGGTGCAGCCCCTGGCCCTCACTGGGGGTTGGATGTAGAAATCAGTGTGCGTAGGAGGGGTGGCAAGGAGAATCCTGCCTGGGTTCAGCCCTCTGCCTGTGTTTTCCCTGCAGGTTGACAAAGGTGTAGTGCCTCTAGCTGGGACTGATGGAGAAACTACCACTCAAGGTATACAGTGGCGGGGGCTTCAGAACCACAGACGTATTAGGTGGTTGATGCTGACAAGAGAGGGGCAGGGTGATGAAGCTGGCACTATGCTTGCAGGGCTGGATGGACTCTCAGAACGCTGTGCCCAGTACAAGAAGGATGGTGCCGACTTTGCTAAATGGCGCTGTGTGCTGAAAATCAGTGAGCGTACACCGTCAGCGCTGGCCATTCTGGAGAATGCCAATGTGCTGGCCCGCTATGCCAGTATCTGCCAGCAGGTGTGTGTTGGAGGTTTGGGTGGTTGGATGAGTGCCCTATACCTATCCAACCTATACAGGGCTTTCTCTTCTGCCCCTCCCACGCAACTCTGCTCTTGCCTGCAGAATGGCATCGTGCCTATTGTGGAGCCTGAGATCCTGCCTGATGGAGACCATGACCTCAAACGTTGCCAGTATGTTACAGAGAAGGTGAGGCCACAGCCAGGCACAGACACATACTTCAGGGAGAGCCTGGCAAGGGTGACTGTACCCCATTCCCCTGTCTTAGATCCAGGCACACTCTCCCCTAGGGCTCTTTCACTGATCCCAGGACAGGCCTGAGAGAATGAGGCTGTCCTGAACCCTCACGGTCCCATGGCCATCCACCCCTAGATGGAAACATAGAACAGTAAGCAGTGCTGTCCCAGACCCTTTGTAAACATCCTCTGGTCTCCAGGTCCTGGCTGCTGTGTACAAGGCCCTGAGTGATCACCATGTGTACTTGGAGGGGACTCTGCTCAAGCCCAACATGGTGACCCCTGGTCATGCCTGTCCTATCAAGTACAGCCCAGAGGAGATTGCCATGGCAACTGTCACAGCCCTGCGCCGCACTGTGCCCCCAGCTGTTCCAGGTACTACTCCACTGTCTAACCTGCTCTCATCCCTGAGACTCACTCTTAGGTTCTTCTTGTGACCTTCAGGGATTCCTTACCTTGGAAAAATAGGGAGTGACAAGTTTGTGTTCTCCCTTCTACTCTAGGAGTGACCTTCCTGTCTGGGGGTCAGAGTGAAGAGGAGGCATCACTCAACCTCAATGCCATCAACCGCTGCCCTCTTCCCTGGCCCTGGGCCCTCACCTTTTCCTATGGGCGTGCCCTGCAGGCATCTGCACTCAATACCTGGCGAGGGCAAAGGGACAATGCTGATGCTGCTACTGAGGAGTTCATCAAACGGGCCGAGGTTGGGAGCTAGAGGTGGTGATTGGGGAGGAGGGGTGGGACATGTAGCTGGCAGGGAAGCGCCCAGAGGTGACAGCTTGGGCAGGGTTTGACACCTAGGGGCTGGTTCAACCTACTTACTCCCTACTTTCCTTTTGCAGGTGAATGGGCTTGCTGCCCAGGGCAAGTATGAAGGCAGTGGAGAAGATGGTGGGGCGGCAGCACAGTCCCTCTACATTGCCAACCATGCCTACTGAGGTGGTTTACTCCACACCACAGCTCTTGGCCCAGCCATCTGCATCCACTTTTGCCTGTAGTTACAGCTAGGGCCAAATAGTCATACAGATCAAAGATGCCTTCCTCCAGCACCAAGTCATCTTTTTCTCTCCTCCCCTTTCCTCTCCCATTGCTGAACCTGGGACCATAGGATGGAAGAATAGGGAGAACCTCAGGTCTGAGGGCAGGAGAACTTGCTAGAAGCGGATCTGTGCATGGGTCTCCCTCCTGCCTCCACCAGCTGTCACAATCTCCCCAAGATGGTATAGCTTCTCCTTGGGCTCTCCTTGCTGACCCTCTCTCCTGGGATCAGAGGGAAGTAGACCAGCCTGGACTCATGCTTTGAATACATACCACATAGCAAATAAATGGTAGCAAAACATGCTGCTTTGTCTGTTGTGCTCATCAGATTCTCATGTCCCGATGTTTAAACTGTCGATTCTATCTCTGGGTCCTCTTGACTAAGGAGGTGGAGAGGGTGAGACTGGAGTTTTACTGGGCTTCATGTTTATGGAGGAGGGACATATCCAATCGCCATCCCCAGCTTATGCTCCTGCCTGTTGATGTCCAAGGCTGCAGTGGAGCCATGAGGATCCCACAAGTCTTCCAGGGATGGCCACACATAGAGAGGAACTAGGCTGCAACTACAGAAGAATTGAATGAAGCAAGATGAGCAACTTCTGAGGCAGATTTTCTGCAAGGTTCAAACAGTCAGCAGGACAAACCATGGATAAGGAGTGGGTAGGAATTTTGTTGGGACCTGACATATTCCACTAGGAGGAGCCACAGCTGGAGAAGCACTCAGGCTCCTGCCCAATAAGAGAAACATCCAAGACCCTGGGATCCGGCATAGCTGAGCAAGGTATCTAGGAGTCACCAAGCATTATAGCCCACTCCCATTTGGGATAGATAAGAGTGGGTATAAAAGGAACCAATTTGAGAGTATGGCGAGGGTAGACCTGGCGAGACCTCATGCTAAACTTTGACCCTTGGGCTGGGTTATGGGGTAGTTTGAGAACTCAAGCAGATAGAAGATGAATGAGAGAACAAGTTGGGTATGTTCTGTGTGAACAGCAGAGGCTACCAATGCTCTACCAGTGTGGCCTGATCTTATAACAAAAACAGCTAACACACAGTACTTCCTCTGTGCTCCAGCCACACCACATTCTAATCACTGTATGTATTAACTGGATACAACGCTATAAAGTAGGTATTACTAAACTAGCCTATTACCCCTATTTTAATATGAAGAAACAGGTACAGAGCTATCATTCAGGTAATAAGTAGTGAAGCCAGGATTTGAACCTGTGATTATTAGGATCCAGAGTCTGTGCTCATGAATTTTTAAGATTTTTACATGAAGTATCCTGACTTTACCAAGTTGGAAGTGACTCAAAATAAAACTTAAAATCCTGGAATCTGAGCACAGTGATGTGTGCCAGTAGTCCTAGCTACTTGGGAAACTAGGGTGGGGGTAGGGGGATGGGATCACTTGAGCCCAAAGAGCTTGAGACCAGTCTAGGCAACATAGTGAGATCTTATCTCAAAAATTAATAACCATAGTAGCCAATTATGCTGAAAAGACACTAGTTTGCCACCTCCGTGTTTTAAGGCTTTGTGAAGAAGAGCACCCTAAAGAGGAGTTCTATGATAGGAATAATAAATGATCGTGATGGCTGAGGGGTTTCCATGCGCCAGGCTTTTTTTTTTTTTTTTTTGGTGGCATGGAATTTGAACCCCGGGCTTCTTGCTTGCAAAGCAGGTGCCCTACTGCTTGGGCCACACTTCCAGTCCATTTTTCTCTGGTTATTTTGGAGACGGAGTCTCCTGAAGGATTATGCCCAGGTCGGTCTCAAATCGCGATCCTCCCGATTTCGGCTTCCTAGGATTACAGGTGTGAGCCACTGGCGGCTTGCGCCAGGCAAGCTCCTTACACGAATGGTTTCAATGAAACAAATGCCTCCCTTTTTCAGATTTGCAATCTGACTCTCAGAACTTTCTGGGTTGCTCAGTTACTATTTCACAGCTGCAGAGTTGGCGCTCTGGGCCTGGGATGTGCTCTACAGGGAAAACCGGAATTAGTCCAGGATATGTAGCAGTGAGCAAACCCCTCACAGGCCCATGGGTCTTCCCTCTGCGCAGGTGTAAACCTTTCAAAGTCCCGCATGACTCTACGCTGACCCCGCCCACCTCGTCGTCTTTGTCCCACGTGTGTCTGCAATACCTCACGTGATTGGCTTCCATCGCCGCTGTGGTCCCACCCTGTTGTAGCGAGGTTTCCGATTGGGGGAAACACACAGCTTGGCTCCCTTGGCGGTCTGAGCAGGCGGAAGCGAGCATGGCGGCCGCCGGGGCTGCGGCTACGGAACTAGGTATGGTGAACTTTGTGAGCAGGCTGCGACTGGAGGATTGCAGGGGTGTGAGAGGTCCCGGATGCCGGGGGATTGGGGTCGCGTCAGACGGGATCCCTTCAAACTTGGGCCAGGACGTGGGCTGGGGGCCTCCGAGGACCAGTTGCCGGGACTCTTCCGCGTGTGGGGTGGAGCAGGCAGCCAAACCCGGTTCCTGCGCCTCAAGTCAGTCCCCCTGCACCCGCAGAGGTGGCCCGGGGCAAGCGCGCCGCCCTCTTCTTCGCTGCGGTGGCCATCTTTCTGGGACTGCCGCTCTGGTGGAAGACCACGGAGACGTACCGGGCCCCGTTGCCTTATTCCCAGATCAGTGGGCTGAATGCCCTGCAGGTGAGATCTTGGTGGAGGAGGGCGCAGGGACAGCCCGCTGCAAGGTGGAGACTCAGCTGATGGCCCCGATGTTCCTTCCCTCAGCTCCGGCTCATGGTGCCAGTCACTGTCGTGTTTACCCGGGAGTCAGTGCCCCTGGACGACCAGGAGAAGCTGCCCTTCACCGTTGTGCATGAGCGAGAGATCCCTTTGAAATGTGAGCTCCTGGGGGGCCGAAGGGGTGGTCAGGGCTGCCTTTAGGGTCTGAACCAGCCAGACCTGAAACCCCAGAGAGAAGGAGCGTGGGCGCCCATAACTTACTTTTAAAACATCTCAGAATGAGAGGCTAGGAAAAAAACTGGCCATTATGGTGGTTGATTATATGCCACCTGATTAGAAGCAGTTGATGCCCGTCAGAGTATAGGGGAGGAAATAGAAATACTGGAAAGAACAAAAGAGTTTGGGATTAAATTGGATGTATGTTCAGGGGCTATTCAGTTTATGACACGCTTTATTGAGTGTTAGGCACTTCTCTTAGTTACCAGGGATTTGAGGGATGAAGTTCACAGTCACATAGGGGAGAAAGAAACATAGGTTAAAAAAAAAATTATGGAAGGCTGGAGATCTAGTTCAGTGGTAGAGTTGTGTAAGACCCTGGGTTTGATTCCCAGCATCTCAAAAAAGAAAGAAGTAAATTACTGTAGAAGTATACAAGAAAAAAAAAAAAAGAAACAGGGATTGCACTTAAGAAAGCATTTAACTGTCTGGAAGGAAAGAAAGGCAGAAAAGATTTTGAGGGAAGTAGGTTTTGTTTTTCTTTTTCTTTTTAATGGTACTGGAGTTTGAACTCAGGGCCTCATGCTTGGTAGACAGGCGCTCTACCACTTGAGCCACTCTGCCAACTCCTTAAATAGGTTTTTTTTTTTTTAATTTTTATTTTTTTATTATTCATATGTTCATACAATGCTTGGGTCATTTCTCTCCCCTGCCCCCACCCCCTCCCTTACCACCCCTTAAATAGTTTTTAAAGGATAAATGGGAAGGGAAGAGAGAATTCCAGGCAGAGGGAATAGCATGAGCTAGGAGTAAGGATAACTAATGTTAGTTGTTGCTTACTGTTTGTCAGAAACTAGTGAAGCATGTTGCTTGACAAATATTGCCTCATTTAATCCTTCCTAACATCATGATCTCCATTTTATAAATGAAGAAACAGATTAGAGTTTCTGACTCACCTAGGATCATGCAGCTAGAAAGTGGTGGAGCTGGGATTAGATCCGGGCCTGATGGATTCCAGTGTTCAAGCTTTTAACTAACAAACTATACTCCTCTTGTGTAAAAGCATGAAGGGGTGAATGAGTGTGTTTGGGATTCGTGAGCTCTTTTACCTTACTGGAATGTGAAGTGAATGGTGGGAGTGACTGGAGATACAGGCTGAGTTCCACACTGTGGAGTGCCTTTGTTTCATTTTCTAGCTCTTGGTCAAGATTTTTTTTTAATATTTTATTTATATTTTGGCAGCAGTGTGGGGTTTGAACTTAGGGCTTCACATTTGCTAGGCAGGGCACTCTACCACTTGAGCTATGCTGCCAGCTCAAGATTTAAGAAAAAAAAAAAAATCTGCCTGGCGCTAGTGGCTCATGCCTGTAATCCTAGCTACTCAGTAGGCAGCGATCAGGAAGATCGAAATTCGAAGCCAGCTGGGCAAATAGTTCACGAGACCCTATCTCGAAAATACCCATCACAAAAAAGGCTAGCAGAGTGGCTCAAGGTGAAGTCCCTGAGTTCGAGCCCTGGTACCACAAAAAAAAAAAAAAAAAATCATACTTCCTATGGTACAGCCAAACATACACACACATTTTGTTTTTCTAAACAAATATCAGATTATACTTCTCATGTTAGTTTGCAGTTTGTTTGATTATTCTTTTATTTATTTGGCAATACTGGAGTTTGAACTCAGGGCCTTGTGCTTGCTAGACAGGTGCTTTGCACTTGAGCCATGCGTCCCAGCTCTCTTGTTTTAATTAGTTTTTGGATAGGGTCTTGTGTTTTTGTCTGGGGCTGCCCTCAGACACTGATCGTCCTACCTGTACCTTCCCAAATAGCTAGACTCACAGGTACATGCCACAATGCCTGGTTTGTTGACTGAAGTGGGATCTCCATAACATTTTGCCTGGGCTGGCCTTGAATTGTGATCCTCCCAAGTATTACAGGTATGTACCACCACACATAAACTTATGTACTTATTTTTTAAGTCAGGGTCTTACTTTGTAATGTAGTCTAGCTGGCTTCCAACTCTTGGTCTTCCTTTGTCAGTCTCTGGAATGCTGGGATATGCCACCAAGCTTAGCTAATTTGATTGTTTTTAATTTACCATGGACGTCTTCATATTTGGTGACACAGTATTTAATAATACAGCATTCTGTGGAGGTAGTGGTAGAAAGACCAAGAGTAAGGAATGTGGTATATGTATTTGGGTGAGGTTAATGTCTCTAAACCTTAGTTTCCTTATCTTTTAAGTAAGATTGTTATTCATTTACTCAACAAATATTTATTGAGTACTATGTCGGATACTATTCTAGTTGCTAGTGATAAAACAGGGAACAAAACAGACAAAAAGAACAGACAATAAAAAAGACAAATATATGTTAGATGGTAGTAGAAGAAAAATAGAGCAGTGTAGGGCAGGGCAATAAGCAGGTTTTCTTGGGGAACAGGAGGTGATTGCAGTTTTAAAACTGGCCAAGGAATGGTAGAGTACCTGCTTTGCAAACTTGAAACCCTGCATTCAAACCTCAGTTCCACCAAAAACACAAAAGCAAAAAAAAACTGGCTAAGGAAGGGCTAATTAAAAAGAAGACATTTGGGCTGGTAGAGTGGCTCAAGATGTAGGCCCTGAGTTCAAACCTCAGTACTGGGGGGGGTAGCGGAAAGGACCTTTGAAGCCAGATGTCAATGGCTCACACCTGTAATTCTAACTTCCTCGATACTCAGGAGGCAGAGGTCAGGAGGATCAGTTTGAAGCCATCCCTGGGCAAAGTCATTTGTGAGACCCCATCTCAAAAATACCTAACAAAAAAAAGGGCTGGAAATGTGGTTCAAGTGGTAGAGTGCATGCCTAACAAGAATAAGGCCCTGAGTTCAAGCCCCAGTACTGCAGAAAGAGAGAGAAAGAAAAGAAGGAAGTTAGGAAGGAAGTTTAAGAAGTTTAAGGTCCTGAGGCAGAAGCAGGTGAAACCTTTCAGGAACATGGAGCATCTTATCGTGGTTGTTCTGGTGCAGATTAGGGAGAGAGAAAAGAATTAAGACCAGAGAGGAAGAGGGGCCAGATCTCACAGAAGCACACATAGGCCACACTGAGAATTTTGGCTTTTATTCTGGATGAGAAGGGAAGCCCTTGAAAGTTTTTTTGTTTTTGTTTTTGGTGGCACCGGTGTTTGAACTAAGGGCTTCATACTTGCAAAGCAGGTGCTCTACTCCTTGAGCCACACCTCCAGTCCATTTTGCTCTGGTTAGTTTGGAGATGGTGACTCTTGAACTATTTGCCTGGGCTGGCCTCAAACCTTGATGGTCATGATCTCAGCTTCCCAAGTAGCTAGGATTACAGGCATGAGCCACCAGCACCCAACTTGAAAGGTTTTTTGTTTGTTTTAATTTAAACATGACTACCATTATCACACCTAACTAAATTAGTAACAGTTCTTTACTATCATCTAATTCTCAGTCTACATTTATATTTCCCCAGTTATCTCAAAGGTATCCTTTCATAGCTAATTTATTCTAATCAGGCTTAACACGTTGTACTTTGTTAAATCTCTTTTGTACCTTTTATTTTATATCAGCTTCCCTTTACCCCACTCCCATTTTTTGTATCATCGATTTGTTGAAAAAGCCAGGTCATTTGTTTTATAGAACATCTCACATTCAGAATTTAGAAAATTGCTTCCTTGTAGTTTCATTTAACTTATTCCTCTAGTATCCATATTTTTATAAATTAGTAGTTAGATCTAAGGTTTGGTTAAAGCCAGGTTCAGTTTGGGATTTTTATTTATTTGAGATAGGGTCTTGCCATGTAGCTCACACTGACCTTGAACTCAGTATCCTCCTGCCTTAGTCTGTAATGGTTGCTTGTCCACTTTGAGTGATGCACTGGTTATTTAGTGAGTTTTGGTATTGTCAACCTGATCTCTATATTTTATAGAAGAGTTTCTCATCAACTTGCCATCTGATGGTTTTAATAGCTATTTGATTCTGGAATTGACTTCATTAGCAAAGTTGCCCAATGGCATTTTTTTTTCTTTTTTTTGGCACTACTGGGATTTTGAACTCAGGGCTTCATGTTTGCTAAGCAAGCAGTTTACCACTTGAGCTATGCCCCCAGCCCTTGACCTGGAATTCTTCTACAAAGAAGAATTTTCAGATGCAGGTTGTCAAATTTTGGGGGCAAATAAGTCTGTTTGCGATGGCCATACATACAGATTAACTTAACAATATTTAATCTTTTTACCTAGGTATTTCCTGAGTATTTTTATGTCTTTTGTTATTGTGATTTTTTAAAAAAGATTATTTCCTAATTGGATATTGTTGGTATTTATGCAGCTATTGCTTTTTGTTTGTTTGTTGTTTCATTTGGCAGTACTGGGTTTGAACTTGGGGCCTTATACTTGACAGGCAGGCATTCTATGATTTGAGCCACATCCCCAGCCTGTGGCTATTGGTTTTGGCATATTTTTGTATCTAATTATCTTAACGAACTGTTACTAGTTCTAATAGTTTTTCAGTTGGTTCTCTTTTGATTTTCTTGAAAAATAATTATACTACTTCAAAAGTGGCCATTTTTTTCTTTTAAATATTTATGTTGTATTTTTCTTTCTTCTCTTACTGCATTGGACAGGAACTTCAGAAAGAACAATGCTGAATGGTAGAGGAGGTAGCAGGCATCCTTGCTTTATTACCAACTTTAATAGGATTGCATTTAGTGTTTTGTCGTTAAGTGTGTGCTTAGTTTTTTTTGTTTTTTAAACCAGGAATGTTTATTGAATTTAATTATTTTGGTCATCAATTGAAATGACCTTAGGGTTTTTCTCCTTTTACCTATTAATATAATGGAATTGACTCCCCAGTGGGAAGATATTTGAGGCTGAAGGACCAGTTTATACATAGGCAGAGGCAAGAACCAGGGCAGGAGGAAAAAGCAGGGTGCCGTGTGTTTGCTGTCACACATGCAGAAATGATTAGAGTTGGCTGTACCTCCCTGGTGCTTGGTCTTTCCCTGCAGTCAGTCATCTTGCTGGCCAGTGTTCTGACTGGGAAGGTGGGGAGGTCTAATGCTTGTCTTTCCTATCATGCTGTTTCCACTCCCTCCAGACAAAATGAAAATCAAATGCCGTTTCCAGAAGGCCTATCGGAGAGCTGTGGACCACGAGGAGGAGGCCCTGTCACTGGACAGTGTGCAAGGTACTAGAAGGGGCGATCACACCATTTTGACAAGATGCCCTCTTTTCCCTTCTGATCACCAAGTGTCTAATTTCCATGTTGTGTCTTAACCTCCTGGGGGAGCTGGGAATTGAGGTGCCTTGGGGTTTAGCCTGGGCCCCTGAGGGCCAGATGGCTGGACTGGCTTAACCAAGCCTGGCCTATGGCATTTATGAGTGTGAGTGGTGGGGGTAGGGGAGAAAGAATGGTGTCGCTTATGATGTATCACCAACTCTTTTCCCCAGAGGCAGAAGCTATGTTAGCTGAGACTGAGAAGCAAGCAGAGGGCTCCCTGACTGTGTACGTGATCTCTGAACACTCCTCACTTCTTCCTCAGGTAGGGTAAGCTGAGAGGCTGAGGTCTTGCATTTTGTCTTCAGCTCATCCTCTCCCAGGTCCCCTCCTTTTGGCAGCGGCGCTCCCTGTATCTCCCATCTGCTACAGAAAACTATGCATCTTTTAAAAAAAGAATGCCAGTGGGAATTTATTCATTAACATTGACATTGGGTCTTTTCTAACCCAAACCTTGTGTGTGGTTTAAAGCTATTTAAAGTGGAAAAAGTCTGTAGGATTAAAAAGTGGCTGAGTCTGACATGATGGTACTTGCCTATAATCCCGGTGCTTGGGAGGCTGAGACAGGAGTATCAGGCAAGGCCAACCTGGGATACATAGTGAGTTCGAGGCCAGCCTGTATTACATAGTGAGACCCTGTCTTAAAAAAAAAAAAAAAAAAAGCTGGATGACTTGTGATAATAATAATAATAATACAGGTGATACAGTCACCTTTTTATATTAGGAGCAGAAGATTGGGTGGGAGCTGTGCCATTTACCATTTTCTTTTTGAATTAATAATGAAATATTTAATTCTTATTAAAAAAATGAAAGATGCTGAGAAAGGTGGTGATGTTTGTAATCCCAGCTACTCAGGAGGTCGAGATTGGAAGAATCATTGTTCAGGACCAGCCAAGGCAAAAGTTAATGAGACTCCCAGTCAGCCAGGCGTGCTGTTGTGAACCTGTGGTCTCAGCTAGGCAGGAGGCCTGGGCAAGTTAGCCCCATACAAGAATGGGAGACCCTATCTGAAAGATAAAGCAGAAAAGGCCAGATGTGTGACTCAAGTGGTAGAGCACCAGCCTCGCAAGTACAAGGCTGAGTTTAAACCCCAGTACCACCAAAATTAAAAAAAAAAAAGGAAAGAAAATTTTAATGACTATCCATGTGCCTACCTCCAGCTTGCAAACTTCAGTGTAATAATATAGCTGAAGCCTGTAATCTCCACAGTTATATTCTATTCCCTTTTAGTGTCAGGTGACACTAAACAATAGTGACACTATAAACAATATATTTTGTTTTGCATTAGTTTTGAATTTATGTAAATACATAATACAGTACATGTTCTGCAACTTTAATTTTGTTCACCATTTCTGGTTGGGAGAATTATCTGTGATAATATGCGTAGTCGAGTCTGTTTCATTGTATAAACATAATTTACCCATTCTGTGGCTGATGGACATTTGAATTATTTCCATGTTTTCACCATTAGCTGTAAATTACTGTTGTCAATATTCTTACACTTGCATTTTTGCCATGAGCCATTTTCATAGATCAAAGTTTCCAGTTTGGTAATTCTGTTTTTCTTCCTCACCATCTCTTGGCATGCTGAGCCATTTTACCAACACCTGAAAATTTAAATGTTGCCTGGACCTGTATCTGCTTGGAAAGAAAAGGGAATGGAAATACATGAGAACACTCACATGAACTTACAGCTCAGAAATACTGAGTTAATAGCTCGCGATGAGAGAGGGACAAGTGGCAAAAAGCCAAACTCAGGAGCCAGAGATGGGTGTGTTGGCATGTATGTCTGTAATTCTAGCACTTGGGAGACTGAGGCAGGGAGACTGTGAGTTTGAGGCCAGCCTGCAAGACACTGTCTCAATAAAACAACAAGGGGCGGGGTTGGGGATTTAGCTCAGTGGATGCAAGGCCCTGAGTTCAGTCCCCAGCACCTAAAAAAAAAAACAAGGGAAAAAGACAGGAGCCACAGTGCCTTTCTGCTTTCGTCACTGAGCCATGGCATTCTGTCCCTGGCTTACTCTTACAGGACATGATGAGCTACATTGGGCCTGAAAGAACAGCGGTCGTGCGTGGGATAATGCATCGGGAGGCTTTTAACATCATTGGCCGCCGCATAATCCAGGTAGCCCAGGCCATGTCTTTGACTGAGGATGTACTTGCTGCTGCTCTCGCTGACCACCTCCCAGAGGACAAGTGGAGCTCTGATAAGAGGCGGCCTCTCAAGTCCAGCTTGGGTAGGGCACAGGGCTTTGCCATGGGAGGGGAAACAAAATGAATTGTGTGGAGCAGGAGGATTGGAATCTGCATGCAAACTCCTTACTCATTCTCTGGTCTCAACTTTTTCTTAAAGCACTTGGTGTTCTCATCCCAGTTTTATCTTCCCCTCGGTTCCATGATGGCAACTTAGCCCCATTCCAGAGGAGAAACAAGTTCAGTGTATGAAGGAGATAGGCTGCCCCTCTTCCTTGATCCACAGCAGTCTCTGACTTTCCTGACTCTGTTTCTGTAGGCTATGAGATCACCTTTAGTTTACTCAACCCGGACCCCAAATCCCATGATGTTCACTGGGACATTGAAGGGGCTGTCCAGCACTACGTGCAGCCCTTCCTGAATGCCCTCAGTGCTGCTGGTAACTTCTCTGTGGACTCCCAGGTGAGACTGGGAGCGAGTTCAGGTGTTGTTTTCAGAAACTATACACATTTAATGTTGAAATGTGCATCTGTTCTTCCATCTCCTAAAGCTTGATGATTTGCTAGTGTAGGTGTCTGTATGCTAGTGTTATAAGGGCAAGTACTGACCAGGGAATGGTGGGTGGGGGGAGACGTGTGTGCATGCATGACTCTGTCTGTCCATTTGTCCCTTGAGGCAGGTTCTAGTGTCTTTCCTTCCTTGGTGTCCAGCAGGAAGTTCCATCAATGCGTTTTCCTTATGGCTACCTTTAGAACTTATTTAGCAAGTTGTGCCTAGATGTTAGGGCTATCAGCCATCCTGAAGGACTTTATTTATTTATTTTTTTTTCTTTTATTATTCATATGTGCATACAAGGCTTGGGTCATTTCACCCCCCTGCCCCCACCCCCTCCCTTACCACCCACTCCACCCCCTCCCTCTCCCCCCCACCCCCTCAATACCCAGCAGAAACTATTTTGCCCTTATTTCTAATTTTGTTGTAGAGAGAGTATAAGCAATAGTAGGAAGGAACAAGGGTTTTTGCAGGTTGAGATAAGGATAGCTATACAGGGCATTGACTCACATTGATTTCCTGTGCATGGGTGTTACCTTCTAGGTTAATTCTTTTTGATCTAACCTTTTCTCTAGTTCCTGTTCCCCTTTTCCTATTGGCCTCAGTTGCTTTTAAGGTATCTGCTTTAGTTTCTCTGCGTTTATTTATTTTTTTAAAGTAGGTGAATATAATAACTAAACATATGAAGAATGTAGCTTTTTGGTATCATACTGTGTCCTTGTAGGGAAAACATGGGAGAAATGTTATCACGTCTTGGTAGTGGGAGTGGTTGTTTCTGAATAACTAGCTTAATTTGATCTTGTAGACAGTGAACTATGCTGTTCTTTGTTTCCCTCCTTTTTTTTTTTAGGCTGTTGGGAAACCTGGTAAAATACATGGTTTTCAAAGCATGTATTCAGTGTAGTAACTCTATCCTTGAATTCATTATTTTCTTTCCTACACTTATTTTCTCTTAGCCTTGATTTTTATCCTCTATATTTTCCTTTGTCCTGATTGTGTCTTTTTAAGGCACCTCAAATCTTTTTTGGGAGAAAATGTACTGCAAATCAATATACAAAATAACCCCCTGTTTCTTTGCTCCACAGATCCTTTATTATGCAGTGTTGGGAGTAAATCCCCGTTTTGACCCAGCCTCATCCAGCTACTACTTGGCCATGCATAGCCTCCCCCATGTCATCAATCCAGTGGAGTCCCGGTTGGGTGAGCTCCTAAGGATAACAGTATTTCTGTCAGACCAGGGAGGGATCCTGAAGGCATAACTTAAGGTTGAAGGGGTATTGTATATACCAGGTTGGGTTGATCTGAGAGGACTGGAGAGATTTAAGCTTCTTTTTCATCTTGTTTTGTTGTCCTCTCCATCTTTACACCTGTGTTACCCAAAATCATCTATTAAACATTCCCAGTACCTTTTACAAATGAATGGCTAGGCTGGTTCTGTCTTCTTGAAAGCCACTTAGGAAAGATCCAGTCATACATGTAGGCAAGGCAGCAAAAGCACATTAGGCAGAATTTGAATGGACAGTTGTGCTGATTGAGGTGGAAGAACCTTAAGGCTAGGATTATAGTCTTTCGTTTTTGGGGTGGAATCTAGGAAGAATAGGTTTATATGGCAGATCAAAGGTGAGCATATCACTAATTGTCAAGCACTGGAAATAGGCCAGTGTGGACTGAGTGTTATGAGAGTCCTCAGCAAATTCCTTCTCCATTCCTTCTTTCATTTAGTGGCAAACAGTAGCTGAGGGACTGCTTTGTGGCAGTGCTAAGTACAGAGACAGAAAGGCAGTTCAGGCAAAGGGAACTACAAGCTTAGCTGTAGAAGAGAAAGAACATAGACATTTAGGGAGATCAGTGTAGGTTAGTGTGACTGAAATGTGAGTGAGTGACCAAAGATGAGGCTGGCAAGGCAGATAGATGCCAGATCATAAAAGACGATGTTAACGTGGTGTGAAGGTCATTGAGAGATAACAGGGAACTGAGGTCAGATTTGTACAAGTGCATAAAACTAATTACAGTAATGGGGTGTAATTGGTTATGGCCAAATGAGCTGTCTTACCTGGTTGAGGATGGCCTCTTCAAGGAGAGGAGACTCTAGGGGCATTCTGGGGATAAGGACTATCCACCATCTATGTGGTACATCTGGGGAGAAATTCATAGGTCCTTTACCACAGAAACCCAGGACAGGAAGATATCCTAGTGATTATCAGGTAAGGAAATGAAGTCCCAGAGTAAATAACTGGGAAATTGGAAGCTGACCTAGAACTAATGTAGATCCAACATGTTTTGGTATCCTAACTGCTTTTCTCTTTGTACTACAGGATCCAGTGCTGCCTCCCTGTACCCTGTGCTCAACTTTCTGCTGTACGTGCCTGAGCTTGCCCATTCCCCTCTATACATTCAGGACAAGGATGGGGTTCCAGTGGCCACCAATGCCTTCCATAGTCCTCGCTGGGGTGGTATTATGGTAATGTCATGTATTGCAGATCCCAAAGCCCATGTATCAGGGATAGACAGATACTTCCCTGAAATTCTTCCTTCAGCTTTTCTCTGGGGGGGTCCAGTGGGAGAGGAGCAGGCACCAGGGAGGTGAGTTCTGTGTGTTTGTGTCCTTCCTCTGCTAGGCCTGCTATTTCTTATTCAGTGTTTTCTCTACTGGGACCCTTTTTCACTTACCAGTTTGCACTTAGGACTAGCCTGTATCCATCTTAGATCCTGGCTCTGTCTGTGGAAGTCTTGCAAGTTTGGGAACCTTGTCTCCCCTGTTAGACGGGGAGGTCTTCATGGGGTGGAAACTCTAAAATGGTATAAAAACCCTTTTTATTTTACATGAGTTTTGAGGGGTTAATTGAGATAATTTACTTAAAGTACCTCATAGTAGGTACTCAAAAAAAATGTTAACTCTGCCACTGGGTTTGTAGGGTGCCAAGGGCAGAGCTATGGACAGTCCCGTGTGATGTTGTGGCAACCTCTTTCCCTCCCTTTCAGGTATACAATGTTGACCCCAAAGGTTATAATGCCTCGGAGCTGCCAGTGAGAGTCGAGGTGGACATGGTGCGAGTGATGGAGGTGTTCCTGGCTCAGTTGCGGTGAGGCCCTGTGTGATCCACTTGGAGCCGTGACCACCGAGAGTGTGACCAGTCTCCTTGGTTGTGAAGGGAGATTGCAGAGTGAAATGAAATCTCACCTGGTAGTGATACCTCAACTGTGCCTAGAGCTTTAGGCAAGCCAAGAATGGTTTCCATGGGTGGCTTCATCCTTCCCCTAAGAAAGATAAGTAGCCGACAATACCCGTTTTCAGGAAGATAGACTCATGGAACTCAAGTACCTGGATGTGATTTAGGGGTGCTTAAGAAAACAGTTATTGATTCTTATGCTAACTGACAGGTTGAGAGTTACTGCCTGAAGCCCTGTGTTGAGAATTCTAAGGCTGTGTCTGGGCTCATCAGGAACAAACACTCTGATTCGCAATGTTTGCCATGGGTGCAGCCTTAAATACACACATGCCTTGTCAAAGGTGGTCCTGGATCATCCCTTAGCTCAGTTGCATTGTGTCACTTATCCAAAGGGGCTAGAGAGAAAGGATTAAACTAAGTTGGTGTTATCAGAAATATTTTAACCACAGAAGCTTTTTCAAATAAGATCTTGAAAGTTCAGTATAGAAGTGGGTAAAAACAGAAATACTGGTTGGAGCAGGATTCGGGGCTCTGGATTACCTGGAGTTGCTGCTTACTCCCCACAAGCCCTGTGGTTCTCTGTAAGATTGAAAATCTCTTTTCTTAGGGCAGATATTTTAGGAATCTTAAGCCATTGTCTCCCATCTTTTGGTTGCAGCAACCTTGATCTTCTTTCACTGTTCCCACAGGCTGCTCTTTGGGATTGCTCAGCCCCAGGTGCCTTCAAAATGCCTTCTTTCAGGGCCTAGGAGTAAAGGGTTAATGACCTGGGAGCTAGACCGGCTGCTCTGGGCTCGGTCAGTGGAGAACCTGGCCACAGCCACTACCACCCTCACCTCCCTGGCCCAGCTTCTGGGCAAGATCAGCAACATTGTCATCAAGGATGATGTGGCATCTGAGGTAAGTGGGGAGAGGATGGATGGATTCTGTGGCCTAGAATTGGAGTGACTAATGAGGACCAGGGTATATATGAGCATGCGATCCTTCAACACCCAGGCTTCCTCTAGATGGCTTTCCAGCTCCCTAGCAGGGGTCTAGATGAAGGTGTCAAGCTGACCCTCAGTAAACCACAGCCTTTTTAGACTGACTGACCTCCATATATCCTGGGTAGACTCCAGGTAACCTCTCTGGTAGATGGAAGGCATAGGAGGGTCCCCACTCATCCCTTGGACATATTGGTGACCCCATCTCCTCCTCTTCCTAGGTATATAGGGCTGTTGCTGCAGTCCAGAAGGCAGCAGAGGAGTTGGCCTCTGGGCATCTGTCATCTGCCTTCATTGCCAGCCAGGAAGCAGTGACATCCTCTGAACGTGCCTTTTTTGACCCCTCACTCCTCCACCTCCTTTATTTCCCTGATGACCAGAAATTTGCCATCTATATCCCACTCTTCCTGCCTATGGCTGTGCCTATCCTCCTGTCACTGGTCAAGATCTTCCTGGAGACGCGCAAGTCCTGGAAAAAGCCTGAGAAGATAGACTGAGGGTGGGGGCAACCTCTCAGTAGGAAATCTACCTTTCTGGCCAAGGTGGGAGGTGTTATTGAGACACACATAAGCAAGGCCTGCTGGGATTGACTTATTTGTCACCAGTCTTTGTTGGCTCTCCAATAACCAAAGGACAACATTGTAAGATGAGTTCATCTTTCCTTCCCATTCCGCTGGCTCTGGTTCTCCACCATCACTCCCAGGAGCCTCAGAAGACACCATCATCTGGGTCTTGAAATCTGGCTTGAACTTGAAGGCACCTGCATATCTCCCTGTGGTCTGTCTCTTACCATAGCATGCTCCTGAACTGAGAAGGAGCACTGGGAGAAAGCCCTGGGTTGGATTGTAGCTCCCTGCCCTTCCTTGCTTCTCTCTGAGCCCAGGAACAGGCCACCTCTGGAACATTCTTCCTTACTCCCCTCCCTCCTGGCTGGCTTCACCTGTTGGGTATAACCTGAGACTGGGAGGCAGCAGCTCAGACCTGGTGCTGTGTGTGTGGCAGAGATTCCCTTCACCCTGTCAGAGAGCAGTGTAGTATGATGGGGAAGGTTCCCGACTTGGAATCCAACAGATCTGAATTTAAACCCTTGCTTTTGCACATAACTGACTGGGGAGCTTTGGATAAGCCACTTATCCCCGAGCGTTAGTTTTTCATTTGTTTAATGGCACTGATAATATCTCCTTCATAAGGTGGTTGTGAGCATCAAATGTGATAAGTAGGTGAAAGCGGCATGCTAGGCTCTTTTTAAAAATATGTATATTAGGCTCTTAATAAATACTGGTTGAATATGAGCTGATTTGAAGTATGAGCATCACTTTCATTCATGTGTGACTAACAGGCTGGTATCTTTCCTGCACTCACAGGACCGCAGTGTTCTGCGTGGTGGGGTGTCCTTGCTGCCTCACTGTCCTGTAGAGCAGGGTCTTAGGGTGGCAGTGCATCCAGGCTGTGGTCTCTGGCGTGTCCTGGGCTTCCCAAGGCTGTTAGCATCTGCTTCTACTTTGTAGCAGTGAAAACCCTCAGATACTCATTTATCAGTTAAAATTGAGTACCAGCTACAAGCAGTACTGTGCTTTCTGGCAGCTGGTTTTTCAGGCAGAAGAGTCAGTGAACAAATAATTTCACATAATGCATTAGAAGGAAAAAAACAGCCAGGCACCTGTGGCTCATGCCTGTAACCCTAGCTTCTTGGGAGGCTGAGATCTGGAGGATTGAAGTTTGAGACCAGCCTGTTCCAAGACTCCATCTCCAAAATAACCAGAGCAAAAATGGACGGAAGGTGTGGCTGAAGAGGTAGAGCTCATGCTTCCTAAGCGCAGAATGCCCCGAGTTTAAAACCCCAGTCTCAGTCTCACCCAAAAACAGGCTAGTAGTACTTTAGATTGGGTAGGTGTGAGCAGGTGAGAGGAGCTGAGACGAGAGAAGGGGCATCAGGGTTAGAGGATCCCATAAAAAGACCCTGAGGCTGGGACCCAGTGAGAAAGAGGAGAGGAAGTCAGGCCCCGTCTATTTCCGAAAAGGACCATGGAGGAAGTGCAGGCGACCCCCAACCCTAGCCCTGGGTGCTGGCGGCCTTTGGCAGGCGTGGGCGGGGCAGAAGGTGGGGCCAGGGCAGGCCTCGTCCCGGGGGCGGGGCGGCACCTGAGGCCTGGCCGGGGGCGGGGCTGCGGACGCTCCCTCTTCTCCTGGCTCCAGCCGGCGCAGGCAGCGGCGGCGGCAGCAGGCGAGCCGCGGCACCGAGAGACCATGAAGGTGAAGAAGGGCGGCGGCGGGGCTGGGACGGGGGCAGAGCCGGCTCCAGGAACCTCGGGCCCGAGCGTGGAGCCCACGCCGGAGCCGCAGGTAGAATCCGAATCGGGGTCCGAATCGGAGCCAGAGGCAGGCCCCGGGCCCAGGCCGGGGCCGTTGCAGGGGAAGCAGCCCATCGGTCCGGAGGACGTGCTGGGGCTGCAGCGGATCACCGGCGGTGAGCACCAACGAGGGAGCGCCGCCCGCCGGCGGGAGGGAGAATGCGGGAGGGGCCTTTCGCGGCGCACAGAGCCGGGCCCCCGCCCCCTTTCCCGCCCTCCCCCCGCTTCCCCTCCCCCACCTGGCCCCCCTCGCCTGTGTCCGCTACTCTACTCTTCTCCTGCCTCCAAGCCTGAGATCTCCATGTACTCCCTTCCCTTGATCTCCCTGTCCGCCCTTCCCCTCTCTCTGTAGAGGTTTAGTTCCACCCCACTCTTTCCTTTTTTGAGGGGCCCACCCCTTTTCCCATGGTGGAGGTGGGGCAGCAGCTGCAACTGTAACCCTTTCCCGGTGAACTCTTCAGAGCCTTTTGAGGCCCGTGCGCACTGATGAGGGGGCTGAGTGCAGCCTGTCCTCAGTCCCGGTCCTGGAGTCTAGGTGGAGGCTGAATTAATTAAGGGGTGCTAAGACCCTCAGGTCTCCCTGACCATTAGTGCACACACTCTGGGGTCCCCAGAAAGACTGGGAACGCCCCCCTCCCCAGGAACAGAACGGAGCAGGAAGCTTCAGTGTGTTGGTTGTGAACCCTGTGGTGGGAATGCCTGTACCTGTGTCTGTCCTCTTTGGGGGTCTCTCTCACCAATGGAAGCCTGATCTTCACTAGGGTTGAGTTTTTAAGCTGTGCTGCCTGGGTTGGAGGCCCAGCTTTGCCACATAATTGGCTGTGTGACCTTGGGCATGTAACTTCATCTCTGTAAGCATATTTCTTTATCTGTAAAATGAGGACAGTGACACCTCCTCCATAAGGATATTGTGAAAATAAAGTAAATCCTCTGATTTTGCACAATGCCTGGCATGCTATCTATGCGTGCTCTGTAAAGAGGCCTTTAAAAAAAAAAAAAAAGCAATAGTATTAGGAGCCCCACAGGGCTGCTTCCCAGAGGCAGGCAACTGGGCATTCAAGGCAGAGGCAGGTGTCACCATAGACAGGGAACACGGAGTAGGAAGCCTCATGGCAAAGGCTTGGCTGAACCTTGAAGAGTGGGAGGTATTTGGAGAGACAGTAGCCCTCCTCTACTTTGGCATGGTTCACCAGCAACCTACTTTTGCTCCTTTTATGAGGGCAGCCCTTGGGGTCTCTCCCTGGGGATGGGGACAGGCACTGGGGTGCATCTGAGCCCTGGAGCTGCAGGAGCAGCAGAGCCCAGAGCTTCCAGACAGAGCTGGGGAGGGGACCATGGTGGCAGGCCTAAGCTTGTGCCTATGGGTCCCTGGGGGCCCCCTCCCTCCTCTCTGAGCTAGGCAGCAGCCATTCTTGGCTAGGCCCCCAGAGTGCTTTACTCCCTTGTTCAAGCAGGCATCAGTGGAGGAAGGGGGCCTGGACTAGGCTGACGTTGGAGCCAGTTGAGCTGCCATTTGCAACAGCAGCATTTAGGATTCAGCTTAGTTCTGGGGCTGGAGGTCAGACTGACCTGTGTGGGTCCAGGGTAGATTTTGGGGTTTGTTTCGCAACAAAGGAGGCTTCCAGGTGAAGTCACATGTCTCCTAATTTGGAGGAAATTTACAGCCTTTAGAGGTGAAGTATCTTAGGGAATGGGTAAGGAAAGGGGCCTCACAGGAACCCTTTCCTGTGCAGGATTTGAGAACAGAGTTTAGGGTTCTTTACCCCAGCACCCATTGCCTGTTGTCTTCTGACCCTAATCACATGGGTCTGAGGTTTGCTCTTCCTGGATTACCAGGCCCTGAATCCAGCTTAGGAAGTTATTTGTGGCTGTGTTCTGAGCCTTCAGCCACTCTGCCCCTTACTTGTCTTGACCTTGGGTCCTATTTCTCATGCTTTCCTGGCAGAAGGGAAGGGAGTGGCTGGGGTGTTAGAGCCCCAGGCAGCCCCTCTAAGGACAGGAGGACAAAGGGACTAACTGACAGTGAAAGGAGAGGTTTCCAAAGTTGGGAGAAGGGAAGGCCTTACAGGGCACTGGGACCTGAGCCACTGGGATCTTGCTCTCAACAGGTCCCCCTCCTCTCCCTATGTCCTGCACCTTCTTCCTATAGCTTTGGACCAGTGCTTATTTTCAATGAAAAAAAAGGTGTGCAGAGGGTGAGATGGGAGCGGCCAGTTCTCTTTTCCTCATCTTGGGCCATGGTGGACAGGCCAGGGCTCAGGACCCTCTCCAAGCCTTATGTAGTTCCTGACAGTCGGGCAGGGGCTTCCTGGAGGGGGGCTGCCCCAGGGTTGGGGAGGAGGCAGGCCTAGGAAAGAGAGAGTGATTTTATATTCACTTCCTCTTTCTACTACAGAATAGGAGGTGGCCCAGGAGCCTGGAGGGTGACTTCCGGACCTCTGTGGGCCACCAGGAGGATGTGATACAGGCTGACAACGCAGGGGCCTCCCATTGCACCTCTCTGCTCCTTCCTATTTCTTGCTAGGAAGCAAGCCCTAGCTTGCTTCTGCAAGAGTAGTGAGGGTCAAATCAGGCTCCGTATATTTCTGATCTTCCTCAGGCAAGACTTCCACTGTTCCTGGTTACCCTTCTGGGTCCAAGGACTCCCCTTACTCCATCCACACTCCTGGTGTACCTGCCGCACTTGCCACACCCTCTCCTGCTTGACACTTTCTCCCTGGGGGTGACTCAGGGCCAAGGCTGGATAGATGACCTCTAAGGGGTTCCCTTTGTTTGCTAAGACTTCTTACCACTTAGAGATTGACAGAGGATCTGTTGAGCAAAGTCTGGCCCCTTTCTCCTGATAGCCTGGGCTTGAGTCAGCAGAGCTCCAGCTAAGCTGCTTAAAGAATCTAGGCTTGCATAAGCTGCTTACATTGAAAGGAGGGGGCTGGGGAAGGAGGCACAGGGAAGGGATGACCACCTACTCCAGCATTATCCTTGCCCAGGAAAGTCCGCTCAAGATGCAGCCATGGGGTGGGAGGAGGCACGCTCCAGGGAAGGTCTGTGTTACCCCTTTGGAGTGAAGTTCCCAAAGACAAGTCTGTGTCTTCCCTCTCATGCTGGAGGCTCCCACCAGATTGGACATCTATTTAGTTCAAAGGAACCCAGCCAGCCTGTGGAGTAGAGGCTGAAATAAGGGCCTGCAACTGTAGGTGGGAGGGGAAGATGTGGGGGTGGTGACCTTGTCCTCCATTATTCTCTGTTCTTCCCTTATCTGACCCTGAGAGGCTGTAAGTATGGGACTGTTCATGCCCCATTCACACTGTGGGGGCTCCTCAGAATAGGGGCTCAATTCCTTTTTTCTGAATGGCAGTGACCATAGGGATCAGAGAAGGCAGTAGACAGTTTAGGGTCTCAAAAAAAAAAAAATACTGGCAGCTGGGACTTTTGGGTTCCTTCTTTGCTCAGCTGCCTGTCTCCCCTAGACTACCTGTGCTCCCCTGAGGAAAATATCTACAAAATCGACTTCGTCAGGTTCAAGATCCGGGACATGGACTCAGGCACTGTCCTCTTTGAAATCAAGAAGCCCCCCGCCTCAGGTGAGCAGGACAAGGCAGGCAAGCACTATGAAATGGGCTGTCCAGGGACTTAGGCCACAGGGGAGTCAGAGCAGGGCTGGGGCTTATACCCTAATATACTCAGGAGTCTGCAGGCAGCAAGGAAAGAGCTTGCTTCCTTCCTTCTGTTTCTGAGGTTGGATATCTTGGGAGGACAGTCCTGCCCCTTTAGACCTTGCCAGCCTGCCCTCTGCAGGCCTTCCTGGGAACTGCAGCTCCAGGGACCCATGCCTGTGTGTATCCTGTGGTCCTGGGAACTTCAGTGAAATTGGTTACATACTGACCTGGAACCCCACATACCACCATTCAGCTAAAGTTCTGAACCCCAAATGTGTACCAGAATCTCCTGGGAAGTTTTTAAAAATTTAGAGGTCCTGGGGTGGAACCCTGGGTGGGCAAGGGCCCCAGCCTGAAGCCCGCTGAGCCCAGCTGGGGTACATTGCAGAACGGTTGCCCATCAACCGGCGGGACCTGGACCCCAATGCTGGACGCTTTGTCCGCTACCAGTTCACACCTGCCTTCCTCCGCCTGAGGCAGGTGGGAGCCACGTGAGTCACTGGGCTGGGGTAAGGGCTGGAGGAGGGTGGGAGTAGCCCTTCCTGAGTTCTTCCTGAGCCTCTCAGGAGTGGTCTGCCTAGAGCCTGGCTGGCTGACTGGCTTCAAGGCCAGACTTAGCCTCACCCCCTTCTCTTGCTCAGGGTGGAATTCACAGTGGGAGACAAGCCTGTCAACAACTTTCGCATGATCGAGAGGCACTACTTCCGCAACCAGCTGCTCAAAAGCTTTGACTTCCACTTTGGCTTCTGCATCCCCAGCAGCAAGAACACCTGCGAACACATCTATGACTTCCCCCCTCTCTCTGAGGAGCTGAGTGCGTGGGCAGGGCCCTGAGGGAATGGGGCAAGTGTGGGGCATTTAGAGACCCGACTGGGGAAGGGAGAGTACTTGTGGGTCTGACCCCCTTTCTTCCTACCCTGGGTCACTTTTTTGTCTGGCAGCATTCCCATGTCACCTGTAGGGAAACAGGCTCAAAGAGGCTGAGAAACTCTGAGGTGGTTCAGCTGTCCCTGTCCCCCAGTCTGAAGTCCCTGCAGTGGCCTGGCTCAAACTCCTGACCTTTACCTTGGCTGGGTCTCTCTTACAGTCAGCGAGATGATCCGTCACCCGTATGAGACACAGTCTGACAGCTTCTACTTCGTGGATGACCGGCTGGTGATGCACAATAAAGCAGACTATTCCTACAGCGGGACACCCTGACCCCCCCTCTATAAACTACCCCCATCCCTGAGGCTCTAGCCTGGGACCAGTGTTGTGACCTTTCCAATATCACCTCTCAACCCCAGGTCTTCTGCTTAGGGATGCTCCAGGAGCCCTGGACCCTGAGTCAGTGTCAGGAGGAAGGGTTCCTGGTGTCCCCAGGCCAAGCCCCTGAAGCCCATGAGACCTGACATATGGGGAGAGATAATAAGGGAGCTGTTTGCCGCCGTGTCCAGGAGGGCCTCTTTCGAGAGCAGTAGTCAGGACTTCCAGACAGCCTAGCTTGGCCCAGAATAGTGTCCCTTTAAGCTACAATCAGGTGGGGTCAGGTATCTGCTCCCTGTTCTTTGCCCACTACCTCCAGGCATTTAGAGTTGTAAATTCACAGACAAAGATCCACAGTGGATCTAGACCCTGGTCCCAGCCCCAGCCTCCCCCATTAGGGGCTGAGACACTGTCCGAGGTGTGGGAGGGACTGGTCCAGATTGCAGCCTGTGGTAGAACTTGGACCAACTGTACATAGTTTTCAATAAACTTTCTTTTTCTGTTCTCAGGTGTGCCTCGCCTGTGTATATACAGGCAAAGTAGGGAAGGGGTGGAGAGGGATGCCAGCAAGCTGTGATGTACTTGTGTTAGTCACTTTTAGTTGCTACGACAAAATACCTGAGCAAATCAACTTAAAGGAGGAAGGATTTATTTTGACTCATGATTTCAGAGGGTTCGGTCTTTGATTATCTGGCCCCATCACTTCGGGCCTGTGGTGTGGCAGATCATCATGGTGGGGAGAGGACATAGTGGAACAGAGCTGCTTACCTCATAACAGCCAGGAAGCAGAGAAAGAAGAGGAAGGGGCCAGGGACAACATACATTTTTGCAAGGCACACCCCAAGTTAGCTACTTCTTCCTCCAACCAGGCTCTACTTCCTAATAGCCCATTCAGCCGTGAATTCATCAGTGGCTTAATCATTGGTGAAGTTAGTAACTCATGATCCAATCACCTTTCAGTAGTGCCAACAACTGGGGACTGAACCATTTTGGGGGCACACGTCATATCAAAACCATAACAGTGCTCAACGGAGTAAATAACTCTTTACCTGCCAGTGCACTCTGAGTCTTCCTATCTCCTGTTTCTCTTAATTCTGACACCACATTTAGCATCTAAATCAGAATCTACTTTGGATCTTAGCCAAAAGGTTGAAAAGCAATTGGCATCCAAATCAGCATTTAGAACACAGTACAGCAGGAAGGGGTTTTTCCTATGATGCAAGAAACCTAGGCACTGAGAGGTGAGATCCAGAGTCACAACCAACCTGGCAGAGCACAGGCTAGAACAAAGCTCTTGAAGCCAGGTGATGAAAGAAAGGCATGTTTGTGCTTTCGGCCCTCGTTAGAGGAGTGCAGGGCTCTGGCTAAGACCTGAAGCCATCTTCTGTCCTCAGCTGCTTTGGGCGGCCATTGGCCTGACCAGCCCTGCACGTATCACTGCCCTCAACCTCCACCTCTATCCCAGGGTCAGAAGGAATTCAGGAACTTAGGGAGGCAGTGGTTCACCTCAGTGTTTACATCCTGTTGCAGTCTTTTCCCAAACACCTGGTAGTCTACCCTCCAGGCTGAAGAGTTCGGGGCCTACCTAGGGTGCCTCAGAATGTTGGAATTCACCTGGGTTCCATGGAACTCTGGCTGGGAGTTAGGATCTTTACTGAACTTTGGGAATTCTAAAATGAGCAGGACAAAGGCAACAAGTATCTGTCTTTAGAACAAGATGATGGGCTAGGAACATGAAGAACTCAAGTAGTTCCTGGAGGGTTCTTGGAAGAGGCAGCATTTGAGCAGGTGCTTATTAACTCAGGATGACTTTGACAGGAACAGAGGTGCAGGCAAGTTTTATCAGGGTTTTCAACAAAGAATGAACATGCTGTGAAAGGAAGGCAGACCTGCAGAGCTGAAGTGTTGTGGCTGCTTCTGAGGATGATGAGGGGCTCTGGGGAGGATTGAGCAGGAATCACCTGGTCAGGGAACTGACTGCTGAATGAAGGTCGGAAAGAAGACTAATGACCACTGAGATTTATTGAGTGCCTGGCCTGGGGCTGAGTGCTTTACATGTCACAATCGTTTCTGAGGAAGGCATTGTTACACCCATTTTACAGAAAATGTAGGCCAAGAGAGGTTAGATTGCCTAGTCGACATTGCACAGCTGCTACATGGCAGAGCCAGGATTTAAATCCAAGCTATCTGGATCTGTATATTACCAGACTGGAGGGAGGGAGCTGTGGGGAGGGTATTACAGGAATTGGGGTAAGGGAACCTGAATTAGATCAGTATTCAGAGGGTGGAGAGAAATAGATGAAGTGCTTGCAAAGCAGGCTCTCTACTGCTTGAGGCCCACCTCCAGTCCATTTTGCTCTGGTTATTTTTTGGAGATGGGTTCTCACAAACTATTTGCCTCGGCTGGCCTCGAACCTCAGTTATCCCAATCTCAGCCTCCCAAGTAGCTAGGATTACCCACATGTTCTTGATTTAATTTGGTAAGTTCATAGGTGGTAATCTTTTATTTGCATAAATAAGTTATCAGTGGTTTGTACTGGACAGATGATGGTTGTTTTCTTGCACAAATAAGATGTACACTCATTCTGCTTCACCATTTGCCCTCAAAATGGAGGGAACTATATTATAAAATGGAGTCACTCAGGGCAAGTGACAGCTTGAAAACTACTGTTCTACACCATATGGAGTGACACAAATGAAGCCAATGGAGGAGAATGATGGAGGGGATGAATTCAACTATAATACATTGTAAGAACTTTTGTAAATGTCACAATGTACTCCCAGTACAATAAGAAGAAATTAAAACAATGAAGCCAATGGGTCTTCAGCCCCCAACCCCAAACTGAGGGTCCCTAACCTAGGGAGGCCTTCCCTAGGCCAGCATTTGACAGTGGGGCAGAGGGAGGAGAACTGTGATGGAGAGGGAAAGGGCCTGTTTTGGAGCAGTCTATGTTAGATGCTAATCAAAGAAAGTTTCACCAAGAAGCCAGTGTTCCAGAATTGTTGGTTGCCACAAAGGTGAGGAAGGAGCATGTAGATAGAATATGTGATGTAGGGGTTCATTTTCAGATAAGCCTGCACAAGTGTACAAGTGTAGGGACTTGTCGTTTATGGGGTTACAAGTACGCACAGAAGCTGTGCTGAGGAGGAGGGACCTCCACTGGTGTCAGGAGGGAGACCTTCCCCCATAACCCTGATAATAAATGGTCTTCCTCAGGCAGCTGTAAGAAGAGAGCTGAGTTCCAGCTAGAGTCTACTGCACTTCTGCCTTCAGACCAGGAGGGTGACTTCCTATTCTGAACTCCTCATCCTTGGAGTAGGCACCAGGTTGACACCCTGAGGTAAGACCTGTGTCTCTTGATCTTGGAGGAGGCCTGGTTGGAAAAGCTTTGGCCTTCTGCCTCCTCTTGAGTCTTCATGCCTCTGCCACTGATCCTGTTGCCAATTGTGCAAGCATTTAGTTCCTCTAGGAATCTAGAGGAACCCTGTGCAGTACAAGGAGGAAGAAGGTAGGGTGGAAGTGGGGTTAATTCTAGCAGTGATGTTGATGAGCTGTTGATCTTGGTGGAGCCAGACCTCAGATTCTCTCTCTGAAGTGAGCCAGTCTTTTTTGTTTCGACTTTTTAGGAGTGTCATGAGGATCCTGTCACTGGGTACAGCAGGAAACCCAAACACTGCAGGGAGCTCCACAGTTCATGCCCTCCCAGACTGGCCTGCAGGATGCCCACTGGGACTGCCAACCAGGTGTTAGAATTTTTTTTTCAGGTGTTAGAATTTTTTTTGTCTGTTGCCTTGCGTGTGCTGGGCAAGTGCTCTACCACTGAGCTGCTATATCCCCAGCATCCCTTCCCCCAATCTGGTGTTAGAATATTAACATGATTTGCTCTGTCAGTAGAGAGCATTATGTTTCAAGCTCCTAGCACCTTCCCTCTAGCCTGGCCTCTCCCCTAAAGGCCACCTTCCACTTCCCCAGCAAATAAAGCACATGCATCTTCCTTTTTTATGAGCCACGGACCCCTTTGTTGTCAGTCTTTTAAAGTCTATGGGCAATATGAGGGTGTTTTTATAATAGGTTTTAATTTTTTTTTCTTAAAATAGATTTCTTACAAAATTAAAGGTAAGTATATTTAATACAGTTTTATTTAGTCCTCCATAGTTTGAGTGATGGGCTTTTCTCCTTGATCATTTGATCAAGGTTGCACGCAAGAAGCAACATTGATGTGAATTATGATTCACACAGCCACTGTCCCACAACTGGCAGAGCATCTCTGAACTTCCAGAAAGAATCATTTAAATTTGTGTAAAGAGTTCAGGAATAGCCTAGGAATTTGCAGTTGATTTTGAATGCTGGAATTGTCCTGCTTCAGATTTTTCCTTGAATTTTAAGTAGTCTCTTTTATCAAAATACTTTACTGCTAGGGACAGCTTGACTCAGCTGCTGGCACATGGATGCATCCTTCAAATTCTTGTCCAGACACTGGCAGTACAGGTTATGGGACCCCAGAAGCCTGCCTTTCCTTCATGGATGGAACTACCATTCCTGCTGAGGTCACCAAGCTTCCTGAGGACTCTCCGGTTCTATAACCCAACAACTCACAGTGGTGGGTGTGGTGCCAGGTCCTGGTGCTGCAGGGGCTCCTGGCCAGTTCCAGTCACCAACCTCACAAGGCACAATATATTGTAATCCTGCATATTTTATATATTAAAGACTATAAGGACTGGGAGTGTGGCTCAAGTGTCTTGTCTTGTCTGCCTAGCAAGAGTGAGGCCCTGAGTTCAAACCCTGACACCACCCAAAACAAAACTACATGTACATGTTTATATACATTTTGCAACACCTTTACAGAGCTGATGCATAACATCTACCATGAAAATAGCTGAATTTTTTTCAGTATTGGTGTTCGAACCCAAGGCCTCACAAATGCTAGGCAAGTGCTCTACCATTGAACCGTATCCATTAGTCTAATATCTATAGCATCTTTTATTTCTTTTTTCTTTTTGTTTTCCTGTTTTGAATGGGGTCTTACTATGTTGCCCCAGCTAGTCTCGAAGTTCTGAGTTCAAGTGACCCTTTTTCTCAGCCTCCTGAGGGTTGGGATGACAGGCATGCACCACCATGCCCAGTGTGATTTCTAAGGACAAAGACACAAGAACTGCTAAAGCTATTGTAATTTGTTGCTGACATTCATAATGGAGGGACAGGCTAAATTTCAGGTAGAAATGAATAAAAATGATGCAGTTTTCCCCACAAGCTCAGGGACCTGTGAGTTCTTTTAAAAAAGTATTTACCTATTTATTTTTGGAGATAGGTTTCTGTTTCTGTTTCAGACTCCTGAGTGCTGGGATTACAGGAGTGATTCACCATGTCCAGCTGGACCTGTAAATTCTAAACAGTTCTAGAATTCTCATAAAATCCCTGAACTTTTGGGTTAATTTCTCATAAAATAGGGGGGACCCTGCATCC